TTTTTATTTATTTATTTTTTAAATATTACCCATATTTTTAAATGACGATAGTATTAATTGTGCCATAATAGTATTTCTTAACTGTTAAACTGTAGGCCCTATTACAATAAATTATAAGTGAAAACGTCTTCTATATTAGAATTTTTAAACTTTTTTTTGTGTAGCTTATTTGGGTTAATACTTAGTTTTTAATAAAATATTTCAAAGCAAACCTTGTATTTAGTACCGGATTAAACCATATTTTTTTTCAGAACGTTTTTCAGATAAAATATAAAAAAGCCTTGAAAAAGATAGCTTTTAATATTGTTTACATAAACTTAAATATTACATAAACTTGCGCTGTTTTCATGACTTATTTGTTTAAGAACCACGCCATGATTTAAATTAAAAAAATTCATAAAAAACGTTTTAATAACAAGCTTTTATGTAATGATGCACTAAAAAGTAGAAAATAAATTATAGACTACTATTTAAATAACTATAAAGAAAAGCGTGGGTCACTTTAGTATCTATTGGATACCTTTACTAATGTTAAGGAAGACACCCACGCTTTTCTTTATAGTTATTTAAATAGTAGTCTATAATTTATTTTCTACTTTTTAGTGCATCATTACATAAAAGCTTGTTATTAAAACGTTTTTTATGAATTTTTTTTCAGTACTTTACATGTTTTATTTACAATAGAGTTACATGACTAAAAACCATTGCGCGCCTACTGAACATCACGTTCAGTAGGCGCGCAATGGTTTTTGAACGCAGCCATTACGTGATGGCGCAGCTATTGAAGGTGATGACGCGTGTGGTGTGGTTGGCTAGACATGCCTACTAATTCGGTCCAAATTTTTATTAATTCATAAAAAATTAATTAGGCATCCAATTAAGTCAAATTTAGTTTCAGATTGCATTGTCTTCATGTCTTGACCCACGTGCCAACTGTGAATCGTATCGGTCAAGTAGAACTGTCCGAATTTTCACTCCTGCGTTCCCGTCTAGACAGACTGACGACAGACAGAGGAAGTGAGTTAAATAAAAGCTTGTAAAAAGATAAAACACTCAACTTTGATACAGAAACGTAACGAGTAAGAAAAAAAAATCCCACACCGTGCTTTCCTTATATTTTTAAACAAAACAGATAATGTTAAATTCCATTTAGGAACTAATTTTAACCCAGTCAAAGTTTCTGAAGTAATTGTAGTAATAACAGCGTGTTTACCTTGTTAGTTCAGATTAATTTATTCTAACAACTTTGCTTTAGATCCTATGCTAAAAATAAACACTGCGCTTGTTCAACCAATTTGCCAGTTAGGCTCGTATCTTGTAAAGCGCTAATTACCTCTACATATGCTGTTGTTAAAGATATAATCTAACACTGGGGCGCAGCGACAGATTTCGGCGCCCTGGGTTTATGCAATTTCTCAGCCTTCAGATGTATTGAAAAACGTTATACACACACACACACACACACACACACACACACACATATATATATATATATATATATATATATATATATATATATATATATATATATATATATATATATATATATATATATATATATATATATATATTGTGTTATAAAAAACAACAACTCTAAAGTGTAGGCCTGAATAGAGAAAGGTACTTCACAAATGGCGTCGCGCCATCTATGTGAGAGAAAGAAAGTTTGTTTTTTGTGAAGATATTACCGGGGCAGTAGAGGTTAAGAACTAAGACGTAATATGCATATTGTTGGGTTCTTTAAATTATTACTTTCAGAAAGGTAAAAAATTAAGTGATATTTTGTGAGAGTTAACGTTATCGTAATGTACGAGTAACGGAATGGAGCTTTGTTATGTAGCGTAGATATGCCTTAAAGTTCTTTTAATTTATAGGTTATATATATATATATATATATATATATATATATATATATATATATATATATATATATATATATATATATATATATATATATATATATATATATATATATATATTTGTATATGCTGGCCCAAATGTAAAGTTGAAATACCAAGATTAAGTCTTTCTACGTTTTGCGTCTGTTCTTACATCAACATCTTAGACTACCCAACTCCACCCACCCCTCAGCAACCCGTTCTCCGGTGCATCATTACACCGCCGTGTCTGCACAACTTTATTTTTCAACCCCCGCTACTGATACAGCCCAAGTGCTTAACCTACACTAGGCCTACCAACGCAACACAGCCGTTTTAAAAACATACACTTTTTATTTTTATTTTTGGGCGAGTCGTGTTAGAACTAATTATATAAACAGCTTTAAATTAAGATAAAAGCTCTCACCTACACTTTAAGGTGTGAAACACCAAGGAAGGTCGCAGCATTCCGGATTAATACACTTACAACTTTTGGAGAGGGCTGGTGGTATGCGTGTGGGAGTTTGTGTTTACTGGTATGTGTATAGACTACTATAGACAGTCTTGAAGTGGTTCATAAATGTTGACATTATACTGCTCTTAATCTCCTGTCTTGTAAAGTACTAGATATGGCATAAAGATAACTTTTTATTCATATATATATATATATATATATATATATATATATAGTGTGTGTGTGTGTGTGAGAGAGAGAGAGAGAGAGAGAGAGAGAGTATGTGTTTTCATTAATTAAATAAAACTACGGTTTTATGTTATTCCAAATTTTCACGTTGAAAACATTGAAAAAAGTCAACAGCGTGGCGTGCCGTCGCTTGTAACGTAATATAAGACAGGTGTCATATTTTAGTGCGTGAGTTGGGTTCTGACCCTCCACCCCCTTCTCCCCCCTCCCCCTCCCCCCCCCCCCACACACACCCCTGCATACGCCACAGGGTAAAAGGCCTCTGAATAATGATGGTAACGTCTTCATCTATCGCTGAGAAAAATGTCTCAGGTGTCGGGCCCGGCTTGGCCGTGGTTTCCTGACGTTCCTATACACCTGGCAGCCGGGGTACTCTCTCTTACATAACAGACAGGTGCGCGTGCCTGCTAGGTTAGAACTTCTCTTCGTCTTTAGAGAGTTCACGGCTACAGGCATAGATGTCGTTAAGTTAATTTCATATTTAAAAAACGAAAAAAAACAACAACACAATAGATGTAACAGATCATCATGGTTATAGCGTTCTCTATAACCCCTACATGTAGGGCCTATACATATTTGTTAAAATTTAGAACCACCTATGTGAGTCTATCAAAATACACAGGGGAGCCAATCAGGGCAGTTATACCATATAGGCCTACACTGTTACAGTAGAGCCACTGTAGGCCCTAATATTGTTATATGTGAACTATAAATGTGAGTGAAGAATTGTCAGTGCGAAGGCAAATCAAATATTTTTGTTTCAATCTATCTGTGTGTGTTTTATTAACTTAAACCAACATAACGAACACTAACAATAGTGTTTCTATTGTATAGGGCTAATAAAGATAAATAGTTTTTTTTTTAAAATTAAGTTATGCTTGGGTGTTGTGATTGGTGGTCGCATAGTGATAATAATTTAATAGACAAAACTATCACTACAAATTAAGTTTTGGGTTTTCTTACATTTACCTTAGGTTGCGGGAAAGGGAAAAATTGGGTGGCGAGGATGATATAAATATATTATTATAGTAGGGAGCCCGGTGTGTTGTTTCAAAACTTGTCTAAAATCGTGTTGATTGCTTTCCTGATTTCCGTTTGTTTGTTCTTTGTTTGTTATCCAAATAAATCTCGGTTGTATGTTGATAAATGTGTGTTTGTTGAATAGATACAATTTTTTAAAGTTTTTAAAGTTGTTGATATTTTCTCAACCGCTATTTGTTAACATTATTTTAAATACGCATCCTTCAACGTTTTGGCCACTTTGTCACGAATGTAATAGGTTTTTCTGGCAAGTTTGATTTTCATTCACCTACAAGCTCTCGTAATGAACCCTTCCTCCTTTCTTTCTATTCTATTCGCCAAAAACCTGTCGCGCTTTCGTTTAAACTCTTAACATATATATTTACTTTGAGTGGTGCTTAAAACCGAAAATTATTTAAGGAAGAAACAAATGATTTATAGCTTCACCGTTTACATAAATAACAAATTTAGGTTTATTAGCCTAAACACATCTAAAACTTATTACAAACATTAACAAGAAAATTAGCAGGCTAGATAGAAATCATACCAAAAATAAACGAGGTCTAAATATATTAATGATTTTGATATTAATGGAAAAAAATATTTATCTTACAATAGAAAGTGGAAGTGTATGCGATATTTCAATATTCATCTGCCAGCCGTTAGAATCTTAGTTTCTCTCGCGAAATCCGAAAGGATAAAAGTTGCCAGCGAGTTGGGGAAAAAACTGCCCAATACCCTTGAAATTTAGAAGTATCATGAATGAAAAATTAAATTCCTGTGCCTGAAAGGCAAGGGGTAATTCTACTAGATCTAGATCTAGATCTAGATCTAATTTGTACAGACTTGAGAGACATGCGGAGTATAGATCTAACTAGATTAATAAATATTTGCAACAGCACCCATTTTAAACTACACTCAATGTCATTGGTCCATTACGACCATTTAGATCTAGTGATTAGGCCACTACTGCTGAATGTTGTAGTGATAATGTGGTGCAGTAGTTTTCAGGTGTGGCGGGGGGGGGGGTTGCTGTGGGAGCTGGGAGGTAGAGATGGTCATTCACATTAAACTTTTGATAAATAATATTTTTGCAAGTTTTTAATAACAATACTATAGTAAAATACTTCGTGTGTGATGAAACCATCTAAAATATTTTACCTAGGGCCCTAAATTAAAAAAAAAATTATGTAGATCTAGATCTACTAACTAAAGATATTTTTTTTAAAAACACAATCAACTTTTTTTTTTACACGTTTTAGAAATACTGCAGCAACATATTTTAACTGGTATTATCTTTCTTTAAGAGTATTCACTGCTGATGTTAACATCATATTAATTAGGCATAACTTGAGATGTTGAACCTGAATTATTAAAAGTATATTATTTTTTATCAACAGGGTGAAAAAATTCGAACAGTGATTAAAACAAACCCACTATGGGGTCCAGAAAAAATCTTGGAGTCTTTGAAGGCGGTGTACACCGTAAACAAAGAGAAACATCTTCTCTCATTGATTACAATGATTGGCCCCAGTCCAGACTGGTGCCTAGGTAAGTGGACCAACACATTGCACTGTTGTTATTGTTTTTTTATCTTGCAAGACATCTAGGCCTACAAAATCACAATGAGTCAGGTTTCACTTAATTTGATAATTTCCACCCACCCATTATCAAATATAAAGTTATTTAACCTTTTCTTAAAACATGCTCCTACTAAAATTACATCTCCTCCCATACTCCTTCCCCCCACCCCCCACCCCCCCTGCAACTAATGGATTGATACACATGCAATTAGTAGGCTACATCATACTAGACTACAGGAAAACAGTATTAACCTGAAGTCTAAAAAGACTAGATTGATCAATATACAATTGAAATTGAAATGCTGTAAATATTTGCTAGTTAAAATTTATAATTGAAGAGTATTGTATTATTATACCTAAAGTTTAATAGCTACAAATTCATCTTTAAAAATACACAAGGCCTCTTATAAGTTATATTAAATCTTTATTTTAGACTTTTTTTAAATAACTAAATTATCTATGACATATTAAATATACAAAAGAATTTTAATGTGCTAGTTAAGCAATTAATAATCCCAATAATTTATAAATTTGCATTACAATTGCAATATTTAACCTGTGACAGGTGTGAGCAGTCAAAGCATGTGCCTGCCTAACTGTACCTGGAGAGACAGCCTTGACATAGATCTTTATCCCTGGGATGCAGGCACTGACAGCAGGCCTACCTATCTGGTTAGTAAATTTTTGAAACCTTCAACCAGGCTCAGCTCTTTTCAATAAGTACACAGCTTTCAGTACTCTTGTGCTAACTCATTACTTCTTTTTTATCTAAAGTTTACTAAAAATCTTTAAAACTTTAATAGATAGTCAATGTCTAAACAAACACTTGATATTCTGAGAATTCTAGCGTTAATCAGTAATTTCTAATTAGTCTGCAATCATTAAAAACTTTAATAGATAGTCTATGTCTAAACAAACACTTGAAATTCTGAGAATTCTAGTGTTAATCAGTAATTTCTAATTAGTCTGCAATCATTTAAAACTTTAATAGATAGTCTATGTCTAAACAAACACTTGAAATTCTGAGAATTCTAGTGTTAATCAGTAATTTCTAATTAGTCTGCAATCATTTAAAACTTTAATAGATAGTCTATGTCTAACCAAAACTTGAAATTCTGAGAATTCCAGTGTTAATCATTAATTTCTAATTAGTCTGCAATCAGTGAAAGAATCATATTATTTAGCATTTAACAATTATTTGTTGTTGTTTCCAACGTCATGTACATTGGTTATTTTTCAACAGGGAAGAAAAATCCCCACCATTCCACCAGATCGCATCCAGAGGATCTCAAGCTCCTACCCTAATGACATTGACAGTCCATTTTATGGGATTGAAATCAAGCCATATGCCAGGTAAAACTAAATTTATCAATGCTTGAAGGTATCTCTTCATTTGTCCCTCTTGAAAGTGGGGCTTAAGTATGGCCTATATGAAGGGGAAATCACTCTTTGATCACAGCCAAAATGTTTCTTCAAATACTTGAGGACAGAAACTAAAAACAAATTACAATATACTTCTATTTACTATACAATAATGTAGTATGTTTCTGAATAATATTATTTAAAAATTTGAAATTTTGTGGCCGGATTTTCTCAACCCCTATTTAGTTGTGCTGAAAGCATTTTCTAATGTAACTGTAGGCAGGAATATTATAGTACATGATAATGTGAAAATAACATTGAACTGTGTTTTTTTTTTTAACTGTTGTTAAAATGAAAGTAAACTAGTTTAGTATTTTTATTAAGTAATTATTTTTATATTCATTTAATGTTTTATATAAAATATTCATAAAAAAGTCATCCAATTTCCTTTTATTGCTTCTATTTCCTTGTGTAAAATGTCTTTTAAGAAAATAAAGTTAAATAATGAAACAATTTTCTTCAGACTAAGAGTGACAAAAAACAAAGAGGTTTGTACAGATGATGATGGGAAGAGTACATCTGCAGAGATCTCCCCTAGCACAGATGAGCTGGTGAGCATGATGAAGAAGAACATGGTGATGAAAAAGAAGCTTTGTAAGTAAATACTCATTTGGTTAACAATAATATCATCAGTAGTTAAAAAATATGTATCACAACTATCAGGTTGAAAAACTTAAAACTAACCATGAATAGGATATTTTTTTTATTATTTAAAATGAATCTTAAAAAAGAATCTATATTTATATAACACCAGCTTCTAATGACCCTGTCATTATTTTTACCATTTCTTTATTGCAGTAAGTTAACAATATTTGGGTCATTTCTCTCACTACAGTTTAAAATTAAACTTTTTATTAAAATTAACCTTTTAATCAAAATTTACCTTTTAAATAAAATTTACCTTTTAATTAATATTTACCTTTTAATTAAAATTTACCCTTTAAAAATATTCTTTATAACCCACTAACAATTTTATAAAAATAGGTAAAAGCAGTTTTTTGTCTCACTTAGATTTAGAATCTAGAAAAATGTGCATACTTTAAAGGTGGTTTGGTTTTTTTTGTCTTACTTAGATCTAGAAAAATGTGCACTCTTTAAATGTGTTTTTTTGTCTTACTTAGATCTAGAAAAATGTGCACACACAGCCTGGTCGGAGTGGCTAGAATGTTCCAATCCATGTGGGCCTGGCCAGCGAGAAAGAAGACGAACATTAAAAAGTCCGGGTGTTAAAAAAGAAATGTGTGACATCCAGCTGACTGAATCAGAGTCTTGCACTGGGACCTGCAAAGGTAGGTGCCAGCTAGGAGATTTTTTTTTATTATTTAACTTTGCTTTAATAATGTTTATGTACCAGATGTCATATTACCGTATAAGTCAATCATGGTTAGAAAGTAATTGAGTCATTGTCTAAATGACATTTGTTGGATTGTATTTGTGGCATTATTTGTATGTACAAGACAGTGGAGCAAATTAATCGAGTCAATGTTAAAATACATCCACAACTTACTTATCTTACATATTATCAAACGTATGATGATTTAATCAATTGTGTTACAAGTTACTCCAGTGCATTTCTTTAAAGAAATAATAATTCATTAAAATTAAAATAGTTTTACAACTGCTAGGCTAAGCAGTAAGTTAATAGTTGTGTGGTAAAGACTAAAAGCTTTAAAGTCTTGATTTAAATTCCTTTTGATACTCAGGTTTTAAAATCAAGAGTTTTTTAAGTCCACTCTTTTGTGGTACTAAATTAAAGGGAAATAAAAAAACTTTTTTCCCTTTGGTGTAGACTACATAATCTCTTTATTTAATATATCAATAGAAACCAGCCATTTACATATTCAAGTAAACTTGGCAGTTATTCACAAAATCTTGTACAATACACCAAAATTAAAAATTTAAAGAGCTTTTGTTTTCTTTCAGATACTGGAAAGAGAAAGAAGCTACATGACAACTATGTGATGCGCCACGATGATGAGAGAGACCCAAACGATCTTTGTTTAGTTACCAACTGGTCTGATTGGTCTCCCTGCAGTGCGACTTGTGGCCTCGGCATGAAGGTAAAGAAATGAAGCTTTTATTGTGTTATTACTATTATTGATACCCCTTTGCTGATGGCAATTTAATCTTCACCTGATTTTTTAAAGTTTTTTTATAAGGTTAGATAACCGGCAGTTATTTTAATGTGGTTGCATCCCTTTCAAGTTATTTGAGTTTTTTTTAAACATGTATTTGTGAGACAAGTGCTATGACAAGCCATTTTCTTATAATATAAGATATTTATTTATTAATGTATGTATCTGTATTCTTTTTAATGTTCTTTAAACAAATTAAGACATTCTATTTTATTACTGCTATTTAATTAACCATAGTCAGATGTAACAATGTCATTTTTTAATGTAAATCACTTATTGTTATTGAGAATATTCATTTATTTTTCTAGGAGCGCTGGCGTAGGTTCATCAATACAAATAATCCACGAATGGATTGTGGCATTCATCTCATGGAAAAAGATTTGTGCAGGGGAGAAATCATGGATTGCCAAAAAGCAATGATGATGAAAAACTTTACAGGTAAAAAAAATGATTTTACTTCAGCTTGGTTTACTGATATGTGATAGAAAAATTTTTTTGTTTTTAAATAGTATGCTTTAGTATTTTTTCATAAAGACTTGACACTTATTTCATATTGTGTAATTTCTTCCCACTTACTTCTTGTAATGTTAAATTTTTTAAAAGTTTTGTTAAATTGATAGCAAATTTTAATTAAACACTCATGACAAATGCTCCATAAAACTCAATGCAACATTTAGAATCTTTGGATTAGATGGCAGTGTAAAACGTTTTTTTATGACAAAATAAACCTCTTTTACAGCCATTTGTCAGATGAACGTTGATGAGGGGCCATGCATGGGTAATTTCACCCGATGGTTTTACAATCAGACTATTGAAAAATGTCAACAGTTCAGCTATGGTGGATGCCGAGGCAATGAGAATCGTTTCGAAACTGAGAAAGAATGTGTGGACCTTTGTGCAGATCACATGGGTACATATAAAGGCTTTTTCCTTTTCAGTTATTATTAACATTTTCCTTGTTTTTCAAAATCATAAAAAAAATATTAGTATTATCCTTAGTAAATATATTAGAGTGGAAGAACCCACAGCTACTGACTCACTAGTCTCAAATTTGGTTTCTAGTCTTGAGTACATTTAGCATCCCAATCCTAATTGTGGCATATAAGCTAGGTGATCATTAAGCTGATGACAATCCTCCTTCATAAGCCAGGGTTTTTTAAAAAAAAACAGTTAATTCTACTTTATCTGCATATTTGGCATTCCCCAATCCTAATTGCAGCAAGTAAGGTGATCCACAATCTCCCTTCTTAAGCCAAGGTTTTAAAATAACCCAGATAATTCTACTTCCTCTGCTCTATTGACCATGAGGTCAGAAAGGGTAACTTTTCTAAAATTCTCAGTGAGATTAACAATTAATGTATTCAAAATGTTTTCAATATTCTTTTACTAGCTGACATTCTACGCAAAGAACAAATGATGGGCAAGGAACTAATGATGAGCAAACAAGAAATGATGAACAGAAGGGAGATGCCAAGCAAGCAAACGGAAATGGAAAAACAGCTCCTTATGGATAAAGATAGAATGCGTGCTGAGGAGGAAATGAGAGAAAAACAAAAGACAATGGAGGATGACATGATTAGGAAAGATATACTTATGAAGCAGAAAATGGAGGAGGAAGCAAAGGTAGAGACATGTTTTTAATTTTCAGTTTACATATTTTTATTCTGTTTAGGCAATATATATTTTGTAATTATTTTTTTTAAATTGAAAACAATATTGTAGTAAGTTAATCTTAAGTTCATCAATGATTGAATTTCTCAAGCATGTTTTAATTGGCCTTTATAGTTATTCTGATTAGAATTTTTTTTTTAATTTTGTCAAAAATTGTTTTAGAAAAATGTAATACAATTCAATTCGCATTTTCTTTTTATAACAAAAACCTTCAATGGAAAATTAAAATTGTTTCATCCTAAGATTGCCGCAATGGAGAAAGAAAAGATGAGTCAATTATCACAAGAAAATGTTACACCGTCAGAAGAAGTAAGTGAGGACGAGGAAGAGAAGATGAAGAAAATGAAAAAATTGATGAGGCAGAAAGAGAGAAAAGAAAGAAGGATGAAAAAGAAGTTAAAGCGCCAGCAGCAACGGAGACTTGAAATCAAAGAAAGTAGAAATAAGCTTTCAGACGGACCGGTCATAGACTGTATGGTAACACCGTGGACGGTCTGGAGTGAATGCTCGGTAACATGCGGTAAAGGATTTATAATGAAGACCCGCGAGATCAAGGTCCAGGCACAGAATGGAGGCAGGAGATGTCCATTTAAGTTGGTTAAAAAGAAAAAATGCAGAGAAAAAAATTGTCGTACGTAGAATTTCTTTGTATCATGCAATTCAAGGAACTTCCCTTTTTACACTTGATCTTATGTTTATACTTTCTAGAAACTTACACTGCAAACAGTCACTAATTTTTTTCCTGCTGAAAAAAACTAAAAAAAAAAATAGAGGATAATTAACTGATCTTGTAATGTAATTACTCTATCATGCATAATTGTTTGTGTTTTAGAATTATTACTATTCATATTTAATCTTTCAAAAGCACAAATGTTTGGCTAATGTTAAAGATTACGGTGCCAAGATTTAAAAAAAAAAATGTTAACCTTGACATTTATTAATTTTCATAGTCGTTAGCACTAATCAAATAGTTTGTGCTCATGAAAGTCATAATTGTTTATATACAAATGTATTGAGTGTACTCTCTTATTTGTTTTTTTTTTATCTTAATCTATTCTGTAAAGATTTCAATTTAATATTTAATTCTTCTTTGTAATTATTAAATTATTTTGATTTTATCAGCCAGCCTAAGAACTGAAAAGAAAAATTTAAAGGTAGCTCCCTAAATTGAAATTTTAACAGGCCCATACTAAAACTAGAAAAACTGTTTTACTAATCTACTAATATCTACCCATCAGCGCCCCGAAAACATCCCCGCCAACTCTTATCCGCAGCAATTGATTGTAAAATGTCTGAATGGGAAGAGTGGTCTCCCTGCTCTAATGTCTGTGGGGACAAGGCAGTTCAGGTCAGGCAACGCAAAAGAATACAAAGCCCGTGGCATGGAGGGAGGCCATGCCCCTCTAAGAAAGAAAAGCGCTTCTGTAATGTTCCGATGTGCACTGATTCAAATGTAGGCAGTAATTCCACTTTTAAAAACTCTCTGTAGCTTATTATAGAGTACGTGTGTGCTTCAAATCAAAAGGGTGGTAGATGCACAGAAAATTCAGCTGTATTCTCACCTGTCTTTTTATGAAGCATAATTTTATAAGACAAATTTAAGGAAGAGTTCATTGTAAATTTTTAGCAGGTCCTAAAAATTTAAGAATCTTGATAAAAAATATTTCTTCTGGGAAATATTTCTCTTCTTCAAATGTTACACATTTCCATTGTCTAAGTCACATTTTTTTTAATTGAAGGTAAGTATCCAGTCTTAAGCTGACCCAGCTCCATATTTCCCACATCTACTGTAAATACCCTTTTATATTTATTTGCTTTTCTACAACCACTGATAATTACAAAAATTTAGAATCTTGAGTTTTTAAAGTGTTTAAATTTGAACCACAAGGTAAGCTTGATTTAAAGATTTTATCTTTATGACTTTATGATTAAACTCCTTAAATTAAAAAAGTCAATGATTTAAAAGAGCTGCATCTACCACCCAATATTGAATTTAATTTATTTACGTTTGTATAGAAATATTTTGCTTTCTATGTTAGCATAGCATTCAACATATCTTGTAGGTTACATTATGAGCAGTTAAGATTCAACATCTTAGCAATCCATATTATGGTTGACATTTAAATTATACTTCTAGCGTTAATTTTTTATCTATTTTTGCACATATTTTTTTCACTTTAATCATTTTGAATTGTATGTTTTGTAGTTGTATGATGGTGTGGTTTTTTTCCTGAAGGGTTTCCATTTAGACTTTTGTTTCATTATATTTAGCTTGCCTGTATATTTTATTGCCAGGATTTTGCTGTGTAGTCAATCCTTTTTTATATTCAAAATTTCTTTTCATATTTCAAAACCTTCACCCCAATGCCCCATTTTTCTGTATGTTCTTTTTCCTAAAATGTATAAATATTACTTTTTATAATGCTTATTGCTTTGAATTCTTTAAAAAGATAATTTTACATCTTTTAGAGTACTACCTTTCTGGGATATGATTTTATTTTCATTTTTTTTGTGGAATTGGTTTTATCTTTATTCTTCTTTTACATTTGCTTAAATAATCTAGATCTACTTTAAAATTCAATGTTATTAAATTTAGGTTTTTTAAATTAATTTACGTAATTTTTACTTTAAGCGTGCAAATGTACTTAATATTTCAGTAACTGATTTGTATTTGCATTATTTAAATAATTTTAAATTGTATTTATTAAAGACATTGTGTCAGCTACTTCAATATATCATGCCAGCTTTAAAATCATATTTTTGTTATCCTGCTACCTATATTTGTCTTCTGTTTTAATAATTGTAAATGTACACATATGACGCTTTGTTTTCAAAATTGTATTAGCAAGATGGCATAATTTAAAAATATTTTCCAACTTGCCTTTCAGCCACTTTAAAAATAGCTATATAAAATCCCTACATGTTGCATGTTTATGTCAGTCCCATTTCAAATAATTCAACACAAATGTGTTAATCAATACACTTTAATATTACCCCCTTTAAACTACATCATTTACTTAAAATCAAATCCCAGAAAGCTGTTTTGATATTAATTTACTGGCCATAAAATAAACCAATCAAGCTATTTTATTTTTTTTATTCTCACCATTTAAGTCTAAATCTATTTATTTGTGCTTACACTTTATCACTGCTTATTACTACTCTCAACTTACAAACGAAGAGTTTATTTTCAAAACCACTAAAGCAATATTACACGTGAAAAATATTTTTCTTAAATTGTCTTTTTAGTGAACAATTAGCCTATAATATAACTCTCATATATTTTTGAATGTCTGAGAAATAAATTAATAAGTTAATTGTATATTATGTCACCATGTAAGTCATGATAATAATTATAAAATATTTTTTAAAAATATAAACATTTTGACAATAAACTCTTCAAATATTCGGGTCATTTAACACATTTTTTTACTTATCTTTTTATTCTCTTTAATTCTTCTAACAATCACTGGTGGGCAGACATTTCCTCCAATTAATTCTTTTAGCCAATTTATTGTGTCCATTCCTTAGTGTGTTTTGTTTCCTTTTCCAGGTGAAAAACCCAATTGATAGTATCCGTAAGGCTGATTTTTTTATAAGCTGAACGACAACAAATCCAAAGTAACCAGTATGAAAAAAAAAAGTATGTTGAGTTGCCTGTGATCAAATTGTACTCCACCAAAGTACACCCACAAACATTATTGCTCGTGAATTTGGCTCCCTTATTTATTGATAACAGTGTTAGAAGTAAACAGATGAATTTTACCCTTACTAATTACTGCAGTCTGAAGCAGAGAAAATTGAATGATTTCTTAAGAAAAATTATTTGTTAATGAATTTAAATTTAAGTCTTTTGCTTTAAATTAGCCAAGTATATTTTACAAATGCTTTACGGCCTAACAAATATAGACAAATTTTATCAACTGCTTCTTGTTTTGTATACCTGAACATTTATTTGGGATTTTTAACATCTTAAGTTTAATCATAGATCTGAATATAATGCTCAAACTTAGAACTGAAACTAATTTTTGAAAATAATGTTAAATCTAACTTAATATAAATAACTGCTTAAATTTAATGAAAGTTTACTAAAAAATAAAAACAACTTAATAAAAGTGCATTTTTGTTTGTTTCAGCCATGGTTTGTGTCATATCTTTTGTGATCACTGTTGAAGGTTTTTAATTTCAGATTGAAGAAAGCATGAGACGCTACATGATGTTTCACCGTCGTCGTTACTAACATCCTCAATCCTACTACCCTTCTATATCGTTTAAACCACTGGGCTATATCACACTGATCAATGAATGGACTATGTCTGCATCACAAATCTGATTCACCACACTGCACTTGAAATGTCACCAAATTAACCTGTCTATGTTGTTTCCATGTGTTACTCTAATCTAAGCTGGGCTTATACACTAACCGTAAGCCTAGTGTACTATCAATCAAATTATTCAGGCATGATTTTGTGTAGACTACTTCTTTCTGTATGTTCTGCATGATGAATGTATTCACCTAGACCTACCTTGTTTAGAAACCTAACAATGGGGCATTTTTAGATCACCATCCTAACATTCAGGCTTAATCATTTTTAAAAACAATCTACCTCCTTAAACTGTTTCGGAATATTTATTTACTATATAACTAATTTTTAAAGAAAAGTGAAATTTTTAAAAAGTAATATAACTGAATCTTTATAAAATTAATTGGCCATGCATGGAAATTTTTTTTTGAACTATTGAAGGAAAAAATAAGTTATTTGGCATGCTACAGAAATGTTGCAATTATTTTTGTACTTTTAAACAGTGTGAAGCATTATGCGAAATCCTTAAATTATCTTCCACTTCCAGTTAGGTATTTTAAACTTGTGTTTTGAAAGCTGCACATTTTATTTTTGTTGTTGTAGAAAAAATTTGAATAGTTAAGTATGTTGTAATTGGATAGCAGATGTTTTAGATGTGTTTGTTAAGTTGTGGACTTGGGTCTAATGTAACACAGTCTGTCCAATAAAACATCTCCAGGGTCACGGAGTAACTTAATAGGCTTAGGTAAAACATTCAATAATCATGTTGAGTCAACTGCATGCTTCAGATTATACTGGTATTTCTAATCTATAAAAAGAAATGGCAAAACTATAACAAAATAAGTATTTATTTTTTATTGTTTATTTTTTTAGGATACTCTAGTGCCTTCGTGTTGATCTTAATAATGTATGATGAAAAAGTTTCATAAAGAAACTGTTAGTTAAAATGTATAAACATCTTTAAAGTCCACATTAATGTGGAATAATTAAGGATTTAGTACTGTAAAGCTGTATATCAACTGGTATTCTTCAGTAAAAATAATGTCCCATTGTAAAGTTTTTTTTTTTTAATGAATTTGTGGACATATACTTCTAGTGTAATAGTGATGTATATTTCAATGTATGAAAATGAAATTAGCATTAATTCATGACATGTTATTATATGTGTATAGATTTCAGTCAAGTTATTTATTTTTAACTTATATTCTCATTTCAACTAAGTAGCAGGTATTGATGTTGTAAAAAGAACATTTTTATTTAGTAAGATTTTTTTTTAAAACATAGCCTACTTAATAATCATTTAACTAATACAAAATTGCAGCACAGGAATAATTTTTTTTTTAAAGAAGCAAAAATTGTTCCTTTTATTTTCAGTTAAAATAATCACTAGATCTACATAATTTTTAACATACCATTTCATTTTTTTTAATAAACATCTATTTATAAATGTTTTGTGTGTATTTTTTTTTGTCTGTCTCAAATTTATGTGGATTTAATTTCTTTAAATAAGCAATGAAACATACAACAGTGCATGAAAAAGTACTATCATTTATTAAAATAAGAGCACCTATTTTCTATAATTGTATCATTTGGGGATTTAGTGGCCAGTACTATCCTCTGTTGCTTATTTCAGTAACACTTAAAAATCATTACTTTTAGATTCTAAATTTTTTGATGATACATATAGTAAAATCAAATTTAGATTAATAATGTAATTTTCAAAAGTAATTTAAGGTTCACATTTAAGAATTTTTTTTCAGGCCGCTTATTAGTTTCATTGCTTATGTATCCATATCATTAATCTTAATTACATACACCCCCTGCTAGGATATAATGAGAAGAATACTTGTACAAGAATTTGCATGCCCAAAATCAAAACTGTACCTTTTTTTTTTATTATTTATCATTTTAGTTATGGGGTGTTGTATATATACATAAATATATAAATGTAAGACTTTTATATGATGTAATTGTTATTTTTTTTTTACATAGAGTTCTTTCTTACTATGTTCAGCATTGTGTTTAAATGAAGTGTGTAAAGGAACATCTCGAAAACTTGACAGGAAACAACTGGGGCGGGGCTGGCCTGATTAGGGCACACGAATCCAAGCCCAAGTTTTCACATAATCAAGGACTTAAACGATTTAGCAGTTATATCTTTTTTTTTTCCTTATGAATACAGTTATCAGCTTTAAATTGAAAGAGTTGTTTCTAAGGGCGATTGAGATGTTCCAAAAAGTCATGTGTGCTGTTTTCTGTACATTCTGTATTAGCTTTAATGGTCATCTATTATAGTGTGTGGGTATTGAAACTAATAACCTACAGCCAAACAACTTAAAATGTGTAATTCTAGCTCTTATGAAAACCATAAAGCAATTTTTACTTCAAGAAAAAACATTTTTAAATATAGTTCTAATATAATTTTTATTTATGTATACAGACAGTACTATGAATACTTAAATATACAATTAAAGCAAATATAATTTCAAATTATCAAATTGTATTATCAATTTTTGTATACCACAGATTGCTGTTTGAAGTTGTTTTATCATTTCTGTAAATAAGCTTTAGCAGAAAGTTAACATTTAAATTTTGATTATTTTTTTTTAAGATTTAAATGTAATTTAATTACACATTTTCTAAAACAGTTTTTTTTGGCCTTTTATCTCTGTTTTAAGTTCAACTACAACTATTTTAGAACAAGTGATGTACCATATTCTCATTACTAAATAAAGTCACATCCTATAAACATAAACTATCCTTTTTTGTGTGTTAAAACTGTTATCATTGTGGTTGTCATCAATGATGAAGTAGTCTTCACCTAAGTTACCAAGTTAATCAATATTTTTTTTTTACACCACCATTTTAAAAATATCACAGCTGTAGTCATGAGGTTCACCTTTTCCATCAGCTGCTCTATCAGTTGGTAACAAAAAACTGTCATCATATTACAGAACAAAATGTGCACACTATCATAAATGAAGCCAAAAACACAATACTTTAGTGAAAAGCTTTTTATTGCTTTCCCCCTTATTTACATACAACAAAATACACAAGAATAATATGCTTGCTATACAAAACACATAGCAAAGCACAAGTTTTAAACAAACTTAAGTGAGGATAAGCAAATAGTTTTTTAACAAAAATGTATTTTAAGTTTACTTATTGAATTATTGTCTTTAAACTTTTTAATTTACTTAAAGTGATTTTTACATAGATAAATAAAATGAACACAACAGTATAAAAAATAAATCTGGCTCTGCTCTTAATTTAACTGTTATTTAAATTTACATAACCGTTTCTTCTTTTTAATTTTATGCTAGTTTAAAAAAAAGAAATTTTATTTAGAAGTTTGAAATATTTTTAACAGTTTATGGGTGTTTAAAAACCTTATTTTGTTTCTTGATATTATCCTAATTTTACAGTTTTTTTTTAAATAAAATTTTTAATTTATTTAATTACATAATAATCTTGCTAGAAGAAGAACACTGCATATATTCACAATATAGCTTTCAGCATTTATGATGAGCTAACTGAAGTTATAAGTTTAAATATGTGAAGTTTGCTAAAGCCTTGGATACCCAGTTTAGCTTGCCAGTTATACTCAAAATAATTTTTAATCAGGGAACACAAAAACAAAAACCCACTTTTTGGGTTTTGAGAAAACAAAACTAAAACGGAGAAATGAATAAAAGTAACAATATAACAAAAGTTTTATTGTAGATTGTTCAGCTGAAAGTTATTTCCTGAAAAACTTAACTGAAACTGAAAGCTTAAGAAACTACGGCAAAAATAATTTAACTTTCACATAAGTAAATATTGTAACCTAACAAAAATATATCTAAAAACAGTTAAAAACTTTAACCAACTAGAAAATAGAACTGACTATTTTTTTCATTAAAAAAAGACTTAGGTAAAATTTTTCTTAATTTCCATATTTATTATAAAAATAACTTTAGTTTAAAATTGTAAAAAAAACTTGTAAACTAATACAATTTTTAAAAATAGGTTTTTTTAAAATATGAAGAGTGTACTTTAATTTTCAACGCTCTTAAATTTGAAACTTGAATGCTATACTGCCTAAAAACGTTTATTTTTAAAATATTGTCTTAATTTTAAATCTTTGAGGTCTGAGTGTACAGCAGGAGTCACTTTTCAACAAAAAAAAAATTTAATTCTTAAAAAGTTTATCATCTTCAGTTTGTGAGGTAATGAACTGAACACAGCCGAAGATCAGATGAAAAATTTACAAATCCTAATGCTGTTGGAATTTTTTTTAAAACCTGGTTTTGAACTTTAATCATGAAAATAATATCGACAAAAATGATCAAACCTAGTTTATTAATAATATCTATAAAGCAAATATACAGCTATCCCATACAAAATGTAACTAAAATAAAAGAATTATCAAACGGTATCCAATGAATTTGCAAACAATTAGCAGTGAACAAGTTTAACTGATATGCGAAAAATTGCTGCGGCTCTTTGTTATAAAACACAATGTGATAAATTTCATTGCTAATATATACACATTTTTAACGCTCACATGCAAAACATTAATACAAGCCATGGATATTTTTTTTAATAAACAAGTAAAAATAAGGCAATCCCCAATAAGAAAGACTTGAAAGACAAATAGGCTTAAGTGGTCACTAAAAGTGTCAAAATGTTTTGTCACTGTCAACATCACCTCACATGTTACAGCTAGCGCAGTAACATTCAGACATTTGACACTTAAAATAGAATGAGCGGCAAGTGCAGAGTCAGATAGGTGACAACATTTTATGAGTTCAACATCTTAGAAAATAGTCAGTGCTAGGTGCTTCAGCAAGATGAGACAATAAAAAGCCATCCCTGTTGCTAGCTTTCAACTATTGACCAATTCACTCAAAATGTTTTTTAAAAAATCGATTTCGTAACATAAAATAATTTCAGAATATATAATGAATATTACCACTCATCATATATTCTGTCAACACAATTGTGAAAAAAAAAAATTTCAGGTGATGGCATTTCATTAAACATGAACATGAGTAGAGTCACAACAGCGTTTCACTCACATTTTCACCAAAAGCCTACCCGAATTATCTTGATGTTATACCAAATATCAACATATTTAATAACAACCACAAACAAAAACAGACCACAAATGATTTCAAATATCATCTTTGGAATAGAAAAAAAATGATGTTTTGACCTCAAGCAAGAAGCATACAGTAATGTAAGCTTCAAGGACTTGCTTCTGTGGGTAAGTTATAAAGACAACATAGCAGCCATGAACCCATGAATAAGTACTTACTGTGTTTACAGAGACTTCAAGCTTGGCCTGAGTAAACTTTCACTGCCCAAGCTGGGCACCTGTTTATAAGCCTGGAAATATTGGACTCGATCTGCTCTGGTTGAAACTTGAAGTCAATTCACATTTTGAACAGTGGATTGTGTTTTTTATGTCAGATCTCTTGAATGCAACATTTTTTTTTAAATTTTAAATCAAATTTAGATTTAATAGTTCAAACAACTTGACAAGATGTCTGAACTAATGAAATTAAAATGAAATAATGTACTGGTTAAAATTTCCACTATTTTTTTTAAGGGGCAGATATAGTGGCAACAAAGCCATCTATATTGAGTCCTAACTGTTGCAAATGTGAAAGCAATTTTTCAACAGCACCCATATTTTCCCGAGACACCTCAAACAACAGAAACTGAAAAAAGAAAATATTTAAAAATTAGTTATTTCTGTCATTAATGTAAATAAACATTCATTGAGATCACAGCTTATTAACAATGTTGAGGTTTTTTAAATTTTAAATTAAAATGAGTGATATTCTAAAGCTAAGACAGAGACAAAGAGGCAGAATACACAGGATGAACTTTAATATTTAAATATACAGTTTTTATGGGGGGGGGGGGGGATGTCAAAAGAAAAGCCCAACCCGTTCAGATATGTGTTTAAATAGAGAAATACTACAAGGCACAACAACAGATTTCTATTACGTCTTTCCATCCTGATACAGCTAGCGGCATGGTCTCTACACAGCATATAAACATCTGCTCCACCTGAAAAACAGTTTTATTCGCCTGTGCCATTTATTCAAAGAACAGCATCCATTCACATCAAGACAAGTTCATTTTTCTTTTAAAAACATTTGTAAACTATCTCTTTGTCTTAAGATTTCTATTAAATCTTAAAATGTTAAGTTTAAAAAAATATCAAAATGACGAAATTAGGAGTTAGTTATACGCATTTGTAAACATCTGCCAATAGCTTTCCTTAATATGGGTAGCTATAGGTTTATGTAAAAAGAAAATTTAATTAGTCAGTTGGGTTGTAAAACATGGAACAACAAAGCAGTAGTGAAAAAAAAAAAACATTTTTGATTATATATATATATATATATATATATATATATATATATATATATATATATATATATATATATATATATATATATATATATATATATATGTATGTATGTATATAAACAGCCTCTTTTATTAGAAATTTAATGCTAGAACATGAGCACTTAATTTAAGGAGACATAATAAAGCTGCATATACAACACATCTGACCCTCAAAGCTGATGGAAAAAATATAAATAAAAAGTCTACCTCTCTTTGTGTTCCCTCTATCTGTGCCAAAGCAATGGCCCTGAAACAAAGAAGTTAATAGAAACAGAAAACAACAGTATCTGCCATACTGTATTTGATGGTCTATACATGAAAACAACAGCATCTGCCTTACTGTATTGATGGTCTATACATGAAAACAACAGATCAGCCATATATAACAGCTGGTCTGTGAAAAAAGGTGGAAGTGTAAAAAATCTGAAACTCACATCTTCCAGAAGGTTAGGTTGGCAGGCCTGTCTTCCTGTGCTGCTAACATTTTACACCAGCTGTAGGCTCTTCTGGTCTCGTTTACTTCCAGACAGAGGTTGATGGCCCTGATGGGATGGACATGCACATGTAGTGGGGACCATTGCAAGGATACAATATAAGCATTAATACCTCCACCATCATAAGTGTAATCTATACTTTTTGAGATTTCAAATTCTACCCCAGGTGACTTATTTCACCTTGTGTATTGGACCTTGATGCCATGCATTGTATTTTGTAGCTTCCAAATGCAGAAGATCATGTTAGGTATAAAATAGAGGAAGCATGTAAGTCATAAGTCATTACTTGAATGACAAATAACTTAAAAATGAAAAGCCTAGGTAATTTTCACTTGCCATCTTCTCATAAGGCCATAACCCCCCTCTCCCTTATTAAAGGAGTAATATGTAAATGGTGTTGGTCAAACACTTTTTGTACAATATTTTCTCAAAATTTAAAACAAGAAATGCACAGAATCAAATACAAATTTTAAAATCTATGATGTTGCTCCTAACATCAGTGATATTTTACATACAAATCTGAACACATTACTTTAAACTTCTTCATTTAAATATAAAAACTTGAGTGCCATCAATAAGTATCTGCTATTATTTTTTATTTAACTTTTTGTCTCAGTTTTTTTATTTTTGTTTCCATTCAACTCAATTTATATTGTTTGATTACGCATGTTATTTTCTCCATTAAAAAAAAACTTTGAAAAAACACTGCCTATTTAAGTTCTCATAAACTTCCTACCTAAGCAAAAGCTGAAGATTTCCAGGAAAAAAGCCAAGACACATCTCCATCAGGTCTAGCCTGTCCTGTGGGGGCAACACCTCTAGCCACACCTCCACCAGCTGACTGCTGGGCTCGTAGTCAAACCAGGTGGATGCTGAGGACGTGGTGAACGGGATCTGGCGCTTGATGGGCATGGAGATTATAGACCGGCAGACTACGTCACGTATATCCTTACAGCTGCCTGACCTCACCATATAACCAATGTAACTGGAAACATACATAGACCATGTAGCAACAAATATGTGTACGGATAAAAAGTATTTTTATACAGAAACAATATATTACATAATATAAATTGCTTAAACATCTAAATGTTTGAAAGAAATTTTGAAAAGTATAAAATTGATACGTTATGCTGTTTTTAATAAGTATTTTAATAATCAAAAACAGTTTTTACATCTTAAATTTATTAGTTTTTAAGTCTCACTATTTTAATTAATTAAAGTTCAAACTTTATTCTGTTGTCTACTTTCTGAGTTATGTAAAAACAGGTCCATCATTAACAGGAAAACTAATATTACAGCAATCATGGTGAAAAAGATGAGAACCCACCTCCGCCACACAACAACTAGGTCATCAGCTGACTGGGCATGGGTTAACGACCTCTCATAGATCTCAACTGTTTCTGTTGTTTCTCCCTCCAGTTCCATTAACAAGCTGAGAAAGGCAAGACATCAATATAAGCCTACATTATACTGACTCTGGCCACACTGCTGCAGCTAGTATTCATTTCAATGCTTTTAGACCTTAAAACTATAGCATAGTGGCATGGTTTTTAGCTGGTCACATAAAGACACTTGAATGGCTTTAAAAGTATAACATTTTTAGAAATTCTCTAAACCTTTATGCTATGTAAACAGTTTTTTTTTTAATTTCAAGTTGAAAAATAGCTTATATTAGTTAGAAACAGCATTTTTCTATTTTGTTTTAAGTAGGTGACTTACCTATAACAAAGCCACAAATAAATGTCCTTATGTAAATCACTTGGAATTCCTTCTTTGATTATTGCCATTTGAAGATTGAATCCTTCATCTTGCTTGAGCAGTTGGCTAAAATATGGGAGATCTCATTTAACAACGTCACCGCTTATATTAATTAATACAGCTTTAATCATCAGTCATTAGTGTGGTAAAATTAATTCAGCATGTTTTCAACAGGATAGAATGTTAAGAAACATCATTAAGCAGGCTGATGTAACTATGACTAATTAATAAAGTGAGCTATGAAAATTAGCATTTGTCTTACCAGAATAGTAAATTTGAAGTCACAAGGAAGAAAATTGCTGTAACTATAATTAATTAAAGTATGTAGTTGATGAAGCTATGTAAAATTAGCATGTGCCTTACCAGAATAAAATGTTAGGATCACAGAGGTGCAAACTATTAGACTTGGCGTCAAAATGAGATATCACAAATTGTTCTAAGTTCAGCAGTGCCAGTTCATTTTCTCCCTGCAAGTTCATTAGTGAATTAACTCATTAAATTTTTATAGCTGTAATAGCTCATTACGTCAAATTGGCTATACATCACCGGCTATTATTTTTCCTTAATGTTGCATTTAGTAAAATGGTACCATGATTTTTACCTGTTGTAGTAGAAACAAGTTTTCATAATATTTTAATTTGGAGTTATATGGGTTGCTGGATAAAGCTTCCTTAAACACCTGAAATCAAAGGAAAAATAAAATAGATAAAAACCATCAAATGAACTAATCAAACACATCTTCAAAAAAAAAAAAACCACCGTTATGATTTTAATTAGTATTGCTAACTTGGGTATCAAAATCATGAATGGAGAAAATTGTACATGTATGAGGCTCTCTGTCATTATAATACATTAAGATGTGTGAGTCAAAGCATATTTTTTATAAAAGAACATTCAAGTTTATAACTTATTAATAATTAATTTTCATACAAAAATATGGAAAAAAAAATTAAATAAAAAGACTGATAAATTCAAGATGAAAAAATGCACCTTACTGCATACATTTGTAGCTTCAAATACCTGTTTAACTCCCTGTACATCATGAAAAGATGCATACAACTCAGCAGCAGTCAGCCACATATCAACAAGTTCTTTAGTAGCTAAAGCATCTCTACAGCATATCACAGCTTCTGCAGCTCTGAAATGTAAGATTACATCTTTATTACATTGATTTAGAAAAAGTTTTAAAATGTAAGGAAAAGATATAGAGAAGACTCAGGAATAAACATTAACATTTTGGTAAAAAAATTTCTTCATTAAATAATAGGTGACACATTAAACACAAAATAATTGACTTATTTCCCACAAGCTAAACGTGAAGACACTTACTTCCCCTGAGATAAATACAAAGCAACAAGTGACTTGATGATCTGTATATACAAAGCGGTTGTCTCTGGATCTCTCTCACTACCTGTCCACACTTTGGCAGCTGTTGCATGCAAACTAACTAGGTGGTCTAAACTGGTCTGTAGAGGGGTTTGGGATGACCATGGCAGAACTATCTTGTCCTGATTGAAAAATTTTAAAATTAACTCCAAAATACAAAAATAAAGAAAAAACTGACTTTTAACTAGAACATAAAAATTTTTATGCTGAAAAAAGTTTCTCCAACGCTTGTCTAATACATTAATTCTAAACACTTTAAATACTTTCAATTAATTAAAACTTGACAATGCATAGAGCAACAAACCTTGGCTAGAAGCTTTCCTGGATTCTGATCAGCAATGCCATAGAGAGCTGCAGGCAGTTGATGCCACTCTAGGACATGAATGTAGACCATCCACAGGGTGAGTAGATCTGCTGGAGTCAGCAGTTCTGCCAGCTTCAAGTCACTAACTTGTGTCTTCTTTAAGCCTAAAACAGCCTGGAAATTAAAATTGTTCATGTATGAGCTTTTATTAAGTGATGAAAATTTAACAAATTCACCCAGAAGTAGTCTACATACATAAATAATCACAAATGTTGGTAGTACTGGTCAAATAAACTTCGAGGCTGTGATAAACACTATGGACTACACAATTTTGATAAGGTACATGAAGCATATTTAAAAATTTTAGTATTTCTAGCTTTCAGGGAAAAAACAGTCAAGACAATATGGTAAATAAAATTGAATTCCTTTTTAAATAAACTCATCAAATCAATATTTTAAAAAAAACATCACACAGTACAATTAATTCTTTCCTTAATTATAATTTTGTTTTATAAGTACATAGAATAGACACAGTTTAGTAACTTAAATGCTGTCAATAGTATTTCCTTATTAGCTTAACCAACCTGTAAGAAATGTAGAGCGGTTTTAATTTTCCCAGCATGCAAGTTGAGGCCAGCCTTGATCAGGACCATTTCCAGCACCTGATGTGATGACCTCTGCACTGTGACCTTGTATGTTGACTGACCCCGAACTTTTATACTGGCTCTACCTTCTGTATGCCTGCCAATGTTAGCATTGCTATCACAACCATCCATCTGAGTATCACAGTATCCAGAGTTAATTAATCCACGCTCTTGTCCCTTCCCACTTTTTAAATCTACATGAGTGGGTTGTGTATCATCAGACATGTTAACATCACTGGAGTCTCCAGCCATGGTACTGGGATGTGAGTTATTGATTACTGTATTTATATTTGTATTTACATCTGTATTTACATCTGTTGTATTATTTTGTAACAGGGGTGGTGTGTTTGAGGTGCTAGAAGGATCTGTCAAGTCTCCTGATGATGGTTGAACTAATGCAGAATCTGCGATGTTGCCAGGCTTGGCCTTGGCCAGGTTTTCCAGGATTTGAGTGCACACCTCATCCTTTTCAGTAAATGTTTTAAGAGTTGAGAGATACTGAAAAAGTAAAAAAAACCCGAGTTTAATCTAGATGTTCATACATAATGAATAAACAAAATTTTCCATGAATTTCAGTTACTGGGCAACAGTTCCTTGCATACTGTATACTTCTTCAATTATTCAAGAGGTAGAGAACATAATAGCAGACCCAAGTCTTAAGTTAGGTTTCTGAGTTCACCCAGCATTAGTTGTCTCAAAAGCAACTGGGCATTATTTTAACCTTACTACTACTTCCTGTGCCAAGGTCAAGGAAAGATGCAAAATCTAAACCATTTTAAATTTGAAAATGCATAACAGAAAATAAAAATTGTTTTAATAAGTTACTTTAAATTCATTGAATGATAGAAAAAAAAAGTTACCAGGAACCACAAATCATATGAAGGTGCATATTCTAAAGCTGTCTGACAGTACTGCAAAAAGTCTTTCACATCTGGGTGTCTCCTGTACAACATTAGATAGCGGTGCCAGAGCCCAGGGTCACTTTTGTTGACTTCCAGGCCACGGGCCAGTACATTTAAAGCTTGGTCTAAGCATTCTTTTGGAGACCTAAACATACACAAAATAATTTCATTAAGTTAGGGAGATTTTAACATACACAAAATAATTTTATTACGTAAGGGAGATCTAAACATACTCAAAATAATTTTTATTAAGAAAGGGAGATGTAAACATACGCAAAATAATTTCATTGTTATAAAGTAATACAAAATTGTTACACATATTTGATTAGGGTTACTGACATCTTTAGAACAACAGGAATTGTATTACATTAGATGGTTGTAAGAGCATGACTGGTGAATATATGGCTACACAACTGTTGATGATTACATTTATAATAGGTGAGTATATGGCTACAACAGCTGGTTGTAAGAGTAAGATAAGGGATTCTAAAACTACACAACAGGTGATGGTACAGCTATAACAGGTGACTGTAAGAGTGTAAGACAGATGAATGTATGACATGACAACATCTGATGTGACTGCTACAACAGGTGACTGTAAAAGTATGACAGGTTAAGTATGACATTACAACAGTTGATGGAACGGTTACAACAGTTGAGCACAGGGCTAAAACAGGTGACAAGTAAATGTATGACATTACAACATCTGATGAGACGGATACAACAGGTGACTGTAAGAGTAAGACAGGTGATTCTATAACTACGTTGATGATACAGCTACAGCAGGTGACTGTGAATGTATGACATTACGACATCTGATGAGACGGATACAACAAGTGATAGTGTAACTGGAACAGGTGATTGTATAGTTATACAACAGTTGAAGGTAGGGCTACAACAGGTGACTGTCAATGTAAGACATTACAACATCTGATGAGACAGATACAACAAATGATAGTGTTACAGCAACAGGTGATTACTTGTTTGGATCATTGAGCTTCCTGCTGGCCAGCCTCTGCCAGAGTTGAGTATTTGTCTGATCCTCCATAATCCCCGCCTCCAGAGACAGCAACTCTGTAGAACCAGCAGCAAAGTACCTCACATCTTCTTCATTGATAATGGCGTCTTTATCTGCAGCTTGTCTTTTCTCTGTATCTTGAATACATTCACAAAGAGAAACGTTATTTGGCTCTAATAAGTTATTATTTTTATAGACGTATCCACCACTTTTGCTTCATTATGTCAGTTAACAATGATATAAAACGGTAAGAACTAGAAAATTTAAAAATGGATAATTTCATTAACTTACTTATTCCCTCAATCTCTTTCTTGTTTAACTTGTGGTCCAAATACAAGCTGAGCCCAGTTTCTTCTTTAGAAAGTGGTTTCCATTTTCTTGGTTCTAAACTTATCATGTAGGGATGACCTAGAAAAGTATTTTTTTTAAAATACATTTATAGTTTCTTCATCAAAACTACTTCAATAAATCATTATATAGATTAAAATAACATTTCTTTAAAAAAAATATAACCCAGTATATCCTACTATCCTGCATTTAATAAAACAAGGAAAAAAACATACGTTTTCCTAAAGCTGAGCTTGTTTCTGCAGATAACCAGAGACATAGCTCATCAACTGTCATCTTCCCTTTGTGTTTGGTCATTACATTCTCTACATAGGAGCCTGACAGGGAATAATGAAATCATGAAACAAAACATAAATAATATAAAAAGAGCAGTACTGGCAGCCATATGAAAAATGTTAGACTCACAGACACAACTTTTAATGTCCTCAGAAGAAATAATATAAAAGGAGCAATACTGGTAGCCATATAAAAAAATGTTTGACTCACAGACACAACTTTTATGTCCTCAGATGAAGACAATATAAAAAGAGCAATACTGGTAGCCTTATAAAAAAATGTTCAACTCACAGACACAACTTTTAATGTCCTCAGAAGAAGACAATATAAAAAGAGCAATACTGGTAGCCATATAAAAAAATGTTCGACTCACAGACACAACTTTTAATGTCTTCAGATGAAGCGTTGTCTCCTGCCCCTGCTAGTTTAGGACAGTAAGAAACAATGTCCTCTAGAAGTTCTGTATCACTGAGTTTATAATCTTTTGGGTGTTGCCTGCAATGGTAATTCATATAGTTAAAGTCTTAGCAGATTAAATAGTGATCCAACACTTTGAACACAAACAATATATACAAAAAGATTATCTTATAAGCGTTATCAGTAGTGTTGTGAAGTGAGTTGAGGACGGGGTAGACCACACATTACGTAGATTCACAAACACAAACGATCAGAGACCAGCGACTTGACAGGATCGCAGTTTCATTTCAATCTTTATTGCACATGAGATCCACAGACGACAACTTTTGCAACATATACGAAGACTTGATTACATTCATGACGGGACGAATACTTCGACACCCTAGCACAACATGTCATAGCCTACTTGACCAGCAACAAGATCATACACTCAAACGTCACATCCTTACGTGGCTTGTCACAATCTTTTATTAGTATAATATCACTCTACAGCACACATTCTCTCATACCCTTGCAATACACTGAGATACCATTCATAACAAGTAGTATTTATACGTAAAAAATACAGCTTTCTGAGCGGAAGGCTTACAATACCCCTGGTTTCAATATGCTGATGTCACATGAAATCTATCTTGACCATCATGTCTAAAAATTGTACTTTATTTAAATAGTTTCCACATTTAAAAAAAAAGACAACACTTAACTGTTGACATGAATCATCATGGCAAGTCCCTTGTAAGTCATAAGGACAAAAGACACAATGTGGGTTGATCTTATGAGAGTATGTTGTACTTTGAAACCCAAGGTTTTCTTTTGTGCGAAAAAATGAGCTTAATCTGAAATACAAGTTTATAACAGATTACAATGATAAATAAAATTTCTAGTTAGAGATTCCTTAAGGCCAACAACAACTGGATACTGTTCATCAGCCTAAAATACACAGTATGAGGTTGTCTAATAATTATATATATGAATATATTTATGCAATTTAAACTTCCAGGAATGATATGATAAGACAATTAAGACAACAGCAACAAATAGTAACCTAGAAATTCAGAAAACAACTAGTATTACAAGACATGACATAGCTTGAAATTCACAAGGATCAAGAAAAAGAGGGGGAGACTCAAAAACAACTGGCACTAAGAAATTGAAAAAGAAAAGAAAATTATGGGAAAGAGTTTGAAAGAAATGGAAAAAAAAAATGCAAATGATGGAGAAAGCATAGAAGCATGTTGTAAATGTTTCATGCCAATGGAAGTTTAAAAAGGGCGAAGAAGATGAACAGCTAGTTTCTGTGTTGTCCCTACTATCTACAATATATGAGAAATCACAGCTCTCACCTGTAGGATCTAAACATGAGTAAGGCACTGGTATAAGCCAATTTTGCAGACTGCTTTGGTACTTTCTTATCTTTTACTTCTTGAATGGTTAACTGTGATGGTAACTTTTGCTAAAGAAACAAAGACCATATACTAATTATAATGAAAACAGTGATTTTATTTTAATCACATAACTGTGGGTTATTAAAGACTTAAAATATAAATGAGCTGGCTTCTAATTATAAATAAAAATGTCTACTTTTAACTATAAATAAATATCAATTTCCAAATCTCAAAAATTATCTAACAAAAGCTGTTATTATTACTGTTATAAAAGTTAAATTTTAAAACTACTGTTAATGTAGTTCACACCTGTGGACTAGAAAGACTTGTGTAGTGATGTAGGTTCTGTATACAGGACATGGCATCTGGACTCCTGAGATGTTTTTCTACTTTCTCATCCTAAAAGAGTATTAATAAATTAACAGACTATACTAATTACTGTGAATAGTGTGTTAAGCTTTGAGTCATTATTATAATACTTTCTAAATTAAAATACTTTTCTTACAGATTTACTTAAAAAATATAACAAAAATAAGTGAAGACAAATTAACTATCAACAATAACTTACTTGTAATTTACTTAAATATTTTAACTGCATACCACTGGGCATCTTGAAGGCAAATTTGTGGCCCCAGCTGTCAACCAGGTTTTCAGTAGCAGACCCTGATTTTATATTTTCTACGTCTTTTACACCTTCGTCCATTTTATTTTCTTTCCCTAAGTAAGAGGAACTCTTCAACCTGCTGTGCCTTGTCATAGGGATATTTGGGGTTGTGCAAGGGTTAATGTCGAGAAGTGACTTCCGTCTCCTCTGTAAGACCAGGTCTGGATTAACATTCTGGTCAATGCGTATGACGTCCTGAGACTTCTGTTTAATTTTGAGTTCATTGTGTTTTATCACAGTCAAGTTTCTAGCCAGGGGTTCACTTCTTTTTTCTGTCCTCTTTGTCTCCTTTAATTTTTTCAGCCTTTCAGCTATTTCTTTTTCTTTTTCTATGAGTTTTTGTTTCTCCAAAGCAATATACTGTGCTCTTGTCAAGGTTTTGGTTGCTACTGGATCCTATGAAACAAATCAATTTGATTTATTCTAAGCTCAAGTTTTTTTTACTATTAATATTGTGTTAAAAGATTTCTATTTATAACAGTCCTTGTGATATTTTCAACAAGTTAAACAAAAAAGAGAAAATAAATTGTTTTTAAATTTAAGAATTTATATCCACAATTCTTAACTTCTCAAAACACCCCCCCCCTCACAACCCCACTCACTTCATCTACTGAAAGAGCTTAAAAGTAAGATACACAACCCCATACTTTGGATGGTCTACATACCTGAGGTACATTCCTTACAGTTGGTTTAACAGACCTAGGTAGGTATGCTGGTCCAAAGAGCTTCCTTCCAAAGGCAATAACACTTTTTTCTTTATCAGCTAAAATCACTTTTTTCTTAACCAACTTATCAAGCAGTGACTGAGCCTAAAAATAAGGTAAACAATATATACCTAAATGATAAAAAGAAATTCATTTTTACAAGCTTTTATTTAACTCACTTCCTCTGTCTGTCGTCAGTCTAGATCAAAACGCCCCAGCGAAATTTCTGACACTTCTAACTGACAGATTTCTTTCAAGGTCAAGACATGAAGACAATGCAACATGACATTAAATTTGACTTAATTGGTTGCTTGATTAATTTTTTTATGAATTAAAATTGTGTACAAATTGGTAAGCTGTCTCATCAAACTATTCCGCACTATTAGACATGTGTTATCACGTTCATTAGGTGCGCATGGTTTTTAGTCATGCAACTCTATTGTAAATTTAAAACATTTAAAGTACTGAAAAAAAATTCATAAAAAACATTTTAATAAGTTTCATGTAATAATGCACTAAAAAGTAGAAAATAAATTATATACTACTATATTAATACTAATAGTTTCGCTGTCTGTCTATCTATCTATCTATCTATCTGACAAGAACGCTCTAGAGAAAACACAAGGAAAATAAAAACATGCATAGTAATTCGAAAACGAAGTATGACGTCGACACATTTAGCACAGAGTAGAAAATAATCTCAAGCCGGATAGTGTACACATTAATATGACGTCATTGATTATCGAGTAAACATTCAATACAAAGGCAATTTTGTCTAATCTAAGTGGTTTGCGTGAAGAGTTTCTTTCATACAATTCTTCGGGTAGGGGCGAAGCCCCACCCCCGCGTAAGAACGTCTGAGCCCCCCCCCTCGGGGAGGGGGCGGACACTGGAAAAAGTATATAATTATATTTCGTTGAATGGGACGGTAGACATGTTTTTTTAGGGGGGGTGGGGGGGTGGGGTGGTTTTAATTTAGACTTTTTCCTCCCCGGAGAGGGGTGGGGGTACTTGAAATTTTCGGTGGCGGGGGTAGAATTTTCGGGGAGGGGGCGGACACTGGAAAAAGTATATAATTATATTTCGTTGAATGGGACGGTAGACATGTTTTTTTTTTTTGGGGAGGGGGGGGGGGGGGGGGGGGTGGTGGTGTGTGTGTGGGGGGGTGGTGTGTGTGGGGGGTGGGGGGGTGGTGTGTGGGGGGGGTGGGGGGGGTGGTGTGTGTGGGGGGTGGGGGGTGGTGTGTGTGGGGGGTGGGGTGGTTTTAGTTTAGACTTTTTCCTCCCCGGAGAGGGGTGGGGGTACTTGAAATTTTCGGGGAGGGGGCGGACACTGGAAAAAGTATATAATTATATTTTGTTGAATGGGACGGTATACATGTTTTTGGGGGTGGGGGGGTGGGGGTGGTGTGTGTGTGGGTGGGGGGTGGTGTGTGTGGGGGTGGGGGTGTGGGGGGTGGGATGGGGGTGTGGGGGGGGGGGGGGTGGTTTTAGTTTAGAGAAAAGAGACAGCACTATCAGCCTAGCGCCCGGTGTATCCTTCCTCAACGGGCCATTTTTCTCGTATTTAAATAACTATAATAACTATAAAGAAAAGCATGGGTCTCTTCCTAAAAATTAGTAAAGGAATTCAAAGGATACTAAAGTGACCCACACTTTTCTTTATAGTTATTTAAATAGTATAGTAGTGTATAATTTATTTTCTACTTTTTAGTTCATTATTACATGAAAGCTTGCTATTAAAACGTATTATATGAATTTTATTTTTAGTTGTTTAAATTTACCTTACAACAGCTTCAATTAACTTCAAAACATAGCAGAAAAACTCTCAAACTAAATTAAGATTAATAAACTGGTTCAAATGCCTCATGTTTTTCAGTTTCAAAAATACTAAGCGAATTCTAAGTTTGATTACATTATATGGTATTACTAGTAATAGTAATGAATTATTATTAAGTGAAAAGATTTTTTTTTTACTTCTTTCTCTGTGTTTTCCTTCTGCATTTTGTGTGACTGTGCTATCCTGTCAGCCACCTTCATCTGTTCAGTTAGCGATGCTATTTGTGCTTTCAGTTTGTCCCGCTTCAGCTCTGCCTGTTTTTTGGCTTTCACTGATTTCATCGCCTTTTTGACCAATTGGTTTACTTTCGCCTGGTCATTTGATATATTTTGCCTAAAAGAAAGTGACCGTTTTTGAAATGTAAACAAAAATTTATTTTTCAATGATAAATGTGCTATAGAAACTTACTGGTTTGTAAAAATTAGGTATTAAAAAAAAAGGTAATATCTTACTTGTACAAACTAAGGTACATCTCCAGTTTTTGAAGAAATTCAATTTCTTTACTTTGATTACCTGTGGCCTAGAATTTATTAAGAAACATTCTATTTTAAAAAATAAATCACCTATAAACAATGGTTAAATAGTAAATTATAAACTGTTTTCAATAAGAAATGGAAACAATATAAACCAAGGTATACAACATCAGACACACCTTCTTTAGGTGTTCCTGAGCCTTTAAGAAAATGATTTTTTCTTGTTCTAAGATATCTGCTTGCTCTTCATCTTCACTTCCTGATGAGCCTAGGGGTACAAGCACTTGAGGATGTACAGGTAAAGATTGGCTCTGAAAGAAATTATTTAAAGGCTTCATATAATTGCACTCAAGTTCAATCAAATGTAATACTAACATTTTAGAGTTTGAAATATTTTTTAAAATTCATGTTTATAAATATTCTATATACTGGAAAATAAATAAAACTGCTAGTTTCAAGCATAATTTTTTTTCCTAAGTGAATACTTAAGCATTGACAATTTCTAAATTTCTAACAAAACTATTTTTAAAACAAACACTTATTCGTTTGACACCAAAAGTAAGAAACGTTACAAAGACCTGACAAATAATAATGTCAGTGAAAAGACATATAGTTCATAATCACACGCTTGACAATATCAACATTTTTAGCTTTAAGAAATAGCTTTGTTAGCTTTAAGAAATAAACATGACATACCATTTTATATTGCCTTTTGCCAAGTGTTGAGGCTGATGTTGTGAGAGGTGGGTTGTATGTGGAGCTGTTACTAAAATCCAGCTGGGTTGATATACTTTTAGCTTGTTCACTCTGGTGGGCTGGACCGGTGGAACTGGATGCTACAGAACTGCTCACAGGGGAATGGGCTAGCTTGCTGACTGTAGCAGTTGAAAGACTTTGAGAAACAGCAGTAGAACTTTTTATACTGCTTTCAGGACTTGCCTGGGAAACTTTTTGATTGTTATCAGAAGAGGGGGTGGGGTGTTTGACAGAGCTACTGGCTGTTTGACTAGAGATGACAGGTTGTGAGCTGCTACTCTGTAGCTTAGTGTGGCTTGGGTAATCTCTATCTGATGCAGGTAAAACTGATTCAGTATCAGTTTTATGGATTTCCTTGGGCGGACCCAGCCTTAACGACACAGATGATGCAGTCCTTTGTACCATGTGTGATTTTTCTGTAACTGGCCTTTCATTTAGCTCAACTGTGCTTGATATTACCTCCCTTAGAGGCTCTGAGTCTGATGTTGAATTAAAACTTGCACTAACTACTTCATCAGGTATTGCTTCTGTCTTTAGCTGAGGGCCTAATCTCTTAGCTATGTTCGGAGATAAAACTGAAACAGATTTTTGAGCTTTGGTTATAACATGAAGTGCCTGCAGGGCTTCAGGCTTTATCAGGACATGGCTTAGATTGGACAAGGAACGATGTGAAGTCTCCTGCAACTTACTTCTGGGAGTTATCCTAGCCTGAATACTCTCTTCTTTAGACTCCTCCTTGGCCGTGACAAGGAAATCAAATCCAAAACTATTCAGTTGAGCAGCTGGACTAGTATCAAGCTTATCAGACACCACATTTTTAGTATCAGGAAATCCTTCAGGTGTTAGCATCTGTTTAACCTCCAACTCATGAAGCTTGAGGTGATCCACCTCTGGTAATCTTCCTTTGCTTAAGGACATCAGTGATAAAGGTTGGTTGACTTTTGGGCTAGTCTTTACTGAACTTGTGTAGGGTTCTGTAGGTACAAGCCTCGGAGACATGTTATGGTGTGATACATCCTACAAGTAAAAAAAATTTTCAACTAATGAATAAATAAATATATTTAGCAAAAAGGAAAGTAGTAATTGTTGCTGGAAGTGTATAAATTCTATTTGCCTTACGGATAGTTAGATCTGAAAAGGTAACTACTTTTTTACTTTTACTAATTGTTGCTAGATGAGGAGACAGATATGATAAAGCAATCTTTTTTATATTTCCATTATAAAATATACTGATTAGCTAGTTTGAGACAAACAATTTATTATTGTTGTAAATTTCACACTATAAAAATATGTAGCAAATATAAATATATGTAGTAAACAAAGATTAGCACTACCTTTAATTTACTTTTCCTCCTGTCTATTACAGTAGCAAGAAGCTTCTCCCTCAGCAGATTATCATCTTCATCAGAGTCAGAAGTGTGGCGGCTTTCATGGCCCTGATTTTGTTTGACAGATGGGGTGATAGATGTTGGGATGTATGGTGGAGGGGAAGAATACTTGGCCCTTTTACTTGAAGGTTCATAGGGAAAGTGTTCTTCATAGGATGGACTTAAGCTCTTTCTTCTAAATTGTCCAGGTGGAGAAGGAGACTGGTCGTATTTTCTAGCCCAGCTATCTAGGCTCTGTTTTGGACTGTAAGACAATTTATTTGAGATATCTCTTGAGCTCCTGCTTTGATACGGACTGTAAGGTACTGCTGCTCTTGTGTGACTCTTGGACTCATGAAGACCTCTGTAACCAGTTGATTCATCATCTGACAAATACCTAGTATCTTTAAAAGTAGATTTTCTAAATGGACTTGGTGACCTGTACCTCCTTGAATCTTCATCTCCGAGTCTGTAAGAACTTACAGGGGAATAGGGCAGAGGGTATTCTGAATCAGAATGGTTACTTTCAGTGTGACTAGAAAAATTATCCCGATTTCTAACTGATGGAGAGAGTGGTAAAGTTCTGTTTAATGGTGATTGGTCCCTTAGGTCGCCGAATTTTGAATTATATTTTCTCGGAACTTGTGAGGCAGGAGATGAAGACATCCTTTGTAAATAATCAAACTCTTTATCCATCTGGATGTAAGCCACATCCCTATGAGGCGAAATATTCTTCTGATTAATAAAAACTCTTCTATTTTCTTGAGATTCCCCAAAATCGTCTAGCGAAGAATAATCTACAGTAGGCCTCGGGGGCAGGTGAAGATGGGCAGCGTCACCTTCAACAAAAATAAACCTATCAGAAAAACTCTTACTCTCTGCCAGGCTGTTGTAATTACTATTGGCAAAAGTTGTTGGATGTCTGGACATGCTCTCATATCTCTTCTGCTCCTGTTCCTCTCTGATTTGATGAAGACGAGCTGCTATAGGGTCCTCAATGTTCTGCTGTAATGAGCTCTCACCCTGGTTCATAAACTGAGGGTAAGGATCTATCCTTAGGGGAGGGTTTCTGACAACCCATCGTTGGTCTACGGCCACATTTCTCGCAGCCATGCTTTCCAAAGAAAATATTTCCTTCTCATTACTGGGAGGTAGGGGAGGAGGTGGTGGGGGTGGTGGTGGAGGTGGTATTGAAGGTGGTGGAGGCTGGATGAGAACAGGCATTGGGAAAACTGGAAAGTAAGGGGTCTGAGGGGAAAAAGAAAACAAAATCAATTTACCTCTATAGAAGAACAACTCAACAAAACTAATTTTAGGAGTAGGCTTATTAACCAACACTTAATCTACAAAAATATTAATTAATTTTCACTAAGTTTTTTTTACATTTAATTCATGAGAATTTTTACCTAAAAATAGCCTGAGGTTTGATAAATGCTTTACAAAAAGAAACAACATGATTGCCAATAAATGCTTATGAACATGGTTGAGATACAAGATATCATTTTTACAATTTTTCTGCCTAACTTTACAAATCATCACTAAAATATTTGTATGCCAAATACCAAAGCAACAAAAATCTTACATAAGGGACAATGGGCTGCATGGCTTGGTTAAAATTTTCTCCCAGCTGCAGCTTCTCCAATGTAAGTGAAGCACCTAAAAGGTTAAAGCATTTAAAACAAAACTGTAAATTACAGAAACTGAACCAACAGATTTCTTATAAACAAAATGTATTTAAAGAAAGATTCTAGCATTACCATTCTTTTCAGCATCGCTGTCAATATCCATTTCTACCTCATCATAGTTATCATGGAGCTGGCCAGATTTCTTGTCCTGGACTTTCTTACTTTTAGGCTCAAGCTTTTTGATTACACTCTGACTTTTAGCAATGTCTACTTTATTACTCAAAATTGGGATCTTTTTCTGAATCTACAAAACAAATAACAAGCAAAGTGTGAATAAACACCTTAATAGTTTTTCTTAAATGTAATTTATTTCCCTTTAGTATCTACTTTAACATATCAAATTATCCCAAAAAAGCTTGCCTTAAAATCTTTCATAGTTCCTGTGACTTTGGGCACTTTTTTATCAAGAAGTTTTATGAACTCCTCCATTGCTCTATCCCTGTCCTTCTTAGCTAAGGTGAGCAGGCGCTCATATTCTTTAGACAGAATCTTGGCTGAAGAGCTCTTACTTCCCTTGGGAGACTTACTGTCTCCCTCTGTAATACAAATGCTTAAGTGTGACACTAAACAGAAATATATAGAGTAAATGTTAAAGAAATATTGTAGAAAAATAGATTTTCAAAAATATAATAGATTACCTAAATTTTAAAAAAAATGTTTTAACTATAAAATATAATGAATTATCATTTTTAATTATGGTTAAGTATTACAAAAATTGTTTTAGCTATATAAAGCTTTAAGTAATGCTTTGCAATAAATCAAATGAAAACTTTTAGAATGTAAATTCAAAAGTTAAGACAAAAAGAAACAAATATATATTAATCAAAAAACCAGTTATACAACTAACTAACTTGGGCAGGGGTAAGAATATTTAAACACTTACTTTTATGACTTTCTGCTTTTTTCTTCTTACTCTCTCTGTTCTTCCTTTCAACACTTATGACGGTGGACTTCACCAAACCAGGATGCTCCTTCACTTTTTTACCTTTCATCTTGGTCGTTCCCGTGGTAGTTTTTCTATTTTCATCAACTTCCTCTTCATCATCATCCAACTCCACCATAATAATTTCTGGTGGCTTAGGCTGATCTGGTTCAACATCTGGGATAATCACAACAGATACCTCCCCAGTGGCTGCACCTTTAAAAAAAAAAAAAATTCACTATCAAGTTTTATTTCTGTATTTATGTTATCAAGTTTAATTACCAATGTAGTACAAGTATTGTTAAAAACATTTTATTTTTAAAAAAAAAGGTAAATACCCTGCTGCAAATTTTGGGGCTCTGAAGCGACAAGACGGTTGTGGCGTTCTGAGGTTGCAAGAGCTAATCTACGTAGTTCATCCAAGTCATCATCAATATTAGTAAATTTGTCATCCTATTACAAATTAATTTTAAAAATTAACATTTTAAAACATTTTATAAAAGCCATAGAACTTGTACTAATAAATGAAAACTCCAGGTCATGGGTGTTTGATTAGAGTTTAGCTTTTATTAAATTAAGTAAGTTTACTTCCAAAATTCAAAAACAAAAGAGTAAAGCTTACAAACATACTGAAATAAATTGGAATAAGATGAAAATAAATATAGAATAAAGCTTTTTAAAAAAACCCTACACATTTTTAAGTTTCAGTAAAACTTCTACAATTTCTCATCTTTATGAACATTCAATACAAAATTTAAGTTGAAATAAATTCTACTTTTACCTCCACTTCAATCACTGATGGGGCCTGAGTACTAGTAACTGGCTGATCACCATTCTCTAGCTCTCTCTCTTCTGACAGAGTGGTCACAAAAGGTGAAAGGTCACTTCCTTTTTCATTTATGTCTTCTGAAAGTCACATTAAATGTTTACATACACAATCTGCATCATCAAGATGAGGGAGAGTGAATGTGAAATGTAACAGTATAAAAATATTTTTGCTTAAAACCTGCCCATTTTTGTCACTCACTTCTGCTATATTAATTTGGAAAAATGAATATGGCACTTTAATAAATATATATATCACTCCCCTCTTACCAGATAGTGTTGACTCTCAGGGGCATAGCAAGGGGGGGGAGGGGTGCGGACAACACCGGATGACACCATTTAGGGGGGTGACACCATGGCAAAAAATAGCAAAATATATAGAGAAAAATGATAATTCCACGTAATTAAGGGATTAATTCGAGTGTTAAGAGGTGCAAGTCGAAAGTTTGTAGGGGGGGGGGGGGGGGGGCGGGGTGCAAATTGAAAGTTTGTCCCCAGGGAGGGTCGTTGCGCCTCTGGGGGGGGGGGGTGGTGACACCATTAAGTGCCGCACCGGGTGACACCCGACCTTGCTACGCCACTGTTGACACTTTTTATTTTTAGAACTTACCGTCAATCTTACATGCCTTCTCCTCCTCTTCTAGATGCTTCAACTGATTACGAATAAGCTCCTGTCTTGCTTCTAGCAGCTTCAGCTCGTCTTCTTCTTCAGCAGTGGATTCAACAGCAGGACTCCTATAAGGCTGAGCAATTGGGGAATTCATTGACTTTTCTACCAGAGGTTTGGAATGCCTCGGTGGAGTCAAAGGTCGTACAGAAGAGGCTCTAAACCTCCTGTTTGCCCATACTGAATCAGTTTTAAGGATTCAAGTCACAGTAGTAGATAAGAGGGTTGTAGGTTGTGAAATAAGCTGGTGGTTGATTTTACTTTTTGTTACTATTATGTTAGAAAAGGTAACTATTATTGTATTAAATGCCTTTCAGACCAAGAAGTCATTTTTTTCTATGCATTATTCATTTAATTCATATTTTGTCCCACTAATTCACATATATTAATTATTATGAAAGAGTTAGAGATGTTATTGTTGATATCAAATATTCAATTTTTTTCATTCATTTTTAATGACAATTCATTTATGGGACAAAAAAATGACATTCATAAATCTGTACTATTAAAATCAATTTACATTAATTACGTTATTTCTAATTACTCTAACCAGTAAGTCTGAAAACAAAAACAAATTATTTTTAATATCAAAAATCTAAAATATAATTAGCAAAAATTTTGGAAGGATACTCTTTGATGGTGTGTATGTATCTGATGTTACATTTTGCCTGGAGTCTGGCCTGTCACGATATCGCAAGTTGCTGTCATATCTGTGACTGCGCTGAATCATTTCTCCATCTGATCTCCTCTTGTCCCTTCTTTTGGAAAGAGATTTATTTCCACTGTCAGAACTACGACTGAAGCTGTCAGCTCCATCGTACCTAGAGGATTGGTGCTTGGAGGGTGTGAAATCCCTCTTAGCCACAGTATTGCTACCATAACTACCTAGATGTTGTGAATTATTTCTGCCATCACTATTGTTGTCTTCTGATTCATCTTCATCAGATAACTCTCCTTCTTCTTTTATATTATTTTTAATACCTGATACTGACATTATTTAATCTCCATAGGTGGACTAAAAGTTAACTGAAAAATAATAAAACAATGTGTAATTTAAGATGGTATTGCCTTAAGTATACTTTACTTTTAAAAGCTTGACAAAATTTGAGAAACTGGACTTGCTTAGTTTTGTTATTATTGAATCTAATAATTGTATTGAATATGAATAAAAAAAATTGGTCTTCCAAATTATTATTCTGTCCATAATGTATTAAATTTGACAAAGCCTTTAAAATATATTTATAAATATGATCACTAGAAACCATAACAATAAAAAACAAGCTTGCACTACAAAATTTTATTAAGTGACTGCGTGACATGTCTCAACTCTGCCCAAAGTTTAAATTAAACTTTAATATTTGAGTGGCACAATATCTAAATTTAGATACCAAGAATTCCCCTGGAGTCTTAAGATACAAAATATTAAATTATTAACTGAGACACATCTGGCAGCATTACTATATGGAGCACAGAGTGTGTGTACTTAACACTTTTGACATATTTGAAGCATAATCTGAAATATGTAGGGCCTAGGCCTGTCAGAAATACTGTTTATTACGCCAGAACGCAACTAATAAAAACAAGAAAAGTTATCCTAATACTAATGTTTACTATTTCAAAACAATTCAATACAAGGCCTTTTAATGAATGATATGGCGTGACAAACAACACTGTGCATGCGTGGTATGTGGCCTGATAGACTGAAAGGATATTGTTTATATTAATAAATTATTGTTTTGCGTTTATATTTAGCTCAATGCAACAAGCCCGTCGTTTGGTCTGGGGGGACATTCTGTCTAGGATTCAAATGGTCGACCAGAAATCTCATCTGTACTTTTTGTATGCTATACCACTGACATACTATAGTAGAATCTAGACACTTAGACTAACTTCACTGGATATGATCTAGTCTAGACACTAGATCTAGTAAAACAAATGTATCATTTCACACAAAAATGTTGGTTTCCATTCATAGTTTCAGTTTCATAGGAATTCTTTGTTTCACTTCAAAACTGTAACATTAATTAGGCCTAGGCATTAGGCCTAATAATTAATAAATTATCTCAGATTGAAGGTAAGAAAATGAACATGTCATAAGGCCCTCTGACTAATCAATAAATCTGAAATCATCTTCTAAAAATAAAACAAATCTAGATTTAGAAATCTAGATTATTCTTAGTTCCAGTAAATATTTATAATAGAAGCCTTGGATTTTAGATTTAGAATTGTGGGCCTAAATTTATAATTTAAATTTTAAAATTTAGTTATTAGTTAGGCCTAGTTACTAGATCTAGTAGTTAGTTAGTCAGAAAAAAGATCAACAACACAACAAACAAGTTAGTGAAGACTTAAAACACTATGATTAAAAAGTATAAACATTCTCCCAAATTGAAAATAGGCCTAGACTCTAGATTTCTAAGTGTTATATAATTTAAAATAATTTTCATTTTAGTGTAAGTCTGTAGGCCTACTGTAAATTAAAATTAAAACTCGCGTAGGCCTGGATCTCTTCTAGATCTAGAATCTAGATCTAGACTATTCTAGACTTGGGCCTATTCCTGCGTATTTTAGTAGGGCCTATTTATTTTGATTTTAAAAACGGCAGTGTGCTAAACCTTATAATGTTTACCTTTAATTAACTGTATTAAGTTAAATATCCTGAGTTGCAACTTAATATCAATATTATAGATCTAGATCTATAGATTTCTAACAATTATTTTCACAACGATAGTGAATTGTCAATACGTAACCAAGAAATGGTAAAACGGAAATTACCACACGAAAAGCGACAATGCCAGAGAAATGTGCATTGCCATTGGGTATTGTAAAAGAGTGATCAGCTCCGCCGAAAAGCAATCAGCTGGCAATCTGTAGCTCTACAAATATATTAACGTAATCGACGTCTACGTGCATATAACATTATGTGCCAAATATGGTGATTACTTAAAGGCCATGGCAATAACAGTTACAGTCACTGCCCGCGATAGCACGGCCCCGAAAAAAGGCCCTGTCAAAACGACCCCGTCAAATCGGCTCCCGACAATACGACTTAGTGAAAATAGCCCCGACGAAAGAGCCCCGACATATTGTCTCCAGTCAAATGGGCTCCCAATAAATAGTCTCCCGACATATTGGCTCCCGATAAATAGGCTCATGACTAATGGGCTCCAGATGTATTGGCTCTCGACAAATGGGTTCACGATAAATGGGCTCACGACATATTGGCTCACGACAAATGGGCTCCAGACGTTGGCTCTCGACAAATGGGCTCAAGTCATATTGGCTCCCGACAAAATGACCCCCGACAAAATGACCCCCAACATACTGGTTCCAGACAAATAAATCAAAAGACCACATTTGGTTTAGAAGTAACCAGTATGTGGACTACCACAATAAGCTCTTAAATGCCCTTAGGGGTCATCCATTAATGATTTTTGGCGATTTTTACCTCTCCCATCCCCTCCCCCTCCCCTCCATTATACATCGTCACAAAAAGCCAGACCCCCCCCTCTAAAATGACGTCACACCTCAGCCTACAACCCCCCCCCCCCCCTCAAAATTGCAGTTGAATTTATTTTTAAACATCGATATTTTTCCAAAATACTCTATCAAAATATAATATTTTGATCAATTCTTAATACAATTTATTTAAACCGTTTTCTAAAACGCGAAATAACTTTAAAAATTTGCTTCTCAACATTGCTTTTTTATAATGCAAAAGTGTGACGTCGCACCCTCTGAACCCCTACCCTCCCCCTCATCAAACACCGTCACAAAATTACGGCCCCCCTCCCCCTACGAGTGTGACGTCATTTATGGACGACCCCTTATGGAAAACTTTTTTGCCCCAGCAATACAGATCCGAAAAAAATAACAGTGGCTTTGTTTACCTTTTAACAGTCTCAGTTTTAGAAAATAAGGTCACACGACTACAAAAGATGTCTATGATGGAATTTTTTAATCTCATTATTTGTTCATTATGATGCTGTTGCCTACTTTCACCATTCCTGTTCCTTCTGGCCATAGACTGGATTATGAAGATGTCAACAGAGAAATCACAAAACGGTATACAGTGGACACTGTGGAGCCAGCTGGATGACCTGGACTTTGCTGACGACCTGGCCCTTCTTTCTCATACACAACAGCAAATGCAGGATAAAACCAACAGGGTTGCTAATATTTCTATATGCCTGAGCCTGAACATTCACAGAGGGAAAAGAAAATTTCTCAAAGTCAATGCATCAAACAGCAACCCTATAACATTTGCAGAAAGTACCCTAGAAGAAGTGGATAGATTCACCTACCTTGGAAGTATTGTTGATAAGCAGGGTGGGACAGAAGCAGATATAAAAAAGGACGGGCAAGAGCAGTCTTCAACCAACTAAAAAATGTTTGGGGTTCTGGAGATTTAATCCTTGGGAATAAAAATCCGGATCTTCAACACACTAGTAAAACCTGTTTTACTCTATGGAGCTGAGACATGGAGAATAACTTATAAATAAGAAGAAAACACAATCATTTATAAACGCATGCCTCAGAAAGATCATGCGAATTCGCTGGCCTAAAACCATCAGAAATGATGTTCTATGACAAATCAACTGCCAGTCGAAGTAGAGATCCTCCAGAGAAAAATGGAAATGGATTGGCCACACACTCAAGAAGCCTGTATCCAGCATAACAAGACAGGCCCTCACCTGGAATCCACAAGGCAGGAGGAGGAGAGGCATACCAAGAAAGACATGGAGACGTGACCTGGAAGAAGACACTAAGAAGATTGGATACACCTGGGGGCAGTTGGAGAGACTAGCCCAGGACAGAGACGTCTGGAAAGCTCTTGTCAGCGGCCTATGTCCCAGTAGGCCCCTCTCTGACTTATCTTTTATTTTTTTAGCTGGATACAACATAAATTTTTCAGTAAATTTCACAATGTTTCGTCACAATGTGTGTTTGGTTTAAAAAAAAAAACAAAAACACATTAACTGTACGCCTGTAACATTTTTACAAACCTACGGGGTTGTAGGCCTACATAATATAGTATAAATAAAAAATCAGGATGCATAAAATACAAAATGTACAGAATATTTATATTATTTAAAACCCTACATCGGAAGTAACCGTTGATTTCTAAATTTCACTCCGTTGAAGCCCAACGACTGAAAATCGTTCCATAGGGGCCCGAAAATCCTAGCAACGCCGCTGGTAGGTTTCAATGTAATTTGATACTTTGCGAAATTTAGTTATGGTGGGGGGGGCGCCGAATCTACGCTTGACTGATACTTAATACTTCTACCAAAAATAATTGTGTTCTATAATTCTATAATACATTATTATTATTATTATAGTATTAAAAAATAGTTATCACCGAAAAGCTGAGGTGGAAGGGAAGCTACTCTTATTCAAATAGTTATAAATAGAAATTGGATATTCCATTCAAACAACAAGAGCACAGGTAGACTTACAGTCAATAATATAATATTAAAAAGGTGATTCGCGGAAAACTACATTTAGTTTCAGTTTTAATTTAGGTCTAACATAAACAATAGGTGTAGTTAAATTTCCAAAGCGATAATTTAAAAAAAATATTTACACTACTAGATCTAGAATAGATTCTAGATCTAGCTAGATCTAGAGATCTATCATCTAGAAATCTAGATCTTTGACTTGTGGCGGTAAAAGTAAAACGTTTTTTCTTTTTGTGTTTACTCAAGCTTAGTTTACTGTTTAAATTAGTTAGTAGTTAGGTTGTGTTTATCGAGTTTATGTTATAGAATCTAGGGCCTGTGAAGCAGCCAATAAAATTATTAAAATACGCTAAAATGGAGTTTTACCTGGCTGGGCTATGCATTTAAATTTATTTATTTTAATTTAAATGTAGATCTATAAGGCCCAGCTAATAAATAACAATAACGAAGTGACTACTCGGAAAAAAGATTTTTTGCCCCAACGTCTCCACCTAGTCGGCAAAAGATAGTTCTGCGCTTGCGCAGTGACCTATGGCTAGGGTTATGGTTAGGGATAGGGTTAGGAATACGGTTGGGGTTAGGGCTAGGGTTCTGCAATTGTAAACACACGCATGCGCAGTACGATTGAAAACATCGCCGCGAAGGCAAGTTGTAGTTTCTCTCCATTGCGCATGCGTATCTTTTTCCGGCTAGCATCGGCCAATAAATAATAATAGAACTAGATTAGTGAATCTAGATCACTAGATCTAGGCCTAGATCTAAATAAATATAATAGGGGTGCCTACTAAATACTAAATAGGCCTAGATCTATTTGTCATTTGATATTTATTTGGGTAATCTATTGTTTTAGGTACGTAAAATCGGCTCCTATGTACTATTACCACAATGCAGATAGACCTACTTGTTTTTTAAATAATTTTATTAAAACCTTTCTATAATAAGTAAACATTAGCAATGTTTTCATCAGATGCAACCAAACTCATTTACTTTAGCAGCCATCTGATATTTTTTTTTAATAAAATTATAGAGATTCAGGGGAAACCACTCTTATTTACAGTTGGCAGCTGTATATAAATATATAGCAAATTTTACTCTCAAACACTGCTGTTTAAAGTTAATTTCTGGCATTTATTGATATATTTAAATATTGGTTTTGGTTTACCATTCAATTATCTATTTTATTTGACACATATATCACAATATTATTAAAGCCATAATAATAAGTCACCTTTTTTCACATTACTAGCCTTGCATGATTTTTAGGTACCTAACACAATAGATTTCTAATATTTGTTACTTACTAACACTTAGGGCTTAGGCCCTACTACTTGGGTTCTTAAAGTTGTAACTGACACTACACAATACCATGAATTGACAGTAGGAGATCAGATCTAGATCTTGACTTGATCTAGAAATCTAGATCTAAAAGATCTAAAAGCTTCGATCTACCACCAGCTTCAACTAAGGCCTGCTTAACTTTCAGTGCTAAAGAATAAGTTAGAGTGTTACTGATAGAGTTATGCCTAATCCTAATAAATATCGAAGTGTCTTTTCCCAGTCAACTGGGAATAACTCAGAATAACTGTATTAAGGCTATGGTTTTTGATACATTTAAATTCATTTAATGTTAAAAACACCCTATTAAAGCTGTGGGTTTGAACCCATCAAATGTCTTCATACCTTTGTCATTCACTGTGTTATCCAATTTTTATTTTTTTTGCTGTTATTAATGAGTTACTTTCCTTAATTTTTTTGTTTGTGACGTGAATGCAGACATATTTGCAGGAAAAAATTACATGTCCCGTAGATTTTTGCGAAGAGAAAAACAATAAAAAAAAAGGACATGCTATTTAACCTGTTATTTACACTCCCTCCCCCCCATTCTATGTGAATTTAAAATGGTAATTAACAGTTGAATATCAATGTGAACTATAAACTAAATTGATGCATAATTAATTTATTAATTTAAAAATTACTATTAATCCCTGATTAATTAGTTTAGATTTAGAGTGCATAATTGATCATCAACATAGAAGATGTGAACCTAAACTAAACTTAAACCATTATACTTTTTCTTATAAAAATATAACACAATGAAAATAGCACTGTCTTAATCTATACCTCACTCCCCAGTCGCGATAAATGCTTTTGTTATTGTAAGATGTTATTCCTAGTCGTACTTTGCATGAAATGATTGCCGTTTAGGAATAGCCATAGTAGGGCTATTCACTGTCGGCTGGAAATAGCCTTGGCCAATAAATATATTAATAGGCCTTCCTACACCTACTCACTTAGGACTTAAACCTACTAATGCTATTAACAATATTCATTAGTATTAGTAATTATTCTATTACATTATAATATTTAGGGCTAATAGTTAGAAATTATTATCTAAGTTTAAAAAATAGTTCAAAATATTAGGCCTAAATATAGATTTAGAAAAAACTTTTGATATTTGATTTATGATAAATAAACTTAACACTTCATACATTTCTATTTTCTTCTCATCCTTACCCTTACAGGCAACAAAGATTAGAATCAACAGAAAATGATTCGATATTCCTGCTCTTATGTTACAACCACACATTGGATCCTAGCTTACAGATATAAGAAATTTGAACAAAATATGTTCTAATTTACTGAATCTTTGCTTGGAACTAAACTGATTACAGAAATGATATCTGAGTCTAGTATATCATCAGATGATGATGATTGTATTTTGGAAACACCTACCAAAGTTAAAGTCAGCCCTAGTTATTCAAGAGAAAGCAAACTCCCAGTCTATAAAGACAAAACTGAAGAATCCATGAACCACAAACCAGCTGATAGTACACCTGTTGCTTGTAATTCAAGTACATCCGTAGCTCGTAATTCAAGCTCTGAGTTGTATGTGTTTGATAGTGATGCAAGTACCATTCCAGAGAGTGATCCGGATTTGGATAGTGATGATGATGTAACCACGTATAAGGCATCACCACAACCCATGGAAGAAAAATGTATCAACCTGGTATCCTCAGACGAGGACGAAGAATCTCAAAGTATGTTACAGACTCAGCCGTCACAGAGCAAAACAAAACCCTCCCAAGACAGCATGCCCAATAAAGCTAAGAAAATTGTAGAGTACCTCAAACAACCAGCAGTAAAAGAAAAAATTGGGGCATTTTTTCAAAAGGCCATTAAGATGCAAAAAGAAAAAGTGTGCAACTGGGATGAAAAACATGTGGTCAAACGTCAAGTCTCCAGCAACAACGAAGCATCCACTTCGTTTAGCCAGTTAAAGTCCCCTACGTTTAGTAGAAGTTCGAAGCTCAGTTTGAAAAAAAATGATTCCCAATCTGGAAACACAAGTATGAGTCAAAGCACAGGTGGCACCCATGACATATCTGACTCAGACATTGTATTACTGTTGTCTGATGACTCCCAGCCCCCCACGCCAAAGAAAAAGGTGTTTCCCTCATTTTCCAGCACACCAGTCCCTCGGTCAGCCAGTCAAGGTCTTGATAACACCTCCCCAGTTTTTAATAGCTCTCTAAGTGAAAAGCAGAGCTCCAGGAGTCAGTCAAAACTGAACATCTTATCACCAGTGGGTGACAACATAGTAGTCTCTGATGATTTAAATCGGTCGATTCCTTCCTTAGAGAAGCAAGCTTCAACACAGTCCCCCAGAGAAGTGCTTGGTTCACCCCCTGTTCTTTCACAGTATCCAAATAATGAACATCTACCTGCAGATGGAATCACAAATAGTCAAAATGTAGAAAGTTCTAGAACGACACAGGAGAGCAAAAGAACAAGACATGCCTCTTTAGACAGCGTTCAAACAACTGTTAAAAACATAACCACACAGGATTCATCATTGTTTACACAAAACACCTCCAATGACACAGAAAAACAGGGTCTGTCAATAAAGTCCAACATTCTAAAATGTATCAGTATGTTAGATAGATCCCAGGGAACTACACAACAGCTTGCTGATGCTGCGGCTTTGAATGTTGAAACTAACACACCAAATTCTCCAACAACCATTATTAACATTCCCCAATCTGTTCCTAACGAAACTACCCTGGCAAATGAACCATCACCTGTACTTAGTGTAACTGTGAGTGCTAGAACTGAAGGTCAAGAACAAGTGGTCATTAAACACGAACCTGATGAGGGTGAACAAGACGAGGAGTTTGAGGTTAACTACTCCGTTATTGATAATGTCGTTCACATTTTTGATTCTGATGATGAAGAGCTGTATTTGACTCAGTCTGTTGTTGAAAGTCCACATAAACTGAAAAGCAAACATACTGTTGATGATGATGAAATGAACTCTGAAGATGAGTTAGTCTTAACTGATAATGAAGGGGATGAGGTTAAGACTGTCAGCTCTGAACACACTGCTGAGGAGGATGATTATGAATGCATGACACAACTTGATGATGACGAATTACTTGCTCATAGCCAAGTTGATTATGTTTTTGACACTGAGGAGGATAGCGATAAAACTACAGACGAGGCCCAAGACCATTGTCTCTCATCAGAAGACAGCCAAGATAAGATGTTGGTTTTTAAAGAAGTTTTTGAAATGGAAACTCAGGAGGATCCTAAGTCTAGACAAAAAAATGGGGCTTTGGGAAATACAAGCATACAGGAGGGGTTTCAAGACAGCTCTGAAGATTCTGACAGTTCTGATTTAGAAAATATTTCATACTCCTTTTTAACACAAGTAGACTCACCTAAAAAGAAAAAAAGACACAAAAAAACTTCAAACAGAAAACAATCGGAGGAGGTAGATCCATACCTAATACCCACCCAGTGCTCCAGCAAGGAAGAAAGTGTCAGGGATGAAAATAAAAACAAAATCACTAAGGTGGGAATGTTTAGAAGACCAAACAAAGCTGATGAATCTCCACAAGTTTCCAAAAAATCTGGCAAAGATGTAGCAGATGCCCAAGTTGATTTGGATTATGATAATGATGATGATGCATATGATGCCCCTACACAAATCTGCAAGAAAACAGGTGATGATGAAGACATTGATGATTTATATTTCAGACCAACGCAGATGCTAAACAAAGAAATGGATGATGAAGATTCAGATATGTATGATGCACCGACACAGGTCGTACAAAAACACAGTGATGATGCAGACTCTGATGCACATGATGCAGACTCAGATTTGTATGATGCACCTACACAGGTCGTACAAAAACATGATGATGCAGACTCTGATGCAGATTCATATTTGTATGATGCACTTACACAGGTTGTACAAAAACCTACGGATGATGCAGACTCAGATCTGTATGATGCACCTACGCAGGTCATGCAAAAACACAATGATGATGCAGACTCAGATCTGTATGATGCACCTACGCAGGTCATGCAAAAACACAATGATGATGCAGACTCAGATTTGTATGATGCACCTACACAGGTAGCACAAAAACACAATGATGACGCAGAATCAGATTTGTATGATGCACCTACACAGGTAGCACAAAAACACAATGATGACGCAGAGGTGGATGATTTATATTTTATACCAACACAAATGCTAGAAAAAGAATGTGATGATTTGTATGACGCACCTACGCAAATCATAAATAGTAGTGATAGGGATGTAGAGGCTGTTGGTGCTGACTTGACACAGCCCAGTGAAAACATCCCTTGTCCACTTGACGATAAAACACAAAGTGATGATGAAAATGATATTTATAATATGGCGACGCAGCCTTTCTTTAGTAAAGATGTAACAGATGATGAGGAAAGTAAAAAAGCTAAAAAGAAAAAAGATGTTCAACTTAAACATGGTAACGGGAGTGTCTCTAGTCCACGTGACAAAGTAAGTCGTAATGAAAATGAGGATGACATTTACAATATGGCGACTCAGCCTTTAATGGCTGCAGATTCTGATGATGAACCCAGTAGTGAGGAATTTAAAGTTAAACATGACAAGAAGAACAAAGTAACAGATGTTGAACAGAGTAATGAAAACATTCATACTCAAAGCGAAGATGAAGATGATGTTTACAACATGGTGACTCAGCCTTTTTTTTCTACAGATTTGAAGGAGGAGAGGATCAATGATTTAAAAGGTAAACACCACATGAAAAAACCAGGGCCGTCTTCTTCTACTGAGGAGACCCATTCTCTACATGATCCATATAGCTCTGCCACGCAGCTATCAGCCAAAGACTTGTCACCAGACTCAAGTGATCAGGCTGACCAAAACATCAAGACTCAAAGTTACAAAAATAAAGAAGTAGGTGAACATAAAAGGAAGCCTCATTCTGATGAACATAGCTCTCATAAAGATGTAGGTGAACATAAAAAGAAGCCTTATTCAAGTGAACATAGGTCTCATAAAGAAGTAGGTCAACATGAAAGGAAGCCTCATTCTGGTGAAAGCAGCACTCAAGAAAGGGACAGCAGTACAAACAACTCAAACACATTTGTCATCAGTAACTACAAAGGTTATGTGTCCTTAATACCCAAACCTTTTGTTTCTTTATTAAAGGATAAATCTAGTAAAACGGTATCTGAAAAATCACCAAATAGTTCTGAAGTTTTAGCCACCGAAGCTAAGACCACACAGCATAAAAGTGATGTACACCAAAAGGTTAAAGTTAAAAAATATAAAGAACAAGTTGATTCAAAAACACAAGAGTCAGATAAAAAAGCATCCAGTAAAAAAGTAAAAAGTGGGTCTGTGTCAGAGTCATCCTACCCAAGAAGTGTTAGTCGGAAGAAAGATAAAGATACTTCCAAAGATGTTTTATCCACAAGTTCACGTGATGATCCTGATATTAAAAAAAACCACTCTAAAACTGATCCAGATGGTGTAGTAAAAATCTGCAGTTCAAAACACTCTTTGGCTGATGCAAAAATTAAAAACCTTAAGCAACCAGACAAACAAAATAGTCATTCAAGTAGTTTGGAACACAATTCGAAAAATGTATTTGAGACTTTCACTAATGAAGAACTTTCAAAAACTGTGAACCGTAGTCAGAGTTTTGATGAGACTGCACTGCAGAATTCAGTTAAAACAAAAACCTCCAACCAACTTGAAAAGCAAAGCCTGTCTGTTGACGAATCATTGCTTGATGTAGGCAAAGAAGGGCGTGTTTCAGATAAAGGATTATTGAACGCAGTTGTGTCCAAAGCAATTAAACGATCTTCTGGGATCGAATATAAACCATGTTCAAAGAAATCTAAGATAGAAAAAGATACCAATGAAGATAAATTGATCTCAGTAACATCAAGTGCTTCAGCTGCCCCAATATCTAGAAAAAGACCACATGAATCATCTAGATCATCTAATTCATCACCTAAAAAACAGCCGAGTACATCTAAACTCATAGCACCACAAATTGATAAAAAGGCATTTGCCCGTCATGTGGCATCGGTTTGGAATAAAATAAAACAAAGCCAACCCAAAAAATCTCCAGCCAAAAAAGCGAGGAAAGAAGCGACAAAAGCTAAGGCGGGTGATAAAATAACCATGGGTATTGAGGCAGCAAAGCAGAAATTATTTGAGCGCGAGTTACTAGGTAAAAAGCTAACTGCCGTCGCAGACATTGCCCCCAAAGTACTTTTTGTTCGCTCTGTATCACGAGAAGAGAGCACAGACGTGGAAATGCCTTGCACACAGGAAATCATGGCCCATGGTTTGCCTATTCTCTCTGCCCCAATACCAGTGAGACGGGGGCAAACACTGGAAAAGGAAGACAATTCAATTATAAACGCAGACGCTATAAGCACAAAGAACAATGTGAATGAAAATAGAAAAACTGAAAGTAAAAATACCCCGGTCGCAAGTCCCTTGGTTGAGGATGGAGCTAAACTGTCATTAAATATGATAGAACCTTCTAGTAGCTCATCTACTGCAGGATCTAAAAATTCAAAAGTAGAAACCAGTTTTCCGCAATCAGTTTCTAAACTTGAAGCTACTGAGCCAAACAGAAGTAAAATCCCAGATACCATATCACCATCCTCAGCTGTGAAAAATCCAACCATTTCATCAGTGTCAACATGTATTTCTTCAAAATCTGTTTCAGATAAAGAGCCAGTTAAAAAAGCTGTGCTTTTTGAAAGCTCAAAATCTGTCTCAGATAGAGAGCCAGTTAAAAAAGCTGTGCTTTTTGAAAGCTCAAAATCTGTCTCAGATAGAGAGCCACTTAAAAAAGCCGTGCTTTTAGAAAACGTATTACCCAAACGTACACAGAATGCAATAGCCACACCAAAGAGCATCCTGAGAGAGCCTAACAGGCCATCAGGCAATACTGGAAAAAATGTCAACTTCAATGATGCTTCCTTAAGCAGTGTTAGGTTTATATCTAAGGAGACATCACCATTTAGTCACATTTTCAGAAATGTTCAGAAGCTGAAGGATAATCCACAGCTGGATGTAAATAAAATTAAAGAATGGACATTCAGAATTCTTAATTGGAACCCTGATTGGCTTAAAGAGTATGAGAGTAAGATTTTTTTTTTCCTTTTTTTACACATTGTCAACGTCAAATTGAGAAAATCTTTTGTCAAATAGTTAAATCATATCACAACAGTGTGGCACTGGGATTATAAATCAAATATAAAAACTAAATTAAATTAAAAGCAAACATTTTTTTTTTTTAATTTTTAAAAATATTTAAAATATTTATTTTTTCCTTCTGATCTTTTAAGAGCAATTGTCAAAAAACTTGAAGGAGCAAAAACCACCACCTTTGCTTGGGGATACCACATATTCAAGGCTGAGAATGTATTATGAATCTGTTAAAGAATATCAGGACATTACCTCCAAGCTTTTACTCCTGGAGATATGGGAATCAGTGAGTACATTTCGTTAGTATTTATTTATTAATTATTACTGCTTTTATAATTCATGAATAGGATGTGGAGTGATTGAAACTAAATTGATTATGAAGTTTTATTGCATTTCATCCATGAGCACCCAACCTCCCCTTTTGTGAAATTCAAAATACTTTCTCATAACTAGAGAATTATAAATAATTTTTGCAATATAACAGCATCAAAGCCACACCTAAGAATAATCCACCACTGCTCGTAATACTTATCTAATGTGTTCCCAGATATACCAAGACTGGAAACAGAAACAAGGCAGAAGTTGGAGCTGTAAAGTCCATTTGGATGGGGTTCCTCATGATCCTGATAAAAACAGGAGGTCAAAAGACGGCAATAATTTCTCCCTCTTAACAGTTAAAGTGGTTGGTCAGTAACTTTGATGCTATAAGTTTTACAAGATTGATATTATCATTTTGATCATTAGTATGCAGAAAGAAATAATTTTAAGTAAAAATAAAGCTTTCAACAATACACTTCAATTATAGTTATTTTAATTGCCATTTTTGGGGATGGCGTGGCCTGTTGATAGAGCTTTAAACTGCCAACCTGAAAGTTATAAGTTCAAATCCTGGGCATAAGTCTATAGGAAGTCCCTGGGTACACCCAGCTCTGATGGGTACCTGACTCATGTTAGGGAAACAATGGCAGTTGGGCATAGTGCTGACCACACTATCCCACTCTATGCCTAGGTCATCAAAACAGATTAACTCTACTTCATCTGCCCCATGTGTCTTTAGCACATATGGGAAAATATAATGAGGAATTGCCATTTTAATATTAAATCTTATTTTTTAATTATAATTTTAATAATATATAGTAAAATGAAATATTTTTTTTACCATTATTAGCTGCAGTCAGCAACCAGGAGAGACGGGAGATTCCATCACCAGGAGACCTCCTAGTACTAGATGCTTGGGGGGTTCTTAAATCTAAGCCTAAAGATAATCCACTGACAAACCCACAGTTTGCCCTCGTCAAAAATGTCTTTTTCTTGAAGATTGCAGACAAAAACAGGCTCTGTGAAACATATCCTCTTTTTGGCAAAGGTGAAAATCTATTTAAAGTGTTAATAATCTCTTTGTATCCTGTTAATCTTAAAATTACAAGCTTTTGTTTTCGTCACATTGTGGTAAAATTTGTAACTTAGTTATTCACACATTATTATTGAAACTTAAACCTTGACTTACTACTATATTTTTACAATTCCTACATACTAAAAAGTAAAAGGAAAAAAAGATGTATGTAGAAACCTTTGTATTATTTTTTAAAATTTTTAATTAATTTAAAACCTTGTTATATAGGTCTTTTAGACATGTTTTATAAATAATAATTACAGAGCCAGTCCCAGCAATGAAAGAAAATAATTTTATTGTTGTCTGCCTCACACTCGATGTTGCATTTAAAGTAAACTTCTGCAATGTCCAGTTAATGAACATCAGGGTGAGTGTAGGTTTTTTTCTGATTGTCTGACCTCGTTAGGAAGGAAATGTATGGTCAGCACCGTAGTGAGCCATCTATATTTTACATAACTCATGTCAAGATCTCTTAGGTTACCTAACATGCGGCTGGTCATAGTGAATACACTATCCCCCAGTGTGCTGCGGTAGTTGAAACAAAATGAACTCTACTTCATCTGCCCCATGTATCGTGGGCAAGAACTGGAAAACATTATCTCAGGCACTATATTGGGGATGATTAAGTCGAGCATCACTGTGGAAAGGAGGAACCCACTCCTGATTTGAATTAGCTGTCACCTGCTTGACTGCACCATCCCATAAATACTTTGTATGCTTCCATTCTATTGGTAGTTGAAAGGTTATATATATATATTTTAAATGTTGAAAATTGGTCTCTTATCCTCTTGTCCATGTACTCGTGAAAAAAAAAAGATGTATTTTCTTAATAGCACTGTTAAATCCATAAATAAAATAAAAACTTCACAAAATTAGAACCTGAAAAAAAAAAGTATTTTTGTTTTCATGATAATAGGGAACTTATTGAAAAGCAGCCTTTAAGAATTTTACATGGGAAGACATTACAACTACAGCAAAGCATACTAAGATACAATATTTTTAAAAAAAGTAAAAGTTTTATTTTAGACCTGATTGTCCATAAGTCAGAAATATAATACATTACATCTATTTCTTTGAACTCAGCATTAGAAGGGATTGTGTGGTCAGCTGTATGACTGCTCAGCTCTACTTTCCTCAACTCAGATTAGACACTCGTCAGAGCTGGGTATGGTAAACCCATGGGTTCTAGCCTAAGAACCCACCCTTTGGGTTAAGCATTTGAACTCTCTAGGACTAGACCACAATGTTCCATACATAAAATAAAAAATAATATTTAAATAATTTTCATCCCTGCTGCTTTTAGAAAATCGCCAATTTAAAAACAGCCCAGCGACAGTTGGAGGCGCTTGCCATGCTACCAGAATCTCCGCTCTGCTCACAACTTCTCTGTCCAAGTAACCCACAAGTTTATTTTAATGATCCCATTGACCCTGAACCTCAACTCTTAGCTGTAAGTACAAGAGCATTCAAATACATTATTGTTAGCTTGTGAAATAACCATATTGTTTTTTTTGCTTGATAAGGATAAATAACTCTTTTCGTATGATAGATGAAAATATTCCACCACTTTTGAAACTAAATTGATGGGATGGTCACTTATGTTGTTTCTTATGGCAAATTTTATTGAAGGTTTTTATTTATGTGTACCATGGAGAATTTTGACTTAACTATTTAATAAATATGTCTTATTAAATAATGATTGCAGCATATATTTAATGTGTCAGCTGTTTGTTGAATCAGTTAGAACATACACATCATACAGAATGTTAGCTCTCCAAAGTAAACAATCCACACACAAAAAAGTTGACTGGAAAGATGCTGTCATTTTCGTTTTCTTAAATCCAGCATTTATAGACGTTAATAAAAAGTGACTACATGTACATTGTAGCTTAATAAAATATATTTCCACAAAATATGGCAAAATTAAAGTATATTACTATAAATAGTTTGTATTTGCGCAGTTTTCCGATATTCATTTAAATCAGATCACCTACCTGAAAAATACAACCTCTGCCTATGTGGATAATTGAAACAAATGTTTATTGCATACTGAATTTTTATATTACTTCACAAAAAAACTACGATTTTCTTCTTGTCTCACATGAAAAGAAATTAAACAGCGAACAAGCCAATGCTGTGGCCACAATCAAGGACTCTGTACTAAAAAGGAATAGCAGCGAAAAGGTGTTTTTTATCCAAGGACCAGCTGGCACAGGAAAGTCTTACACAATTCTAGTACTCATCCATCAAATTTTAGTTGTAAGTCCACACTCATTTTATTTACTACGATTTTACTTTTTCTTCCCTCCCACAATTTTAATTTCGGATAACCCTCAACAATTCTTATTTTTCTGGTAAAAATACATTAGACCTAATAGTAATGTCAACTTCAGATAAATAGAAGTATTATGTATTTCAATTCGCAGGCCACTAGGTTTCAAGCTCGAATTTGTCTTGCCACCCCTTCTAATGCTGCCGTTGATGAATTAGCCAAAAGAATAATTAATTTTTCTAATAAACTAAAAGTCAAAAGTAAGTTATTTTTACTTGTCAGAAATTATTTTTTTCTTACATTTGTATTGTTATGTTATTTTTTAAGAATTAAAAAATCACTATTTACCTCTTTGTTCTATTCATTTTTTAAGTTCTATTTTCCATTTTTTAAATTTTTTTATTATCTCTAGAGCTACACAGTATCTCTCTTGTGAGAGTTGGAAATCCAAACAGTATTCACCCTGAGGTTAAGCCTTATTATTGGGAAACTTTAGCAGATCTTCACTGCAAGAAGTGTACGTAAAGTGCCTTGTGCACAGCATATTGGCCAGTTAACAAATGAAGTGAACCCAAAACTTTTTATCTTAAAACTAAAATAGAATAATAAATATACCAAAGAATCATTTTACAGTTAAGAATAATTTTTTTTAAAATCTGTTCAAAATAAAATTTGTTGCCTGAAATTTAGTTATCTTTATTTCAGCGAGCAAAACTGTACTTCCTACCAGCTTGCAAGATGAGCTGTCATATTTCAAAGATCAAGCAGCCTCACTGCAAGCAGATTTAAAGAACGTACACATTCCTCGCGCAGCTGTGAGAATAAGTCTTAAAATACATTAACATCAAAATGAAAAAAAAAATATCAATTACAACTCAGTTCAATATATAAATATGAAAAGTATGTAATAACTTTAAAAATACTCATTGATTTTTGCTGTACTACATTCATATAATACATACTTTAATAACAGGATATAATATAATTTTTCCCATAACGTATATAAAAAACTTCTGTCTTCAGAAAGCATCCAAAAAAGCAACATTAAAGGATTATGAAACTAAAATAAGAAATTTAGAATCTGAAGTTACGAACAAACAGGTAAAGTTGATAAAATAATTTTTTTCTCTCTACTTAATAAAAGCTAAAACCCCAAAAGTCTTGTATTCATTTCATAGATTTGCATGTTGGACATCCCTGGGTCTACCGAGTGGTAAAAGTGGTCAGCGGCAGTGCTGACCAGACCACACTATCTTTTTAAATGCCTAGGAAAAGATACAATTATCTTTTGATATTCCCAGTATTCAAACGCTTTCTTAATTTTTTTTTTTATAGCAACATTAATTTAACTTTAAGGGTCTTAGATGATGTCTAAAAGTTCACTAGCGAATATACAATTTGACAGTAAAACTTAATACTTTTATAAAATGTTTTTTCAGATTGCTGAAAAAATAATTTAAACTATGTATTCTTGTCAGGCCACGGCCAGGGAAAAGTACGAAGCAAGGTGCAATATATTTGATAACGCCCACGTCATTTGTGGCACATTAAACAGTCTTGGAGCAGAGAATTTGAAAGATTTTTTGCTCAGGAAAGAGAACAAACGTCATAAAAATTGCCCATTCACATGCTTAATTATTGATGAGGTAATTAGTTTTTATACTAAATGCTATTATAAAATTATTTTTGACAATTTAGTTTTTTTTTATTATATTTAAAAATAAAGTGTTCATTGGATAAAAAGGTTTAGTAATTTTTAAAAAAAAATAAAATACATTTAATTTTAAATGATTTATAATACATTTCTTTATTTAAACTAATTTACAATATTTGTTTAAAACAAAATATAGTCTGGGCGTGTGTAGTCAGACACAAAATATACATAATTTAAAAAAAAAAATTGAGGCTTCCACCCCCACCCTTTACTTATGTTGGGTATTCTCCCCTTAACATTTTCAAAAACTATTGTCAAGCCCTCATTACGCAGAACTAGTTCTTCACTCCTCCCCGTAGAGTTCCATCCACCTTTATTATGGATACACTGTTCCTGTATTTAAAAAACTAATAGTGTTAACATTTTCCAAAATATATGTATGATGATCTGTTTTTTATGTTATTCTTTTAATGGCTTTGTGTTTTGAAACTGTCTTTATTCTGATAATGTTTTTTTTAATTCACCAGGCAACTCAAGCTATTGAGGCAGAATGCCTGATTCCCTTAAAGTACAAAATATCCAAAATGATTTTGGTCGGGGACCACAAACAGCTTCCAGCCACAGTCTTGTCCCAGGTAGGTAACTGTTTTTTTGTAAAGTTGTAAAACTTTTGTTGTTTTTCAAAAGGTTTATTTATTTTTTAAAGTTTTTTTTAAAGTAGTAAGTTTCTTTATTTCGATAAGACATCTGCATGTTAAAATAATAATATAATATAAAAATATATTTCCCGTCGTATTACCATATTGTCTTGTGGTTTGAATGATTCATTATGTTTAAGTATTAAGCTTGTAGATTATACACTTTACCTTTCTTTATTAGTTTTTTAAAGTATTTTTTTAAGTGTTTAATTATTATGCTTGTAGATTATACAATTTACCTTTCTTTCATTAGTTTTTTAAGGTTCTTACCACGATGAATTGCTTACAATCTATAAACATGGAAGATTAGTGCTCACTCATTTTTCTGACCTTGCAGAAAGCAGCACAGCTGGAGCTTAGTCGATCCCTGTTTGAGAGACTAAATCTTCGCTTTGAGGAGGTTCAGAAAGTTCAGAAAGAGGAGCCAGTTATTTCCCCCATCATGCTCTTGGTCAAGCAGTACCGCATGCACCCAGAGATCCTCTCCTTACCCAACAATCTTTTCTATGATGGAAAGCTACAAAATGACATGTGAGTACAATTTTAAAGAAATATTTGTGACTCAAATTTTTTTTGTTGTAAATTTTTGGTAGTTCCCAAAGACCATTAGAAATAATTTTAAAAAATCCTTTTTATAATTTTTTTAGTGCTCCTGTATATATATATCAGGTACATATTTTTGTTTTACTCTAAAATTGTCGATTCTGTTTTCTTCCAATCTACAGATCAGTGCAAAATCGCAAGTCTGTTCTGTCCCCCTATCTTGTTTTTGATATTCATGGAGGAAAAGAATCTTTGCGTGTTGGTGGTGATAGGTAAGTGTTGTATAGTATTTTAAAATCTATGCACAACTTTAATGTAAGGTTAAACAACTGTTAAAAGGTTGTTTTATTAACAATTTAGTTGTCAATTCTTATCAATTTTCAAACAATTTCTGTTAAATCATATGAAATTAAGTTGTGGGCGTGGTTGAGTCGGTAAAGCTCATGGTTGCTAAACTGAAAAGTCTCGAGTTCGAACCCTCGGGCAGATGAGGCTCGTTAGCTGGGGACACTTCTAGGAGAGACAACTCCAAAATCAAACAACTGCTGCCTTGTATTTGGTTCTTGGTTGGACAAAGGCTGTGGAAGCAAATCCAAAAAGAAAAGCAGGATGAAATCGGACACAATGGCGCATAACCAGTCGACACGTATACTTAATTGTGTTGGAAAAGGGTCTGCGTGGTCGAGTTGCTAAACTCCCTTCCAGCACTAAAAATTAAGAACAAAGAAGAAGAAGATATGAAATTAGTTTTTGTTACATATTTTAAAATAATTTGGATTAAATTATTCTGAATAGTTATATTATTATAAAAAAAATCACGATAAGACAGTTTTTTAAAACGCTTCTTTAAGTTAAGAATTCTTCATCTATTAATCTATAAACTATTTTTCTTAGCATTCATAATAAATGTGTATTTAACAGGTCTTTGGCTAATGTCCCTGAAGCTGTTTGCACTGCAGAGCTTTGCCTTATTGTGATAAAAGCATTGAAGATAACTAAGGACCATGTTCGTGATCGGATTGGAGTGATCTGCCCTTACGCTGAACAAAAACAAACTATTCTGGAATGTTTAAGAAAAAGGTGGGCTGCTAAAATAACTCTTTACAATGTTTTTGAGCAGACAATTGTTTCGGAGGTTTCTTTATTTTCTTTATTTTCTTCTTAGACCAAAAATTTAGGGAAGGACAATGGTAGGACTTGGGATAGGGTTTGTGTAAGCAATTTAGATAAGTGTGTTTTACTTCAAGTAGCCAAACACTCCATTTTTGTCATATTGTTGAACACTAGTATGGATCAGAAATAAAGGTGAGAGGTTGTTAGCAGTACTACAGTTCTAGTCTGGGGTGTTAAGCCATTTTACATTAATGAGAAACACTAATTAATATGCTACTAGCAGCTTAACAGGCTATGATTTGAAAATTTTAAAAAAAATGCAATATTTTTACTTGCATTCTAATTGTTAATAATGTATGTGGTTGCACATTTTAAATTTAATTTGATGTTGTGTTAAGAGCATCACATTTTTCTATAAATTAAAAGAAATGCATCTATTTAACATAAATGTTGATGCACGGTTTCATTTGATGTTAATCAATGTTTACTTTTTATTTTAAAACAATTGAAATGGATGTATGTAGCATTAGACATGCTATTAAAAGTATCCAAATAAAAATATCTTATTGGGTTCTATGGGACGGCATGGTCTAGGGGTAAAAAGCTTGACTGCTAACCTGAAAGTCTCGCATTTGAAACCAGTGTTCAAATCAGTAGAATGTCCCTGATTCCACAATATGTTCTGGAAAGTAAGACATCTGGACATAATGTTGACCATACTATCCCTCCATATGCTGAGGTCACAGAAACAGGTGAACTCTACTTCACTTTCCCTATGGACCATCAGGTTTGAAAAAGGAACTTACTTGGACTCTAAAATAATGCCTTAATGATTATTATACCTTTAGTTTATTTTTAGTTCTAACAGAATTTAGAAATATTAATTACATTGTAATAGGACGGTGTGGTCTAGCGGTAGAGAGCTAGACTGCTAACCCGAGAGTCTCGAGTTCGAATCCAGGTTCAAATCAGTGGTACGTCCCTTAGGCCACTCAGCTCTGATAGGTACTTAACTTACATTAAAGAAACAAAAGCGGCTGGACATAGTACTGACCACACTATCACTTCTGCCGAGGTCTCTGAAGCAGATGAAGTCCATCTGCCTCATGTGATTTGGGCACGAATGGGAAATGATGATGAATTATATTACACTAATAGAAGACAAGCACAGAAAGTATTTGAAAAAGATGGGTGAGACCAGGATTTTTAGTGAAAATATCTGGTTTATTTCAGAGAACTGCACCAGATTGATGTCAACACAGTGGATGGGTTCCAGGGTCAGGAGAGGGATGTCATCATCATGTCATGCGTCAGGGCACAGGGTGCCACTGCTTCTATAGGGTGAGTCGTTGAGGGGGGCACAGGGTGCAACTGCTTCCATCGGGTGAGTTGTTGTGGGGGGGGGGGAATCAGGGCACAGGATACAACTGCTTCCATAGGGTGAGTCATTGTGGGGGTCAGCTGTTGGGTTAAATTTGGGGGGGTGGGGTTAGTCATTGTGTTAAGTTTAGGGAGGTCAGCCATTGTGTTTGATGGTGAATTGTGTTGCTTATGGTGCAGAGTTTTAAGTTTGAGGGTGACAAGTGTTACATTTTAGAGTGATGTCAGTCATTGTGTTAAGTTTGGGGTGAGTTGTGTTAAGTTTGGGGTGAGTTGTGTTAAGTTTGGAGTGAGTTGTGTTAAGTTTGGGGTGAGTTGTGTTAAGTTTGGGGTGAGTTGTGTTAAGTTTGGGGTGAGTTGTGTTAAGTTTGGGGTGAGTTGTGTTAAGTTTGGGGTGAGTTGTGTTAAGTTTGATGGTGAGTTGTGTTAAGTTTGATGGTGAGTTGTGTTAAGTTTGGGGTGAGTTGTGTTAAGTTTGATGGTGAGTTGTGTTAAGTTTGATGGTGAGTTGTGTTAAGTTTGGTGTGAGTTGTGTTAAGTTTGATGGTGAGTTGTGTTAAGTTTGGGGTGAGTTGTGTTAAGTTTGATGGTGAGTTGTGTTAAGTTTGGGGTGAGTTGTGTTAAGTTTGGGGTGTGTTGTGTTAAGTTTGATGGTGAGTTGTGTTAAGTTTGGGGTGAGTTGTGTTAAGTTTGGGGTGAGTTGTGTTAAGTTTGGGTGTGAGTTGTAATAAGTTTGGGTGTGAGTTGTGTTAAGTTTAAGAGATTAATAAGCTTTCATAAAATACAATGATTAAAGGCATTTCACTCTTTACATAGCACAAATTTTATTGGCATAAAAAAATAGAATAAAAAATTGCTTCAAGACAATTTTTTTGCATGTTCTGTGGTCTTGTAAAAAATATATCCCAATAACAACACTAGTTGAAACAAGTTTTTCACACAAGTGTTTATTTAAACATTTCTGAAGCATCATCCATGTAAAGACAAAAAATAGATAAACACACACACATATTTAAATTTTAAAGATCTCTTTGACTCAAGAACTAAAGTTTATTCCATAGATTTTTAGCAGACAAGAGAAGGATGAACGTGTCGCTGACTAGAGCAAAGTATGCCATGTACGTTCTGGGTCATTTTGAGACACTGGTAAGTTGATCCTCTTGCTTAATTAATGAGTGATCATCAAAATTTGCTTATTTTAATAATTAACTTGTTTCAGGTGTTAAAAAAATGATTAGTGTGATCATAAGTCAGGTGAATAAGTGTACTCTACGAGTGTGTGGTTGCTTGTGTATTGGAGCATGCCCTATCTGAATGAATTGTGTTTATCAGTTGTTTTTTTAATCACCTAATCGTGTTAACACCTAAGGGATCATCTATCCACAAAAAGGGACATGTTTAAATTCAGGGGTCATATATCTACATTGGGTGTCTTGTTTACATAAAAAAGTGAAAAATGTCCAGGGTTTATTTCTCAGTGGGGCATAAATCTCATATATATAGGACTTCGACTACGCACCTCTACTTATTTTCTACAGATTAGTGAATGTACTTAATAAAACAATTCTGATTGACTTTAATTTAGATAATATATTTGTGATTGTATTCTGCTTCAAGAAAATATATTTCAAATTTTTCTAGAAAACAAATGGTCTATGGGAAGAACTTCACAAAGACGCAGCAGAAAGAAATTTGCTTGTTGATGTTACAGACGTTTCTAGGTTTTCTGACATCGCAAGTAGAAAACTTATGTACACGTCTAGCCGTAGTAGTTAAACCACTGTAGAAACATAACCCCCTATCATTAGATTGTGATAATCCAAATGAGTGAACATTCATTGATAGTTAAATCAATGTTGAAACATAAATCCAACTGTTGTTGCGGAAAATACTATATGAATGAACATTATAACTAGATGAATTACAATCCATATGGTTCATTTAGCTGCCTTTCACACACTGGTGTTCATTAGCTTTATGTGATATACTATGTGCAAATATTTTTGTTATATATTGGTAATGGAAATAATTCTAATGAAAATTGATGTTTATTGGCTTGTAGGTGATGTAGTGTATATACTTTATTATTTTGGTAAATTACTTCACTGAAATAATGTTAATTGATGTGCATTGGATAAATGTATAAACTTTATTATGTTAGTAAATTACTTCAAGGAAATTATGTTAATTTATGTGCATTGGGTAAATGTATAAACTTTATTATGTTAGTAAATTACTTCATGGAAATTATGTTAATTTACGTGCATTGGGTAAATGTATAAACTTTATTATGTTAGTAAATTACTTCATGGAAATTATGTAAATGTACTTATGTATAGACTTTATTATGTTAGCCAAACTTTTTGTTGGGCAGCCCCTGATTCCACCCAGGGAAAGTAAAGCCTGATGGGTGTAGTGCTGACAACACAATGCCTATGCTGAAGAAAGAAAACTCTACTTCCTCAGTGCTATGGGCCAGTTGTGTATTTTTTAAAAACTGTTTCATGTATCTGTGTATATAGTTTATGTAGACAGTCCTTGTTTGTTTTTCGATTTTCTCCATATTATCTAAAGCTATCTCCCAGTTATTGTATTCTTAATGAGGTAGACTAAAAGCTTTTATTGTACCAAGTGCTTTTTGTAATAATGCATTTACTGTAGCATTAATGTTGTGCCTTGTTTCAATATCATTAATATTTTGATTTAAAAATTATTTTACAATGCCATACCTCAGTCTAAGAATAAAAACCAACAACTTTTGTCTATGTAGTTTAAGTATTTAATTAATTTACTTTATGCATAATGTTGATCACATTTTGATGTAAATAATTTTTAAGTAGTATATAATCTTTGCTTTTTCATTATTTGGTGCTTTCAGTTTGGTAACTTCCCCTTCCTGATATTTTTACAATTCTGTAGCTGCAGCATTTTAAAAATTCACCTTATTTATGGTCTCATTACCACAACAAACATTAGCAAGAAGCTTGAGTTGTTTTATTTTTACAAGCTTTTTTTTTTTAAGTAACAGTTTCTGGCCGGCTGGTTGTGGGTGGGTTGGTGATCGATTCTTTGATTCTTGTAGCTCAATTTTGACCTACATCTAATGTAGAGGTTTTGGTCGAACCTTCTAAATAAATTCATTTTCAATGACATTGCAAGATATTCAATTAGTCATTAAGAATTAATCTAAAAATTTTATATATTCAGTAACAAAAAGGGAAGAAAAAGGATTAAGTATTAGGGATTAAGTACAACACGCCAGGTGATTAAGGTGATTTTTGTTCACTGATCTTTTCATACCTGAGATATAACCTTATATGTTAATAAGGGGGGATGTTTGTTGTTTAGAGTTAAGATCCCTAGCTACTGATTTGGTTTTAAAGTAAATATTTTCTCATGCAAGTTTTGACTTAATAAAGAACAAACAAAATAAAGGTTGAAAATGATAATACTAATTTAAAAACTTGTTAATTTTAAAATTTCCTGATCGCTAAATGTAAAATGTAGAAAAAATATAAAAGCCTTTAAAATAACAAGCTTTTAAATGCACTAAAAATCAAACAATGCAAAAATTGTTCACTAAAATGTGTCAGAGATTTTCTAAAGCACAAACACTTTTACTGAAAAAGAAAGTTTGTTTTTCTTATTTTAGTGCATCCAAAACCTGTTTTCTAAAAGTTTTTATATTTATTTATATTTTATGATGTTGTGCTGTGAAAACACATCCTAAAAAACTGCCACTTTAACAAAACTTTATTTGATATGTCAATCTGAACACAAATATTTACACTAAACAACATAAAATGACCAATATTTGACTAACACCACTATTTCACAACAGTGATAGGCAGCGTTAAATTAACTTTTAGTAAATTCGGTTATTTTTTTACATAAAATTACTCATATTTCTAGTTTTAGACTCATTTTAAACCACATTTTTAAAAAATTAATTATTTAATTACTAACAAATTGAACCATTAAAATACATTTGTGCCTTGTTGATATTAATTTCATAATTTTATTCTAAGATTATTTTATTACATTTAGTAAGTAAAATTGCATTTATCAGAAATATTAATGTACAAGTATAAGTGGTAATTATTTAAAAATAAAAACGAGAAAATATTTTTCATGTTAAAGCTACTTACAAGAAAATTCAAATATTTTATAAAGTAAAATTACTCTAGATTTTTCTAATTGAATTATGATTGTCTTTTAATATCATGAACGAATGTATAGATTTAATGATAAATTGATGTAATAAGTACATTTATTAAGTGTATATAATAGTTGATTATTAAATGTAAATGCAACAACAGTAATTAGGAGTATTTAAATCCTGTTAGAAAGTTGAACAAACCAAAGACTTGAAAACAGAAAATGCATCATGTGGTCTAAAATAACTTTTCTGTTTACTGAAATCTGAGGTTAAAAGGTTCTGACCAAAAATAAAAACTCGTTCATTATTTGTCCAAAGTCCACTAGTATTTCCTTAATATAATCATTTTAGTTCGATATACTCTACATAAAAAAAATAATATTTTTTTAACAAAATAAATACTGTTACATGTTTTTTTTAAAAATCACTACATGAACCAACAAAAAATTATAACATGATATTTGATCACAATAGGTGAGAATACAAATGCACAAATAAAACAAATTGTCTTTTCTTATCTAAAACATTCTAAATTTGTACTCATGCACATTACTTTTCTTATCCTTAATTTATTTTTTATTGTCTGTAAGCAAGATATTTCTTATCTTTTCTTATCTTTAACGTATTTATTTTTTCTTATCCTTAAATAATATGTCGGGGACGGAGTGGTCTAGAGGTAGAGAGCTGGACTGCTAGCCCGTAAGTCTCGAGCTCGAATCTGGATTCATGTCAGCAGACCACCCAGCTCTGATGGGTACCTAACGTTAGGGAGAGTAAAGGCGGCTGGGCATAGTGCTGACCACACTCTCCCTCCATATGCCGAGGTCATAAAAACAAGTGAACTCTACTTCACTTGCCCCATAGACCGTAGGGTTTGAAAGGGAACTTTACTACTACTAAACCATATATATATCTTTATTCTTATCCTTAAACAACATATTTCTTCTTTTCTAATCTTGATTTTTCACGCTGTTATAAACTATTTGTTGACTTCTAACATGTATGTTGCCACACAATATGTTTCATAAGCTAACACGTTTTTGTAGGAAACAACCACACTGTTAAGTCTGCTGTAGAGAACGCTATCAATACTTCATACGGTGAAGTGATGATATTAGCAAAGTGAGTTCATAAGGGAAACCACTGTTAAATGCTTTGTTTGTTGACATGCACTAAAAGTCCGAGAGCTCATGAGTATCAAACGTGAACTTGGACCCCAGTGGTCATGGGGCTGCAATTTCTTAAAAATCTGGTCAAATTATCCCTTTCTAGGTCACCTGTATGTTTGATATTCTGTCAAAAGAGATTTTAAAAAATGACAATTATCGTGAATGAATTAAAATCAAAGTTTAAATTACAACAAGAACATGATCAGGATTGTTTTCAAATGAACCAGTCCAACGTGTTCACTTGACACCCACATAGAAATTTCTGGTTAATTTTTTTTTTTAAATACGGTGACACAAAGATGGAGGTGAAAATTTGGTTTCAACAACATAATGATTTTGAACTCATAAGTCTCCCTGTTAACGTTTCGACACTTTGAAAAAAAAATTGACCCTGTAACTTTTTTGTTTTTTGTATTTTTCTATGTACGCGATTTTCTGTTAGCGCATTTTCCGAATGCGCCATTTTTTATTGCGCATTTTGGTTGCATTTTCTCCCGTTATGCTTTTTTTTCACTGATCACTTTTTAATCTAATCAGAGGTGGTGTCTAAAATGCAGTTTGTCCAGGGCACCGTGGTGTGTTGAATGAAGTAGAAATGCGTTCCATGTGAAAAGAAACACGAATAGTTTTCACCGCCTCTGTGCCTACAACCTTTACCCTACCTTTACTAATGATAAATTTCCCCTCGCCTAAAGGACCCTATTAGCGATATTTGTCTTCAGCCGTTACCCCCTTAGATTAGATAGCTAACGACAGCCATCTTGTGGTGTGTAATATTATTATTTTTTTAATCCCAAATTTATTTCAGCTCTTCTTATAAGTCAATGTCCCCCAACCCAACCCACATAAAATGCTCTTTGATTATGAATCTAATTTTTTTGTGTATGAGGTTCGTTGTTTAGACTTCCCTAGACCCCTCTCAACACAGACCATTTAATCAATAATTGATCATCTGTTTCAGGTTTAAAAATAAAAATGAAATTAGACGTTGTGTATAATGTATAATTAAACCATTTTCCATGAATGAAAAAGTACATGTCAGAAATTTAGTAACAGGAGTTTTATACTATACTAGACTATTGGCCCGTTGAGGCAAAATTTACAACAGGGCCTTGGCAAATGTTTCTTTTTCTCTTAACCTAAACCTAATGTAAAACTCACCGTAAATCTAAAACTGAATCTGAACTTGTGCTCAATTTTTTTAGAATATAAACACCTTTAATAGAAAATAACACATGTCATGACAAATGATAATAGCACGAAAAACACAATGGAGAAGAAAATGGGTTTCGTTGATCCGTTGGTTGTTGGGCAGCTGCCAACAGAATCAGAGACGAACCGGACCCGATCTTGTAGCCCAGTTGTTATGGGGCTGAACTTTTGGACATAGCTCATCAGGATGTTTATGTCAAGGTCTCCTGGAATATATTTTTACAACAACCAAAGTCAAATAGAGAGGGACATTATTTTTTAAACATGAAAAAAAAAGAATAAGAATATTAACTTTTGATTTCAATCTCAAATCTAGAGTTTTAATTCGAAAATTAACTGAAATATTATAATATTATAAGTGACTTATAAAATCCTTCCCAATAGAGAAAAATGAAACGAGAGGAAAAATAAACCATCCCACGTTATGTTTAAGGTAATCAAAGCCAAAGGACCTTATTTGGTTAACTGTAAAAGTGAAGACAATAATAAAAATTGTAGGTTTTTTTATCAAAGGTATTTGTTTATTTGTAAAGACAAGTACGTCATTTGTAGTCATGTTTTGTTAATTCTAAAGTATTCACTTTTTTTTGTATTTTGCTGGGATCAACAATGTCATAGAAGTTGTGTTATAACAATTCATTCACTAAGATAGTAGGCGTGTTTAGAACGACATACCGTTTACTCTGAGCATATTTACTTTGGCAAGGAGATAAATATACATACTGTGACCAATTTTCTCTACACTATACTAAAATTAATTGTATGTTTTAAATTTGACAGTCAGGGCTGCTAGTTGCTCTTAAAATTTAAAGTTTAGATTTATAGGATATGTATTTAAATAATTAATATCAATGTTTGTGTTCAGCTAATGAAATGACCTGTGTATTTATTGAAGGTGCGAGAATCAGAGAATCGAACTCGAGGCTTTAAAATGAGTCCACTTGCGATCCACCCTTATCCTCACCTAAATAAATCCTGCTGATTATGTTATTCTTCAGCACGTCATAGCCGTCGCCACCGTTGATGATGAAGTTTGTGGCCAGTATCTTGTAGTGTTTGTCTACTTGGACGTTCTCCAGCCTGGGAATGTCGCACTGTGTGCAGGTGACCAGAAGTTCGTGAACTCTCTGACCCACTGGACGATCCATGTTGTACGTCACTCTCATGCCTGCGGTAGAGATTAAGTTAATCCTGTTGCGACTTCAATAACGTTAGAATACTAGATAGCCTTAACGTTAAAAATTCCACATTAATTTGTAAACGCATTTGTGTATTTCTAAGTAGTTCGCCAACATATAAACAATCCACACAATATAGAAAAAATAAAAGTTAATTGTATAACGGATATTAAAAGAACAAACACAATATAAATTGCTTTAAATATGATATGATAGTAAATAATCGAATTCTTAAACATACTAATGAGTAATACGAATTTTTCGAAAACTTTGTAAAGGTAACTTAATGAGAATAAGCGAAGCCGAAGGGTGAGATTTGAAAGAAAAATGCCATGCGTATACAAATCCTTTTAAATCAGCTAAGATGGTGTTGCAAAGCTTTCACACAACTCCAACATTACATTGAAGTAAAGCAACAGATAAATGCCACTTACCCGACACTTGCATAAAACCACCAAATCCACCTCCGCCAGTGGCGTTGACCCATTTACTAGCACAGTACTCAAACACGTCAAGAAGTGTTTGTCCGGTAACTTCAACGATTTCAATTTCATTTCTAAACGGCTGGACAAAGATAACATTCTCTGTTGTGATGTTCCCTGGGGTTGATAAAATTAGTGTTATTGGACTCTTTCCAAAGTAAGTGCTTGCTAAGGATAAAATACATCCACTGGCTTAACATCATATATAATGATAGGATACTAGGAGAGATGGAAATGGAAGCAGGTTACGAAGTGATAGAAGATGGCGCTGGATGGGGCATGTCCTAAGAATGGATCTTGGTGATATTACAGAAACGGCGCTAAACTGGACGCCTCTATGAAAAATAAATGAAGGGGAGGCCAAGGGAAACTTGAAGGTGCACGGCGGGGAAGCAGCTGACAGAGGCAGGACTGTCTTGGGGAAGTGCCAGGAAAATTTCCGGACACCGACAAAAGTGGAGGGAGCTTTTTGTGGCGGTACCATGTGTCTTAGGCACAAAAAGAAAACAATGACGACGAATGATGTATGCTCTGCAAACTCTTGTTTACTACGAGGAGCAGCAAAGGTAATTATCTATTAGAACAAGCAGACAACACTTAATTTAGCTGTTTCAGCTGCAATGACATGAATTTTATGCTGTAGCCAAGACAATAACCAACAGAGTTTCTTCCAGGCATCTCTTCGGGGGGGGGGGGGGCGAATCCCCACTACCGAAAAAATTCTACCGCCCCCCCCCCCCCCCGAACGAAATGAAATTTATAAAATTTATACAGAAAATATATACTTTTAACAGTGCCCGCCCCCCCCCCCGAACGAAATGAAATTTATAAAATTTATACAGAAAATATATACTTTTAACAGTGCCCGCCCCCCCCCCCCCGAAGAAAGTCTACCCCCCCCCCCCCCCCGAAAATTTCAAGTGCCCCCCCCCCCCCCCCGGAGAAAAAAGTCTGGAAGAAACACTGATAACAAATCGCATTAATCTCGTCTACTTGAGCACAGGTCAACCCACTTGGTATGGCTAGACCTTAGGACGCCGCTTTATAATTTAAACGAGATACTGAGCTCGAGATAATTAATTAGCAATTTAGCGGCTCATTACTCGTCATGAATACATTTTTTTTCAGCTTAAAACTTGAATTATTTTAACTTTAAAAACACTGTGGGAATACTTAAAAATGTATCATGATGAAATGTTTTACCTATATTGATGGATGCTCGTATACTACCTCCATTCATCAACGCAATCCCTGCATCAGTCCAAGTGCCGTTGAAACGACGCAAGTTGTGATGTATCATGGCGTCTGTGATTAGATTTCCTGCAACCAAAAATGTAGAAAAGAATTTTAAATTTTTCTAAATATGTGAATGTTAAATTCCTAAGCCACAGTCGTTGTAGTGTACATACATCTAAATATTTAGAATAAATAAATAAATCCCACAGCGCTTTAGATGTGTTTTCAATTTTTTAAAGTTTTGTTGTGATGTATAATGTGAGTAAACCCGTATTCATGATACAACACGAACTTGATTCTAACAACAGAAAGAAAACTATATCTTGAATTATCATATATCAGGGAGGATTATTTTATGACAAAATTTCTGAAGATTTGTTATTTGTTTGATGGCAAGCATTGAAAGTACTTTAAAAAAAAAAGAAATATAACCCACCCATGTTACACTCCACCATACGACACAGATTCTTATCGGCCTTGAGTAAAACATAGGTCTCTCCCACCACAGTTTTCTTAAACTCTTCAACCTGCGGCTGGTAGGTGTTGATTAACGCCAGGGTCTCATTATCTAAGACATAATTGCAATCAGAATTTTAAAAATAGATCTAAAGTATATTGTTACATAAAAAATAATAATACACCTTCGAATAATTCTGGGTTTATTTCTTCAATAATGTGTTAAAACTTACAAGTGAGAAGTTAAGATAGGCTTACAAAGTATTAGTAGCCACCGATTGATTCGTTATATTAATATATTAGAAAGGCGGATAATGACCTTTAAGATATTCTTACTCTCATACTAATCATATGACAAGCTCTAACACACAAGAGACACACACTATGATGAGTATGAACGAGGGCCTTGCGTGTGACATCAATACCTAAATGACCTTACTTCAGTATGTTAAAAAAAAAGGAAATAAAAATACAAATATACTTTACATAACCCCCAAATAGCACCCTAATAGGGCTGGTAAGTAGGTCACCAACCAAATAAAAATCTGCATGAGCCATAGAACTGGTTGGTGACCTACTTACCAGCCCTATTGAGCTACCGCACGGTGTAATAACCAACATAGTGACACGACTTCTCTGATTATGGGTAGAAAAAAAATTAAGTTTGGAAGTGACAGTAGTGATTAAATTTTAAGCAAATTGTTTAGAAGAATATAATCAGAATAATCAACACTTGGACTCAATTTTATTGAAGGCTTTAAAATAAATTCACCTTGCGTGACGTTGCCGTCTAACAAAATTGGATTTCCCGTCCATGATTTGACTTTCCCAACGTCATCAAAGACCACATTTAGCTCCCCTAGATATTTGCCATAAGCGTAATCCTGAACAACGAGGACAGTGTCCCCGGTCTTGGAGTTTACAACAGTCGGGTACACGCCCTCGATTGTTTCCGTGGACGGGCCGGTGCCTGGAAAATAAATAATTGAAGAGTTCCTAATGCAGTTCTCGAAGAGGTAAAATATGTTATTTTATGCCTACATGATATTGTGTCTGGGTTTTTCTCATAGACATTTTGAGAACCTTATATTAAAAAGAAATTCAAGTAATCTATATAGGCTGTTCCACTTATGATAGCACTGAATAAAATAAATATTCAATCAACGGCCTTGACCGCAGTAGAAATAAAATCAACACAAACAAGTCACCGTTCTCAAAACCAAGTTAAATTGTTAATTACACTTCGTAAATATTTAAAAAAATAAACGTCGAAGTTAAAAATGTTTCATTTAGACAATTTTGCCCTATTCTAAAATAGTATAGAAGACCTACTATGTAACACTACTGATATACTTTAAAAGGTAGAAATGCGAAAACCGTTTTAAAAAACGTGTTATTTTACCATTAAAGAGAAAAGAATGCGTATGTCCACCAACAATGATGTCCACATCGGTCAACTTTTTCCCCAATTCAACATCAAAAGAGTATCCAGAGTGACCAAGGGCGATAATCTTGTTAATCCCCTGTGCCGTCAGGTTGTTCACTTCCGCCTGTACAGCCTCCAATTCTGGCAGCAACTCCACGGTTTCTAAAATTCATGTTTAAACCTCGGATGTAGAGTGGTATTTGGTTGGTGTCAGTGATGGGTTACATAGAACGCTGACCACATTGGTAAGAAATAATGTCCAAATAAAAGGGGTATGATAGTAGGGAGTCAGATTTTCGCTGTAAAGGGAACGCCGAGCTCACAAAAACGAATGTTAATAATATGTATATATATATATATATATATATATATATATATATATATATATATATATATATATATATATATATATATATATATATATATATATATATATATATATATATATATATATATATATATATATATATATGTGTGTGTGTGTGTGTGTGTGTTCGTGTGTGCTATATAGATTAGTGGCTTAGGCATATATGTGTGTGTGTGTTTGTGTGTGCTATATAGATTAGTGGCTTAGACATATATATATATATATATATATATATATATATATATATATATATATATATATATATATATTTATATATATATATATATATATATATATATATATATATATATATATATATATATATATATATATATATATATATATATATATATATATATATATATATATATATATATATATATATATATATATATATATATATATATATATATATATATATATATATATATATATATATATATATATATATATATATATATATATATATATATATATATATATATATATGTGTGTGTGTGTGTGTGTGTGTGTGTGTGTTCTATACAGATTAGTGGCTTAGATCATAACGTTTTAAAAATTGTATTTACAATCTCGTAAGTGTGGATCTTGCAATTCAGAATATATAAGAAGTGTTTTGGAAGAAAATTTGTTGGTTTTTTTAAATTTATGCTAAAATGATTCTTTGTTGTAGTAAAAGCTTCAATATTTAAAACATCGGAGTCCTTGTCTGGCTGCTTGAGAATTGCATATCTATGACTTATGGGGCAGTATTTACTATTCTCTAGAAATAGCCCACTTCTAAGTGATTCTTCACATTAGCCCTACAGTGTCCTATTCATCCACCTTCTAACTCACCTGGAAACGAAGTGTATGCCGTCTCCGGGGTGGTGTACCCGACCACACCTATCCTCTCCCCGGCGACCGTAAGAACCGTTGATTTCTTGATGATGTTTTTCAGCTGTGGCGTGTTGTCAAGTTTCATGTTACTTGACAGCAGAGGGAATGACAAGTTTTTGGCGAAAGGTTCGAGGCCGTCGACACCCTCGTCAAATTCGTGGTTACCCACAGTCTGTAAATATAGAATGCTTTAAATATATTTTGTTTTATTTATTTATACTTTACAGAGGCATTTTTTTGTACTCCTTTATTACAATATAACATTCACTACACTCCTAAATGAAACAACTGATGCTAACACGGCATCAGTGTTTCTTCCAGACTTTTTTCTCCGGTGGAGGGGGGGGGGGGGGAATCACTTGAAATTTTCGGGGGGGGGGGGGGCGGTAGACTTTCTTCGGGGGGGGGGGGGGGGGGGGGGGCGGGCACTGTTAAAAGTATATATTTTCTATATAAATTATATAAATTCCATTTCGTTCGGGGGGGGGGGGGGGTGGGTAAAAAAGTTTTCCCCCGAAGAGATGCATGGAAGAAACTCTGCACGGCATCACTGGGCGTATGGCCTTCTAGTAAAAGGTCACCATCAGGCTGCAGCAGTTCCTAGATGAACTTCATCGGCTACGTGTTCGTGACTAGGGCGAGCCACCTTGATAGAGGTATACGGTGGTTGTCAGGCATGGAGGGTGGTGTGCGCCGCCATGGGACACTTAGCCCTAGACACACCACACTGTGGTGCCCCAACGACTCCAATAAGGGTTAAGGGTTGATTTATTATTATTATATAACATCACATTTAGTCTGTCTTTATCTCGAGTTGTTGTGTAAATATGAACAACTAAAGAAATACTTGACACAGAACAAGCCAAGAACAGTCACGTGGGTCAGGGACTGAGGAGGGGAATATAAAAGTGATTTGTCAGATTTTTGAAGATTTGTTTATTTTCAATTTGTTTTATTTATACAAAAAAATATTTCAGATTAAACTTAAGTGTTTTTTTTTTTAATTTTATGCTTTTCGTCGAAAAAGCATTGTAACTCGTTATGTAAAACATTTCAATAGTGAAAATGTAGAATACGAGCCGACCCGCAGTGTATCGTACGCCGCTATTTAGTTGTTTTATTTTCTACTTTTCAGCAATTCATAATTTGTGAATTCGACAGTACCAACGCTGCCGCTGAAAATATTTGCTTTATAATACTATCAGTAGCTCGTTAAGGACGATAACCCCCCCCCCATCCTGTCCCCAACTACAGCCCATATCCCACCACCACCCACCCCCGTGAAAGTAAACTCCTCTTAGTTACCTCCCCTAAGTTTAAAATCGTTTCAAACTAAATTATCTGCCCCTAATAGCCGTCACTAAACCCGGCTCTACGATTGTAAACATTTAGCGTGAACCACAGCTCACCAGACCATGTAGGGGTGGGTGTGGTAGGGAGCGCGCTTACAGCTTGGTGTTTTCTATCGTCTCCAAGATGAGAATTATATATATAGATTGGTGACTGTGTATTCAATTAAATGTATTCACGACTGTTGAAAACATTCTAAAAAAGTGTCAACAGCTTCTTTGAAATCTTTTAATTTGTTATATTCTGCATTAATCAAGTAGCCTGCGGATTTGTTAAGCAAACGTTGACTATAGAAATTGGTGACTGGAGATATTCTGTCGTGTCATTTCGGTAGCGTACTTTGGACTGTTTTTGTTGTAGTAAGTAAGGCCAAGTTTTGAAAGCGTCATACATCTTTTAATTATAGTGTGCGTTGATGGGGCGGGGTGGAGTAATTTCAAGATGTTTAAAATTGATATTTACCATGGCGTCGTATCTTATCAGGTTCATGAACTGAGCGCTGACTATTCCACCAAACTGGTAGAACCACAGAGTTCCCTGGAACTGGTCTCCGGCGTCCAGAAGTATCGTGTGGTTGACGTGTTCGGCTCTTTTCTTTTCTACCTGAAGCAAAATGAAAGCACTCTTTTACGTCAGCCTTCAGTGCAATACTTCACGGTCGACCGGTTAACCGGGGGCCGGAAAAACCGAAAGACCGGTAAACCAAAAAGAATAAACAAGCTTTCAAGACGTTTTTCTATTACCTATGTGCTATTTAAAGTCTTTGTTATTTTTATTTCTTTTTAAACATAGATAAGTAAGTTCTTTCAAATAGAATGTTCATAAATATAAAGCATTTTAAGGGCCGTGCACATTAAGGCAAACTCCGAAATATTTAGATTAGAGATGAACATTTTAAAACTGATAAACAGCTGAATATCTCTTGTTATAGTGCTGCTACATATCAAAAAGAATTCTAACACATTGGACTGTGTTGGAGGTCTTGATAAAAGAAATGTAATTTTAAAACTAATTTTTAAGCTAGTCTAGTCTAAATACAAAAAAAAATAAACACTCGATAAAACAAACGATTACAATTAATTGACAAATTGTACATTGAATAAACTATGCTACGGAATAAACTTAAATAAAAATTCAATCAATGGCCTTGACCGCAGTAGAAATAAAATCAACACAAACAAGTCACCGTTCTAAAAACCAAGTTATATAGTTAATTACACGATCGACACTGATTGTCTTTCGCTAGTCAGAAATCTATAATTCTATCACCACCTTACAACTAGATTTATTAATTATTTTTAATCAGAATATTTTAGAAAGTTTACATTTATTTACAGACAATGTAGAAGTGTAACCACACAAATTATTAAGCTGGATTGTGAAAGACCGTTTGAAACAATTTAGATAACATTTTGTAACAAAAGGTCAAAATAACTTCTAATCAGTTGTTTCCAAAACATTCACTAGTAAAAAGCAAACATTTAGTTACGATAACTTACCATAGTTCGAATCCTAGCTACGCCACCAAAACAGTTATTGGCCGCCGCCAGCTGGGGTGTACAGGGGGCGCTACTCCTGGAAAAACAAAAGTTGTTTTGTAATTCTGACACAGGGATGAATGGGTTAATATCGTTGTTGTGGGTAGGCCTACCTCGTTTCATTCAATGAGTTCAGGGAATTTTCATATGTCATGTTTCCTTAAAACGACCAGTGTTGTTACGTTATATTGGTATTTAAGGTTGTGTCAAATTTTAATCGTAGCCTCTCTTCAATATATTTTCCTTTTTTTTTTTTTTTAAATTAAGATAAATTTTAAAATGTTTTTGGACGACGTGGTCGAATGGTAGAGCATACGACTGCTAACTCGAAAGTCCCGAGTTCAAATCCGGTTATTTGACTCCCATTAGACAGATCCAGGACCACACTATCATTTAATATGCAGTGGACACATACCCCGATGAACGGTTATGTTCGAAAGGAAACTTTACTTTCTTAATTTTGAAAAAAATATTAACCACCCTTTTATCCTTATAGTCTGCCATGGCATGTTTATTTAATATGACGATAAATAGATAAACATGCTTTAGGCTAGAACTCTATATGTTGGATTACAGTGTGACCAATTTTGTGACATGTAACAATAACGGAAGACGCGTACAATTGCTAGCAACTGTTGATGTTCGGACCACCCCTATTTACACATTGACACATACTTATCCGATTCCTCGATCCTGGAGTGGACATCGTTCGTGTGCAGTAGAGTGAGGCTGAAGTCTGCACGTGTAGCAGACAACCACACACAGATTAGCGCGGTGAAGTAGAGTGGGGTGGGAGACATGGTCAGTGTGGAAGGTATGGGTCGCTACAGTAGAAATCATCAAATTTGAGTTTGTAAGGATACAAGCGTAGTTTAGAGTTTAAATAAGTGGAGAAGTAGTGAGATTCAATTTATCTTATGCAGAGGGAACAAAGTACATTTGGTTCCAAGTGCAAAGAAAGTGTATGTGGCCCCAAGTATCACATTCTATAAGTGTATAGACGTGTATTACTATGGTGTAACGGCAAGAAAGTGTATGTAGCCCCAAGTAGCACATTCTAGCAGTGTATACACGTGTATCACTATGGTGTAACGGCAAGAAAGTGTATGTTGCCCCAAGCATCACACTCGAGATATGTGAAGAAAATATATGAGGCCGTATATACACAATCCAAATCATCAACTTGAAGTCCCTAAGTCAGATAAATGCTAACTAATCAGGACACATAAAAATAAGGAAATAATGAACTTCTCAATAAAATAATGAGCATCTCAATCAAGGAAAAAATGAGCATCTCAATCAAGGAAATATTGGGCACCTCAATCAAGGAAATAATGAACTTCTCAATCAATAAAATAATGTGCATCTCAATCAAGGAAAAAATGAGCATCTCAATCAAGGAAATAATGATCATCTCAATCAAGGAAATAATGAGCATCTCAATCAAGGAAATAATGACCATCTCAATCAATGAAATAATAAGCAGCTAATTTCTAATGAAACCCTTTCACGAGTCAAGACTATATTTTAAAGCGGGGTACAGATCTACCATAAATATAAAATTAAACTTTCATAAGAAGCATTAAATTACTTTTTTTTTAAAATTTAACTTTTTGTTATACACATCAAAGTAATTTACTTAAACCAGATTACTAATTTAAACTAATACAGCATAAATATAAAATTCATCATATAACTTAAGATTTTAAAAATAACTTTCAAATATTATTGTTAAAGATAGATCAAATTATATATCTAAAAAATTGAAATTTTTGTATGACCTGCGCCAGGATCCAGTAAATGTTTTGATGTAAATGCCGGAAGACGTACTAAAGGCTGCATTTTTAAGTACTGTAGGGGATGGTGGATGACCTTGAATTCAGATTATATAACCGGTAACCTATTCTTACTAACAAAAACCTCTCCTAGTTTGTCAAAGACGGAACGAAAAAATAAACCCTGCCCGTGGAGCGTAACGGTGCGTAGGAGACCGTCGAACCCTCCCACCTATTGGGGTTCCGCACCACGGAGAACAAAATAATATTTCGGTCAACAACTTGAGGAGTTATTTCAGTTCTAAGAAAAAAAAACTAACGCATAACAAAAAGGTGACCTTAGTTGCACAACTGGTCTAGGAGGAAGGGATTATTTAAGGTGACTGCCAATGTAGTAAAAGATATTCTCTGCTAGTAACGGTTCATTCTAGATCAGTGTTCCGTGAAATGGTACGGGCGTCACGTGAGTGGGAGCTTTGGTCATTTAGAAGAAGAGAGGGGGTGGACAGTTTTAATTTTAAATAAAAGAGAAACATTAACATCGCTACTCATCTCTAAATCTGGGCAAAATCGTACTATATGGGACAATTTAAAAAATGATTAGTGTTTTCTTAAAACTGTTGATAACGTTTGCAAGATATATCGATCAAGGTGACTTTTTAGAAGAGTATATATATATATATATATATATATATATATATATATATATATATATATATATATATATATATATATATATATATATATGGCCTATTTTTATATATATAGGGCCTGTATATATATATATATAGGGCATATATATATATATATATATAGGTCCTATATATTTAGGCCCTATATATATATATATATATATATATATATATATATATATATATATATATATATATATATATATGGCCTATTTTTATATATATAGGGCCTGTATATATATATATATAGGGCATATATATATATATATATATATATATATATATATATATATATATATATATATATATATATATATATATATATATATATATAATAAAATTCTAATACAAGTTTAGGTATAAACACACAGAATGTAAAATACTGGTCTAGATCGACCAAAACAAGGAATTCCATGGGGGCGTAACAATGTGTGGGTGGGGTATGGGTGACCTCCTTCAGCATCACGGTTCGGTGGATCTCACAAAGCGGGAGGTAAACAAATCTTTTTTTACATTCAAGTATTAGGTCTTAGTTCACAATTATCTGCCTGTGGGTGGATGGACGGGTGGCTGGATGGGTGGGTAGGTAGGTGGAAACACTGTATAGAAAGTATGATTATTTTACTGTGAATGTCTACCATGATAGGTTATATAGAAGGTATAGTTCCGCAGTATGGACTTAAGAAATCAGTAAATTCAATTGACTGCAAAAGTTGACTACGATACTTGTTAACGAGTTGTGGAGTGCTCCCCCGGGGATCTTTCACCATCGCTGACATTCATAAACTTTAAATATGTAATTTAGAGTCAACACAAAATATTTAAACAGCGTATTGGACAGTTACACGGGAGGTAAGAAGGGCAATGAAGGCTGTATATTTCACTTATGGGAGGTAAGAAGGTCAGTTTTTCCTGAATATCTTAACATAAATTAATTGTTATTTGAACATGATTGTGTCGTTCTTATGACAATCTTGGTTTTGTTAAAATTTTGTTTGTTTTATTTTTAATTTATATTGCTTGCTTACTATTGGTTAACAATTATTTGTGTATGATTAAAATCATCGAGGAAAACAGAATAAAAAATATATAAACTCAACTATTTAATAAATGATAATTTATTTAATTTGTTCGCGGATGATGACTCGTCATTTTTCTATGTATAAGTAACCCAAAAAAAGCTTCTCGGCCTTTTGGCTAAGACAGGGGTCGGCAACCTTTTGAGACGGAAGAGCCAAAAGTTACAATTTTCAAAATTTCCCAGCTTTTAAAGAGCCACTAACATTTTTAACATTTTTATTTTAATATTATGATCTTTGATTAGGATTAGGTATATATATATATATATATATATATATATATATATATATATATATATATATATATATATATATATATATATGTATGTATATATATATATATATATATATATATATATATATATATATATATATATATATATATATATATATATATATATATATATATATATATATCAATGTATGTAGTATGTAAGTGCGTGTGTGTCTGTTTGTCTTTTATTCATTACTACACCTTTCATCCGATCGCCATGAAGCTTTAGGGAGCTGTTGAGAATACTCATGGGGAGATATTTGCGAAAATAAAATAAAATTCGCAAATAGAATAGCGAGTGTATTGATTACATTTATTAAATCGTTCATTACCGAGTGTTGCAGACTAATATTTTTATTAGTTTCAAGAAGAAAATAAAATAATTATTAATATTTGTCCATTGAACTGAAGAGCCGCACCTCGACATCAAAAGAGCCGCATGCGGCTCGCGAGCCGCAGGTTGCCGACCCCTGGCCTATGCCAGGGGTCGGCAACCTTTTGAAGCGGAAGAGCCAAAAGTTACAATTTTCAAAATTTCCCTGGTCTTAAAGAGCCACTAACATTTTTTAAATTCAAATATTTTATTTTTTTATTAAGATTATTAGTATTTGTTCAAGGAGCTGGAGAGCCGCATCTTGATATCAAAAGAGCCGCATGCGGCTCGCGAGCCGCAGGTTGCCGACCCCTGGGCTAAGATCAAAGTGTAGTATCTGTTATGGATCTACATGGTTCTTAGCCTTTTGGTTGGTCAGCCCTTTTTAGGGCTGGCTGCCGGGGCCGAGAGGCGGTCAAATCTACTACTCCAACTCACGCAAATCTCGCCAACGACTGCTGTGGGGTTGCTCCCACAAATCCCTCGAAGCGCACATGCCCTCGAGATGAGTCACCCAGTACTTGTATTGGGTGGCTTCAAATGTACGAGTTGCTAACTTTTCAATCTTCTATTTTTCAGCCTGACGACACCTATCTAGGAGAAATCTTAGGTGGGAGGTCTGTCACAATCGCCAACAAATCGAACTCATCTACTACGTCAAACACAACTACCTCGCTCACTACCACTCTGACGACACCCACCTAGGAGAAATCTTAGGTGGGAGGCTTCCGTCAAACACTAGCAAATCAACTAACCATCTCTCAAGTCCAACTACTCAACCTACCTAAAATAAACAATCGTCAAACAGCTTCACTTCGCCCACTTCAACTACTTCACCAAGCTCAAAATCCTCGACTCAGCAACATCAGCAAAACTTCATTCTTCAACGTCACCTCGCCCAACTCAATTACTCGACTACGTCACAAATTTACTCCTCTTCAAAACCACAATGAACAATATTTCAAAGCAACTCACTTCGAAAGATCTCTCAACACAAGAACCCCCCAACTCAACTATTTTCTCCAAGCTTCACTTCATCGAACAACTCTACTACCAACAACAATATACGAAACTTGCCCTTCCACCAAGCACATCACACCTCATCTCAACGCAAGGACACTACCTCAACCACCCTCTCCAAGTTCTACACCATTCGACCAACTCCACCATCAACGACAAGACACCAAACTCACTCTCACCAAGTACAACTACCAACTAAGAATCAACCACTATCAATCCAAGAGCGTATTAATCACAAGAAGCACGGCCAAAAACAGAGAAGCGATCATGTTGTCATGTACTTTATGTTATTTTAAAAGAAACCAAGAAACCGGAAGTGAAAAACAAGTGAATCAAGGAAACAGGAAAATATGGAAATACGACAAGCAAGGATTAAAATTGTCTAAATATGTATAATATTTCATGTATGTGTATAATCATGCAACCTACTCTTGCTGCCTCCATGTTCGCGCAGGAAGACAGCAAGTGAGGAAATCTATTAAACGCCAGGCGGCAAAAAAAAAAAAAAAAAAAAAAAAAAACCCAAAAAAGTAAATATTCATTATGTACATTTGCAAAACCTTTCGTTTTCATTTGATGTTCAAAATTATGTTGAAAAATTTGATGTTGATGTACTTGTTTAATTGCAAATAAAAGTATATAAAAAAAAAAGTAACCCATCTTAAATGAATGAAAGTAGGCTACAAGTAAGAAAGAAATATTACTATTGTAAATCTGTATTAGTCCTCACAAGCCGGTGATGAAAGTAATTCTTAAAGTATCACTAGATCAGATGAGGTTATACAAAGATGACACTATCTCAGCTGATGAAAATAAACTATTGTCTGAGTACGGTTATACCAGTTCGGTGGCTAGAGCTCAGTCACCTGCTACCAGAGGCGTAGCAACCCTTCCCGGCGCCCGGGGACAAACTTTCAATTTGGCGCCCCCCTCTGGAGCAAATTTTCAATTTGCATCCCCCCTCAACTTTCTATTTGCACCCCCCCCCCCTCAAACTTTCGATTTGCACCCCCACCCTCCTCAAACTGCAAATATGCAGCTAAAATGACATTTTAATTTGTTTTTACAACCCATTTTGGCGCCCCCTAAGGTCGGCGCCCGTGGACATATGTCCCCCCCTGCCCCCCCCCCCCAACGCTACGCCTCTGCCTGCTACTGTTGGTTTTGTTTTTAGAACAGAAGATGGTGAATGGGAAGAGTTGGACATTGATCCCTTGTCTAGCCCACCTGAACTGCCCGATGTCATGAAACCACAGGATGCAAACCAGGCTCACCAACCTGAATCTAACATTGTGTAAAGCAACTAGCCCAGAGAAACTTAGAGAGAAAATTATGGCAATAAAGCAACTACAAACACTTAGATAATCCTTGGCTTTTTAAAAATTTGATGAAGCTTTTTGGGTTTGAGCAACACATTTTAAATTTAGCTAATATTTAGGAATATATATATATATATATATATATATATATATATATATATATATATATATATACATATATATATATATATATATATATATATATATAATGTTTATAAATTAGAGTAGATACGTAAAAGCCGTACTAGTTTTATTACTATAAGTAGTTATTGCATTTGATGTTACACGTTTTTTTTTTGTATGAGCGTTTAAATTAAGATTACAAGAATCATTTTAGCTACTTGTGTTTCAATTTTTGTGTGAATAATAATTTTTTCCCCACTTAATAGGTGTAATTGTTTTTCTTGAGGTTTAATATTGATTCTAATTATACAAAGTGTTAATTGAGAAATATGTTCTTCATTTGATTTGGTAAAGCACCAAAACTATTGTTAAATTTGTATTTATAGAACATGAAAAGTGTTTTTTTTATACAAGTGAATATTGTATCCCACTGTAAACCTTTTTTAAGTGACAGCAAGTGATCAGGTATTTCTTTGGTGTTTTCTTTAAATCTTTATATCATCAGTGCAGAGTTTTTTACTCTATACTAGTCTATACAATTAACCTTATTCATTTTGTTTACTAGATATTTAAAAAGCAATGGGCACTTTTTGAAGGCTTATATATAATTCTAGCAAGTTACTCGTCTTAAGGGTTTTCCTTAAACGTATTTCTACCTGATTGTATTGAAATATTTATTATAAACGAGCTGGGAAGTGTGTCAGTAAATTGGCCATGTGGTATTGTTTACTTGAAGTTTATACAAATGCACCGTCTGGTACCAGTGTTATATCAATTTGTAAAACAGATGGTTAATCTGCTCACTATTTTTTTAAAAAATATTATTTGTATTGAAAAAACAATGCAATATAACATACATATGGGTGTAAAATTAAACACATTCTTTAATACATACATGTTTAAGCTTACTTACTTACTTAATCCTCATCACTCCCTGTGGAGTACAGGGCAACAACAAATCTCCGCCATTCCACCCTGTCCTGGGCGAGCCACTTTAGTTCATGCCAGGTTTTGCCAGTAGCCTGTACTTCTTTCATCTAGACTCGTCATATCAGGCAAAGCTGCCTCGGTCCTCGGTTGCTCTCCCATGATGGTTTGATTTAGATCTGTTGCCGTTTCTGTAGCGTTTTTGTTTTTACATGGTGGGTTGCTAGCCCAAACCCAAAACCCTCCTCCTTTCCCATTCTGGACTTGGGACCAGACAATGGCGGAGTTATGTTTAAGCTTAATTTAATCATATTTTTAAAGAACTCTCTAACAGTTCCATTTTACAGGTATTATACTTCATTTAGCTTTAATCATACATTAGCTTTAATCATACAACTATGAAATACCTACGTTATTTAGCTTCAATCATATGACTGTGAAATTCACTACATAATTTGACTGAAAAACTATACATCATTTAACTTCAATACACTACATTTGTAATAGCTCATTTATTTATTTATTCTACTTGGTTTATTTAATACATTATTAAATAAAAAGACGAGCTTTTAATCATCATTAGGTCAGATAATTAAACACACACCCCATCCTCAATTACCTACTGTTCTTACAAGCTGTAAGCTACAAAATGGCCATCCTAGCCAGGTAAAACAAATTTTAAAATAACCTTCACATTAGGACCACAGTTGTAAATGTATACACAATGACGCAACAGCCTCACTTCAGAAACACTGTCCACATATATCCGTAAGGACTTTTCATAGATTTGACCTAATAAGCTTTTATATCAGTCCTCACAAGCCGATGATGAAAACTGTAATACTAAAACGAACATGCAAGGCAAACTGACGCTGTAAATTACATGTCTGAGGCGAAAAAAAAACCAACAACAAAAAAAAAACCCCGCAATTTAATAGCTTTAATACCATGTAATGTACGAAAAGAAAAGTCCCAACATCGTGTTGGTATTTTCAGAAAATATCAGATAAATTTAATCCAGCATAACTCATGACAGAACAGTTAACAAAAAGAAAAGGAACACTGGAAAAATAAGCTAGACGGATCTGTTGGTTTTCGGGCAGTTGACAACATCTGAAACAAACCGGATTCGATCCTGCAGCCCAGTTGTTATGGGGCTGAACTTTTGGACATAGCTGATCAGGATGTTTGTGTCGAGGTCCCCTGTAACATATTGTACAACAAAGTCAAAGTAAGCGAATGTTTTTTTTTTACAGTTGTTTGTCACAGAGAACACGCTAATCACCCGTGCGAATGTTATTTTCACTTTATAACATGTATTTTATAAAAAAAATTAATATCAATTTTGTTACAAACTATTGTCAACAATTTTCTATACTCAAAAAGCAGAGCTTTCAAATGCTCAATATACCCTCACCCCACCTCCGAGAAAAATGTATGAAAGAAACCATGGAGCCTATCTCCCCCCCCCCCCCCCCATATTCCCGTCCACATGTTTAAAACAGCCTAACCGAAGCATTAAGGCACGTGTTAATGATTTTCTCAGAACGTAAAGTTTTAATAAACAAAGCAGGTCAGTAGCGTCACAAGACAGGTGCGGGGGGTGGGGGGGGGAGGTGGAGTCCGCATCGGGTGATACTATTTCCTTGGGTAACGCGAAAGGAAAAAGTTGCGTTATATACTGATAAAACAACGGGTGACTCTCAATCTAGCAACGCCATTGAGATAGATAAGTAGAACTAACATGTTTTTTTTTTTTTACCTTTTACCGTGGTTGCTATACGAGTTTCCGGAACAGAATCCGGCACCCACCATATGAGAATGGAAGAAAACGTGATTCGAAGAAACGTAATCACGTCCAAGGTAGCACTTATTCGCTTACCACCACTTCCACATACCCACCTAAAGGTATCCTGTTAACGATGTTGGTCTTCAACACGTTGTAGCCGTCACCTCCTTTGATTAAAAAATTCATGGTCAGTATCTTGTAGTGTTTGTCTACTTGGACGTTCTCCAGCCTGGGAATGTCGCACTGTGTGCAGGTGACCAGAAGTTCGTGAACTCTCTGACCCACTGGACGTGTCATGTTGTACGTCACTCTCATGCCTGCGGTAGAAATTGATTTTTACTTTCTAGTATACGAAGTATAGAAGAAGTATTGTTATCGTGCAAAAAAAGAATTCGAGATTTTTACAAATCTCGACGTTTTACACCTCCCTGAGTTTGTATATATATATATATATATATATATATATATATATATATATATATATATATATATATATATATATATATATATATATATATATATATATATATATAAAACAACAGTATTGATAAATCCCACTTACCAGATACTTGCAGAAACCCACCAAAACCGCTGTCTGTAGAGTTGACCCATTTACTAGCACAGTACTCAAACACGTCAAGAAGTGTTTGTCCGGTAACTTCAACAATGTCAACTTCATTTCTGAACGGCTGGACAAAGATAACATTCTCTGTTGTGATGTTGCCTGATGATGGTAACATTTGCGATTTTGTTGATGATGAATCAAAATTGTTGTGCTTTGTATATTTTATCAACATTTTTGTATATTTAAAAGTTAAACGTTTTGTAGTATAAATATGTGTGTGTGAGACTTCTGCTGTTGTATCTATATATTTCATATGTTAGGAATAAAATAAAAAACAAAATTTATTTTTCTTTTGTGTAGTGTATTAATTAGGTTGGCTATTTTGTGATTTAAAAATGTTTTTCAGTAAATATACATGCAGAATGAACAATTTTGTTTTATAGTTTTATAATGTTTAGCTAAATAGATCAGCTTGGCATGGTGCTGACCACACTATCCCTTCATATGCTGAGGTCAAGAGACATATGAACTATACTCCATCTGCCCAATGGATAGCTAGGCCTAAAGAGGAATCTTACCTATATTGATTGACGTTCGAATACCACCCCCGTTGATCATGGCCATCCCTACATCAGTCCAGGTGCCATTTAAATGTCGCAAGTTGTGATGTATCATGGCGTCAGCGATAACATTGCCTGCAGACACAAATGGTTTGGTAATAAAAATTATTTGGTGGGGAAATCTTAAATTATTTGAACGATTGGTGATAAATTGCACTGTGGCATGAGTTAGAGACTTTCTCATTAGAAAAATAAATGTTCATTGATTTAATCACTTATTAGATTTTAAATGAGAAGTTCTTGCGTTGTCATCGAAGATAATGTATCTGAAAATAAAGCGTTGCCATTATAAATAGGTTAAAATGAGTCATAGGATTTAATTACAAAAGGATCCAGGATTTATTTTAGATATTTTTTTTCCTAAAGGGGTTACTTCCATTGAGGAAGTCAGAAAAGGAACATTTCTATTACGTCCGACAAGAGTGGGGTCACAAATACCAGAAGAGAGAAGCCTGAAAAAAAAACCTGAACACTACCACCCTCTTATAGACATACAGACAGTCGTCTGAATACTGTAACCTCAAAACAAAAATGTTTTATTTATAAAAAAAAAAGTATTTCAACCTACCCATGTTACACTCCGCCACTCGACACAGCTGTCTATCAGCCTTGAGTAAAACATAGGTCTCTCCCACCACAGTTTTCTTAAACACTTCAACCTGCGGCAGGTAGGTGTTGATTAACGCCAGGGTCTCGTTATCTGTGAGAGAAATATAGAGGGAATATATTGGAGAGAGAAGGCGCTAAACGTACTTAAGTTAATCACAAATTCCTTTTATCTGTGATAAAAAAAGAGAATAAAATCAAGAGAAATGTGTGTTATTCTTTCCAAAGTTTCTTATCACACCACTTGAATGATTATTGCATGGCTAGAAGATTGGCTTGATTTGCATATGATTTTACCATGGGTAGTTGAACTATCAACAGTTCAGTAGTCGCAAGCCATTCTCAATTACTTGGGACGGAAAATGCATCTAATGCTTGTATTATTTATAAACAAGTTAACAAGTTCTGTAACCCAAAACTCCAACTTAATGCATAAACAACTACACTTCACAATTAAGTCAACCAAGACTACCATCTCTCTTATCTAATGAAGGAGTAAAATAAATATAAAAAAACAACAACATAAAAGATGTGTTTAGTATGGCAATTACCAGTTGATAAATATAACTGACTAAAACAAAGAAGAGTTAATCACTATTGTCAGACAATCCTAACCCACCTTGCTTAACACTGCTGTCCAACAAAATGGGATTTCCCGTCCATGATTTGACTTCCCCAGCGTCATCAAAGACCACATTTAGCTCCCCTAGATATTTGCCATAAGCGTAATCCTGAACAACGAGGACCGTGTCCCCGGTCTTGGAGTTTACAACAGTCGGGTACACGCCCTCGATTGTTTCCGTGGACGGGCCGGTGCCTGGAGGTAAAAGTAATAGAAAATAACAGAACAATTTTAAATATTGCATATAATTTTTTTTTACTTTGATTCAACAATCAGTTTCGTCGTTTTCTAATTGTTTAATCCAGTAAACTTTGTATATAAATTTATGATATGCAATGCTAGTTAAAAGTAAACATATTTAATATTAAAAAATGAAATACAAATGTTTCTCATATTCCCTTTAACGATCGGGAATAAAATAAAACAATTATACAATAAATTTTCACCATTATTGAGAAAAGTATGTGAGTGTCCACCAACAATAATGTCCACGTTGGTCAAGTTTTTTCCCAGCTCCACATCAAACGAGTATCCAGAGTGACCAAGGGCGATAATCTTGTTAATCCCCTGAGCCGTCAAGTTGTTTACCTCCGCCTGTATAGCCTCTAGTTCTTGAGTAAAACTGACGGTTCCTAGAAAAAAAATAAACCCACACAGAGTAGGGTAACACATGGTTATTATGCTTTAATATAAGAACCCCACATCAAAAGACACATTTTACTTTAGTGTAGAATTGGTTTAGCTTTTGGTTAGCTGCAATCCTTGAATTTAATTGTCGATAAGGGCGGTTAAGGTAAAGTGTGATTTTGTGCTATCAAAATACGTTTCTTAATATTGCTGGGTATTTAATAAAATGGGCACAGATAATTTAAATATGTACATCCTTCTATTGTTTTTAATAAAAAAGACTACAAGTCTATGTTCAATATTTACAATTTTTTTAAGAGGATCGTCATAGTTTAATTCTGAGTACAATTTTTCACCTGGGGACGAAGTGTATGCCGTCTCCGGGGTGGTGTACCCGACCACACCTATCCGCTCCCCGGCGACCGTTAGAACCGTTGATTTCTTGATGATGTTTTTCAGCTGTGGCGTGTTGTCAAGTTTCATGTTACTTGACAGCAGAGGGAATGTCAAGTTTTTGGCGAAAGGTTCGAGACCCTCAACTCCCTTGTCAAATTCGTGGTTACCCACAGCCTGTGTGATGTGAGTAGAGAAAAAAGTGTTAAATTGTATTAGTTTTAACTGCTTTCATCCCTTGTTTTTCTGCATTTAGCAGCGTACCATAATATAACTAGGGCCTTTATATATATAAGTATATATATATAAGTATATATATATATATATATATATATATATATATATATATATATATTTATATATATATATATATATATATATATATATAAATATATATATATATATAAAGGGTATTAGACTAAATGAGATGTAGTTTTGTGCTGCAGTTAAATCTATAGTGCAGAAGCATAGAAATAAACCAGAGTTGAGTACGCAACAAAAGTACTAGTTTTGGAAAAATATAAATTCAGTATATTTCTATTTGGTACCTAACTAGAGTATTCTAGAGCGACCATGTTGAAGGTGAAACGATGTAATTTTTTTATTCTCTAGGTTCTCTGTTATCGCGAAAACCTGAGTACGATTGTGGAATGTATTATTTGCTAGTGCTGCTATTTCAAACGTGTAGTAATAAATTAATATGTTTTTTTATATTTTTTACAAGTATACTTTTCCCTTGATTTATAGAAATGTTTACATTTCAATAGCATAAAAAAAAATTAAATTGAATTTATATGCACATTTTAAACATGAATGACCTTATCTTTAATGAAAATGGTAGAACACGGAAAAATAGTATTCTATTTATGAAGCGTTCTGCTTCACTGAGACTCTTTATATTGGGTAGCATTCAAAGGTTAAAGTCGTGTCACTCTTTACGGAGTGAAAACTTACATAAAAGGACTCCTTGACACGTTATAGAGATTTTCCACCAACCGAAACATTATATATACCTTAAAGTGCTTATTCACACTCCGGTAATTTTAGTGTGTGTCTATGTGTGTAGGTATAAGTGCGGGTGTGTTTATAGAGAGATAAGTTCAGGCGGTCATCAGAAAAAATTGGTAGCGTGAATATCGTTTTTTTTTTTAAATGCTGACACATTTGGTTTAGTGTAGGGGATGGTATATTAATCTTATATAGCTCTGTCGTTGATTTTTATATTTGTTTCTATTTTCAATTAAAATTAATATACACAATAGCATTGTACATAGTTTTTTTGTGCTATTGGTAATGGTTCCGGAAAAGATACACTTTACTGACCCCCAGGCTATGAGACATTTTATATAACGTTTTATGGGAAAGATGGTGGGTCGAGAGTCTAGACTGTACTGTTATTGGATGGCAAAGCAAGTAAATGTGACTTTCTTCAAAAGATATTTTTACCATGGCGTCGTATCTTATCAGGTTCATGAACTGAGCGCTGACTATTCCACCAAACTGGTAGAACCACAGAGTTCCCTGGAACTGGTCTCCGGCGTCCAGAAGTATCGTGTGGTTGACGTGTTCGGTTCTTTTCTTTTCTACCTGAAGCATACAAAAAAATAATATGTTATAGTTTGTATTTGTTTTTTATGACCATTAGACACAGACATGGCCATACACATGTTCAATTATTATAACTTACCATGGTTCGAATCCTGGCAGCTCCGCCAAAACAATTGTTTGAGGCCACAAGCTGTGGGGTACAAGGGGCGCTACTCCTGGAAAAACAAAAACAAAAATTATCCTAACAAAAACAAGTGGGTATTCTACAATTACAAGAAGAAGCATTTACGTCAAATGTCAATTAAATATTACGTCCGTGAAATATATTTAGAAGATCATCATTACAAAATTTCCTGTGTAGTTTGATAAGTTTGTGGTAATTTCCTGGATCGAATACAATACACACTTTTTAATACTATCCAATCTTTCAAGCAAGCCCCTAACAATGTAATTTCTATACCCAAAATACGAGTGTAGTTTTATATTTTAACGGCATTGGAAGCAATGTGTATGAATAAAAACGAAAAAATTATAAATAGTCTTAAAAACATATTTCAAAAAATAATTTCAAAAAATACTTGTCTGCTTCTTCTATGCGTGCATGGACATCGTTTGTGTGCAGTAGAGTGAGGCTGAAGTCCGCACGTGTTGTAGTTAACCATAGACAAAGGAGAGAGGTCACACATAGCAGGGCTCTAGACATCATCAGAGGTGGAATAAACTAAAAGGTGGAAACATACCAAAGAATTATAACCTTATTCTTTACCGGATCATCCGATCAACCGTTGGAAGAATACACAAAACACTAGTATCCGGGCCCTTGCCGACGCCACATCACTCTAATCACACCATCTTACGACTTGACATTCAATCTTCATCCTGCTATCCAACAACCAACTCTTTAGTATTAACATTTTCATTACACAACTAAAAATGTTCAAACGATATATATATATATATATATATATATATATATATATATATATATATATATATATATATATTGCATAGGTACTTATTCTAGGAATATTTTGCAATAAATAACTTACCGTATGAAATTATATATACCTTGAGAAATACGAGGAGATTCATTAAGAAATCACTAATAGAGTAAACAGTTTGTGTTGCATAATAATAGCTATATAACAAGTCCAATGAAGCTAAACGTAGGGCGTTTAGCCCCACAAAGGTCCCGTTGACCTTACGTGTCTTTGCTCCAAGTAGCACACTCGTCGGGTTCAACGTTAGTTCCTGGCCCTTTTAGACCCCCCCCCCCTCCCCCCAATAAGATGACAAACAAAAGGGCAAAATAAGTAGAAAACATATCGAAATATTGAATTTTTAGTCTGGTTCGGTTACATAAGACAATTTAATTTACAAATTAAAAAATAATATTGCAACGTATGTGTATCCCAAAAAACAACAAAATAAACGTAAACATAAAAAAACAAAACAACGAAACAAAAAATAATGACTAACAAAGCATAATAAATACCTCTCAATTTACAAAGTTATAGAATAAATTGTAAAATCTGTATTTCTAAGCTATACGCATAATAAATCAACTTATTTCTTTTTACCTATTTCAGTTTTTAAAAAAATAAATTTGTGTAGGCCTACATACCTTTTAAACGTTAATGCATAAAATTAACATTCACACATTACACAAAATAACTTAATGCTTTCCATAAACGGTGCTCTCTACGTGAAAAAATCCAGTAATTATTTTCTATATAAAGCCATGTTACTGGTGTCTCCCACAGCAGAAATAGGTCGTGTGTGCTATATTCAGGAGTAGGGGACGGCGAGGTAGTACATTTAATATGCAGCAGTTACCTTAGTGAAGAGGGTCCACTCGTGGTTATATACAGACAGACCACAACAGTTGTTCATTGAAGCGTGTAAACACACAGACGGTACGGGTCACTGAGTACCCAGTCTTAAACCTTGTACTGTGGTAGCACTTGTGTCCAAAAATGTTTTATTTAATTAAGGAATAAGTCGTTTATTTATTTTTAAAAGCTTTTTTTAGTAAAAAATTACATTTACACAATACCGATGTATTTATTTGTGCGTATTTGGGTTGGTTGTGGTTAAATATTTTATCTTACTTTTGAATTTATTCTAATGCATCAATATTTCTTTTGAAAAACTAAAATATCCACTATTTTAACTCTAAACATTACCAGTTAATAAAAAGTAAAAAGTAAAACGAATATAAAAAGTATAATAACAAGGTTTTCTGTATAAAAATATTTAAAATATTAAAAATAAAACACACTTTTTTTCTATTATAAAAACTTTAGTAGCTAAACGTGCCAGCGATTTCATGAACTGCAGACGCTTTTACTAAATGAATGAAATGTGTTATTCTCTTATTTTAGTGCAAGTAAGATAGAGTTCTTAAAATTGATATATTAAATCAATATACTAACCTTGCTAATTACCCTAAGAGTAAGTAAGAGTTGTTTGAATTTGTTTAAAACATTAACACATCTGAATTCTGGAACAAACTATGCATCCACCCTTTCAATAATTCTAAGAGTATTTTCTGCAGTGATCAAACTTGGCCTATTTCGCTTCTGTGAAATCTTTACAAAGTACTTGCCATGTTTCCAGTTGCGAAATCTATTCAATGTCAACGTAGAATAAATATGAACTGTTTGCAAAGCCTTGCGCATCTCAATTAGGTTTTCAATTACATGTGGTGATTTTTTTTTCCTCACCAAGAAACTAAGCTCCAAGCAGTGGTGGCGTAATATGGTGAGGGTGACATCAACTGAGAGGTAACACACATGTACAAAAGCAAACACATTTTTATATAGAGAAGGAGAGATATGGATTACACACTGAAATTCCAAAAAACGTGTTGTTTTCATAGCTAATAATAGCAAAATGTACAAAAGATAAGGATTTTTTTTTTCGTGAAAAGATAATTGTGTTTTACATAAAAATAAATGATAATTTAAAACTTGTCACTGATTAAGCTAGCTTAATTAAATTTAGATTTATAGCTCAGTGTATATTTGCTTCATTAAAAAAACACAAATACATTTTTAACGTTTAAAGGCAGATCTTCAAATGAAAGTATGTTTGTAGAATAAGTAAGGACAGAGAGTAAGACACGAAGGGCTGTTTTCAAGTTCAATCTAGTTTAAAACCATTACGCTCGGCAAACAAATATTTCATTTCATCTAAACATATGATAAAGTTTGCATACAAACATACATTCACATATCAGCTACAACGAGTAACCCCTTAAATTTAGCTTTAATAACAAAATGTTTATTTAAATGTTTAAAGATCAAACGTGGGACTTTAATATGTTACATAATCTGTAACATTAGCTACAACCAGTGTAAAATTCTAAAGCACCAATGTTACATGCGTTGATACCATTATAAAATTTAACATGACCAAAACCAAACCAATTGTGGCATCAGTGCAGCATCTATCACCATATATTTTATATTTGTAATTCGTAATGAAAATTTAGTTCTATACACTAGAAATGTTCATCTATAGACTTAACAACACTTTTCATACAATTCGTAAACCTCAGATAGGAGCATACAGGATAGGGGAGATATGAACATGTGTAGCATCTTTCATAACAATTTATCATAATGTGGTACACAATAATATAGTTTATATGGTAAATAAGAACATATGTTGTATCTTTCATGACACAGTATCATATAATGTCTGGAAATACCAATCATATGACATTTATGAACATGTGCTGTAACTTCCAAAACAATGCAGATCACGTGAGATTAATACAGCAGCATAATGGATGATATAAATGATATAAACAAAATAAGCGCAGGTGAGTAGACAGATTGGATGGTTGCAATGTTTGAAACGAAGGCCTCAGTTACATTTGATTCGAACCGGATCCGATCCTGCAGACCTGTCGTTATGGGGCTGAACTTTTTTAAATAGCTGATCAAAATGTCGGTGTCTAAATCTCCTGAAAATTATTATTTACGGTGAAATTGAAGCAGAATTCTATTTACTTTTGTGTACTAAAAGAATTATGTTCTATCAATGGTTAAACAATAATTCGATATTTTTTACATAAATTCAAATTGTGTTAGATCGATAAATGTTCTGCAGAGGATTCATTATATAAGAAGACATTTGGTTATATTTTAAGGGAGTAAAAAAACCTGAAAAATGGGGCAGATGTCCCTACTCCCTAAACAAGACAAGAGATTTCATGAATTAGCTATTTATTCTTACCTAAAGGAATTCTCTTAATGATGTTTGACTTCAAAACATCATAACCGTCGCCACCTTTGACCATAAAAGTAATAGCCAGTATCTTGTAGTGTTTGTCCACTTGGACGTTCTCCAGCCTGGGAATGTCGCACTGTGTGCAGGTGACCAGAAGTTCGTGAACTCTCTGACCCACTGGACGATCCATGTTGTACGTCACTCTCATGCCTGAGGTAGAGATTCGTGTTAAACTAGTTGCAACTCTTTTAAAAATAGCAAATACCCAGCAAATTCATAATGCTAATTAGAACGGCTTTCAAACCAAAGTGTAATATTGTAGTTTACACAGTAAAAATATAATTCTCAAAAGGATAAAAGTGCCTGAAGGTCAGTCAGCAACTTTCTTGCTTACGTACTTGAATGATGGCATTTTTTTTTTAAAAATGTGAATATCTTTTATTGAAACGGTAAAATAAAAAATTAAAACAATAGCGAAAGTTAATTTCACCATTGTTAATGTATTCTAAATCGTAAGCAAGAATAAAGATAGACTGCTAAATGTAAGCTAGGTAAGAATGTAAGAAAAAATACAAACTACGTTAGTACATTGTGAATGAAATTGTGTAATATAATATAATTAATACCCTACGCCTACCGCTACTTAATAATTTGATTATATTATAACTTTTAAATAGGTTTGACATTTCCAAAAGTAGTTGTTGCATTTTGTGAACTCTTGGTGGTTTTAAAATCTAGAAACAAGTAATCGCCATGTTTTTCTTTATCAATGGGGATAGGAATCGTGTTCACAACAATTAATTTGGCTCGAGAATTAGTATCTCTCCATGGATTACGAGATTTCGAATTTTAGGTGAAAGAGACCGAGGCTTACAAGCCCCATAATGATACAAGTTGTGAATTAAATCCAATTAAAATAGATTAGGTAGAAGAAGAATCACATACTTTTTAATAATACCGATTGGTATTTATGACGATTCGTATGTTTAGTGATGAAAAACAAGAAAGGATAAATCCCACTTACCAGAAACTTGCAAAAACCCACCAAAGCCGCTGTCTGTAGAGTTGATCCATCTGCTAGCACAGTACTCAAACACGTCCAGAAGTGTTTGTCCGGTAACTTCAACAATGTCAACTTCATTTCTAAACGGCTGGACAAAGATAACATTCTCTGTTGTGATGTTCCCTGGTGATGATTGTGTTAACATTTTTGGAAAGTATAAATGAAAATATATAAGTAAACATAAAATATCATGAAGCATATTCGAAAATACTGCAAAATTACAGGAAACGCCTTTATAGAGAAATTCCATGAATTCCGGACAGAGTTTTTGAGAGAGCAGTTTGTCTAAATGGGACAAAGGTTGTAAAAACAAACTGAATAAAAATTGGGACTATATCTAGATATCTTACCTATGTTCATTGAAGAGCGTATACCACCTCCGTTGACCACCGCCATCCCTACATCGCTCCAAACGCCTTCAAAATGACGCAGGTTGTGTTGTATCATTGCATCGGTGATCACATTCCCTGCCACCAAGAGATTTATCATTTTGGGATGGGTTTTAGTGCAACTTTTAATTCTATTTAAAACTACCATCAAGCGTTCTAGATGACTATTTACAAATTTCATATGGCTGATATTTTTTTTAAATACTTGACATCTGACGAGAATTTAGATTTAGACAAGACCAGCTGATCTTAAGAGTTTGATGGGGGTGAGGTTAGGTTTGTATATTTTTAAAATTCAGTGTCAGTTGAATCAATGAAGACAAAGTTTTCTCCACATGCACTGCAAGCAAACACTGGTTTGTCAGTTCATTTATGTTAGCAATTTAAGAACATTGAAAGTTTTTTTCGTTGATGTTTTGAAGCAGTTTTAAATTATACCAAGAAGTAAATAAAAAATATAGTTTGAAAAAAATATAATATTATCCAAAGATCAAAAGATTCAAACTGACATTAGTTATCAAAATTTACAGCTTACACAAGTTAACAAGGACTAGAACTTACACAAATTAACAAAGATTACAATATACACAAGATACAAAGATTACAATATACACAAGTTAACAAAGATTAGAACTTACACAAGTTAACAAAGATTAGAACTTACACAAGTTAACAAAGATTACAACTTACACAAGGTAACAAAGATTACAACTTACCCAGGTTACACTCTTCTATTCGACAGCTTTGTTTGTCGGCATTCAAGAATACATAGGTCTTACCTACGACGGTTTTTTTAAACGCATTCACCTGTGGCAGGTAGGTGTTAATCAAATCCAAGGCCTCCTCATCTGTCATAATCAAGTTCCATTGAAACAAATGCAGGATCAAATGTTTATTTCACAGCAGTTAATTAATACGATAAAGGCTAATGCTTTAAAGCTGAGTCAGCACTTTGACTACTTGGGCGCGTGGTGGCGATCTGCTTCAACGCCTGCGAGCAAGGGTAGAAAATCAATATTTCCAAAATTTCATGTCAAGGGTAAAACATCAATATTCCCAAAATTTTATGTCAAGGGTAAAACATCAATATTCCCAAAATTTGATGTCAAGGGTAGAACATCAATATTCCCAAAATTTTATGTCAAGGGTAGAACATCAATGTTCCCAAAATTTGATGTCAAGGATAGAACATTAATATTCCCAAAATTTGATGTCAAGGGTAGAACATCAATGTTCCCGAAATTCGATGTCAAGAGGAGAACATCAATGTTCCCAAAATTTGATGTCAAGGGTAGAAAATCAATATTTCCAAAATTTCATGTCAATGGTAAAACATCAATATTCCCAAAATTTTATGTCAAGGGTAGAACATCAATGTTCCCAAAATTTGATGTCAAGGGTAGAACATCAATATTCCCAAAATTTGATGTCAAGGGTAGTGTTATAGATTGACGAGGAGCCACATTGGTGTTAACAGCCTTTATTTACAGACAGCCATGATGCGAAGAGAGAGAGAAAGGAAGTGGCCAGAGACCACTATATATAGATAACAACATGTAAGGGACATCACTCAAGATAACAATATAAATATAATACTAATACAGAGAGTGAGTTCCCTTGACCTCACAATTAACTCAATCTATTACATCCCTTTACCCTTAGAACACAATAACACATCTCTCAATAGAACAATTGATAGTATCCTAAAATCACCAATTATATTGTAACATGAACACTATGGTAGATTACATCCTTACAAACAATGCACAATATGCCACAACATAATCAAGATACAAAACAATGATGTCAAAGTCCTTTTGACCTTTAAAATCATAGGTCTAACTTATTTGGGACTTTGATTGTCCTGCTTGACCTTCTCAGTGGCTTCTGATTTGGTGACTCAAGATTCTGACCATCTGGATTCTCTATCTCAGGAGGTCTAGGATTTAAATCATTAACTCCAGAATTTACATTTTCTGACTCCAGACAACTTGGTTCACTCATATCAACAGAACTTGGTTGTGGAACAAACTGAGTTGATGTGAACTGTTCAGATTTGGTGGGATTGACAGATTCACACTTATTATCTGCACAAGTTATTTTTAACTTTATAAGGCACAGGTCCTGTACATTGAACAATTTGACCTGGTATCCATTTTTCCTTTCTCCCATAATTTCTTAGATACACATTCTTATTAACACCAAATTCTCTTTCAATGAATGTCTTGTCATGATTTAATGGAACTATTTTTGAATTGGCATCTGGAAGTATTAAATGGCAAAAATCTTTTTTTTTCTTTTGATGTTACCCTTTTAGTTTCTGTAAGTGCTAATGATGTTAGCAAAGTTGTTTGATGATCACATTCCTTCTTACTAATGTATTTTCTTTAAAACATTTGAAATTGCCATATCACCATAATCATTTATTAAGTTACAAATACTTTGTTTAGGCAACTCTGACTGATAATGGACTGCATCTTCTCCATCTTTTATATTATCTTCACAAAGGTTTTTATTTCTTATTTAATATGGCCTTAAGTCATCATTCACAGACTCTTCAGGCCAACCATTCATACAGTGCTCATATACTTTTATTAAGCACTCATCTTTTTGTGTTTCTCTTTTAATATCATTCACATTTATATTGGAGTTATCCATGATAGTGAAGAGAACAAATACATCTTCTGGTACATAGCTCAGGCTTTGGTTTTTTAAAGGTAATCTGCTAAGACTATCTGCACTATTCTCAGATCCAGGTTTGTATTTCAATTCATAATTGTATGCAGTTAGTGTGATAGCCCATCTTTGAATTCTTGGTGAGGCATGCTCAGGTAGGGTTTTGTTTTCTCCAAATAAACCTAGCAATGGTTTATGATATGTAAAGATGGTGAACTTCCTACCAAACAGAAACTTATGAAATTTCTTAACACCAAAAATGATGCCTAAGCCTTCCCTATCTAACTGAGAATAATTTTTCTCAGCCTGGTTCAAAGATCTACTGGCAAAAGCAATGGGTCTGTCACCCTTCTCATCCATGTGGGACAAGACTGCTCCTACACCATCTGGTGAAGCATCACATGTTAATATAAGTCTTTTCCCTGGGTCATAGTGAGTTAGTAAGGTGTCAGAAGACAAAGCCTCTTTTGCTGTATTAAAAGCAGTATCTTGTTGTTTACCCCAGTGCCAAGTTGCATTTTTCTGTAGCAGCTTGTACAGTGGTGATAGTTTACCAGACAGATTTCCTATGAACTTTGCATAGTAATTTATTAAGCCCAAAAAAGCTCTTAGTTGTTGGGTATTTTCAGGTATGGGTGCTTCTTTAATGGCTTTTGTTTTCTCAGGTTGAGGTCTGATGCCTTGCTTGCTTAATATATAACCAAGAAAACTAATTTCTGTCAACATGAATTGACATTTATCTTTGTTTATCTTTAAACCTTTTTCACCAACAATTTTCAATACTTTATCAAGTGTTTTAAGATGTTCAGTGTCATTCTTACCAGTTATGTACACATTGTCAAAGTACACACAAACATTTGGAATGTCCTTAAAAATACTGTCCATGACAGCTTGGAAAATTCCAGGGCTAGATGATATGCCAAAACATAGTCTTTCATATTGGTAGAGTCCTTTATGTGTGTTTATTGTCGTATAGACTTTTGAATCTGGATGCAGTTCTAGTTGAGTGTAAGCATGACTAAAGTCTAATTCAGTGAATTTGTCTCCTCCTGCCAAATTCAAAGAAATTTCTTCAATGTTAGGAATAGGGTACCTATTTAGCTCTATTTGCTTATTCAGTGTAGTTTTATAATCTCCACAAATTCTTATAGAACCATCCTTCTTTAACACTGGCACAATGGGTGACGCCCAATCGGAATAGTCTACCTTTTTTTATAATGCCATTAGATTCCAATCTACTTAGCTCATTTTCAATTTTGTTCCTCATTGCATAAGGTGGAACTCTAGCTTTGCAGTATCTTGGATTTGTATCTTTAATGCTTAACTTCACTGTTCTATCATTTAGTAAACCTGAATTACCAAAAACACATTTATTTTCAGATATAACTTTATCTAGTGAAGTAAGACTAGATTCTTTTCCATTGTTCAATGAACAAATACTCTCCCAATTTAACTTAAGATTACTTAACCAGTTCCTACCTAGTAATGGCGGTCCATTTCCTTCAACCACAAGAAGAGGAAGTTTAACACTTTGACCATTATAACTTACATGAACCATACACTCTCCTATTACCGGAACATTGTCACCAGTGTATGTTGTTAAACACTTGTGACATGGTTGTAGAGGCACTGATCCTCCTGTGACAGCGTCAAAATCTTTCTTTGTTATGACTGTTAGAGATGCTCCAGTGTCAAGTTGGAAGCTGATGCTCTTACCGTTGATATTAACTTGTACATTGATGGGAGCATGACTTATTGATTTAACAGAGAACAGGTTGAAATCCGGCTGCAAATCAATTTGAGCATTTTCACAGGTAGAGTGGTTCATTGGTTGGGTTAGGTAGTCTTGGTGAGAGTTAACATAGTGCTGCTTTTGGTTGCGGTACTGTCTTGACTGGCTAGATTTAGCAACAGACGAAGACTTTGCAAAGCAGGCCTTGGCAATGTGACCTTGCTTACTGCACTTATAACAAGTTGCAGACTTGAACTTGCACCGATGAGATGCATGGGGACCTTTGCATCGATGACATTTTTGATAATTATTACTAGATTTAGATCTAGGATTTGAACGAGCAGGCTGTTTAGCATAAGTTGGAATGCTCTGATGGGGTTGATGTTTATTGACTAACCTGCTGTTTACTGCATGGATCTCTGAAGGTGCTAAAGATCTCGCCGCATCTGATGACTGCTGGAATGACATTGCAAGTTGTATTGCTTTTTCCAATTTTAGATCTGACTCGAGCAGCAACTTTCTTTGAATATCAGGGCTGTTTACACCTGTCACAAACTTTTCACATAGTCTGTCAGACAGCGTATCGCCGAATTCACAAAATTCACTTAAATGACGTAAAGCAGCAACATATTCTGATATTGACTCGTTTGGCTGACGAGTCCTACTGTCAAATCTAGCTCGACATAAAAACTTTGATGGGGTAGGCGCATGGTGGTCTGTTAGCAATTT